GGAGAACATGTCACCATCTTTGTCACTGCCACATGCAGGCTCCTTGAGGGGACTGTGCAACTCGTTGTCTCAAGACCTTTTTGCTGCAGGAGGCATTTGGGAGTGAGACAAATCAATTCAGGTTCCTTGCGAAACTGATGCTGTGATTGTTTTTGTTTTGTTCCTCTATGCTGGCTCTGAAGACTCTCTTAATGTTTTTTGTTTATTGCTCATTTTTATTACAGTTGGAAATGATCAATTTTATTATGTACGGGTTTTTATCTACTTTTTGTTAATTGCCTTGAGTGCTGGTAAAACAGAAGGCAGGATATTAAACCTTCTAAATGAATAAGTCAATCTGGCATCATATTGATTGGGGCATGTGAACTAAGTGACTGTGCCAAAGCCTTTGCAGAAAAATGGGGTTTGGGCGGAAAGTTGCCAGGGTGGCCAGGTTTCTTGAGAGAGCATCTTATCCCCTGTATATACTCAGTAGGTCACTACATTCTACCAGAGTGTTTCTCCTTCAACACCCCCCCCCAAAAAAAACCCCAGAAGCCTGCTGCACTGTCACTCATAGCAATACTTTTGGTGTGGCTGCCCATTCTGTGAAAGAACATCTCTGTTGAGATACAACAGGCACCCACAATCTTTACTTTCCAGAGCCAACTGAAGTCATTTTTGTTTCCACAAGCTTTTCCAGCTGGACACCTTAGATGTCCATTTTGTATTGTTTTAAAAGCTATCTTCAGTTGTTGTTTTTTAATACTGAATTACTTTTCGATATTTTTATGGCATGTCTGTAAGTTGCCTTGAGACATGAGACAATTCATAAATTTAACAGCAGCAGCAACAACAAAAACACGAACAAACAAATAATATGAAGCCCATGAATGTTTCTCCAGCTCAGATTAGAATCCAAGCTGGAGAATCCACATTTTACCCATCCATTTCTCAGACACCACAACTCTCCCCCAGCCTCCCACAATCTCCAACTCCCCAACCATTCCATATTAAAGACCACCAGGTATTGGAATGATCAACTTCTATTTAGGCTGTGTACACACCATACATTGAAAGCCTATTATTCCCCCCCCCCCAATAATCCCGGGAACTGTTGTTTGTTAATGATACTGGAAATAGTAGCTCTGTGAGGGGTAAACCACAGTTCTGAGGATCATTGTGGGGAAATGATGTGCTTTCAAGGTGCTTTAAATCTAGGGGCTGGATTCAACTAACTGGTCCTATTCGTGGAAGCCCAATGCAAGGACTTCTGCTAGCACAACAGGGCTTTCCCCCCCCCCCCCACATACCCAGTGGTCAGAATAACCCCCAGAAGAAGAGTTCACGGGTGGAAGAGAGGAAGAACGCTTGCACCGATGGGAGCGTTTGTAACAGTGTGACATGGAATTCCTCCCTTGGAGTGTATATTAACGTGGTGCAGCTGCACAACTCATATGATACTACTTACCCATGTTACGATAGTAACAATGTGAAAATGTGCATGTATTTAAGGGATGGGCAGTCCGGGAAAGTAACGGTGGACGACTATGGTGCTAGAACTGGCAAATCACCAGGAATGATGAGACAGTTGAATATCAATGGGGACCTCTTCGTTGGTAAGTTCCTCCTAAATTCTGTTACCTACCTTTCTTAAGAGTTGTAGAGAGGCTGGTTCATGCACACAAGCCATTCGAGACAGTTGTTTACTGTAGGACGAGTAGTGCTCATGCATGCAGTTGTTGTTTTTCAGTGTCCACACAGCACTGTTGGGATCAACATGCCAGTCTGCACCGTATCCCCCACCCCCCAAAAAATTAATATGGATTTTTACTTTCTGGGGAAAATCCAATTACAGTGCAACCTCGGTTGTCAAACGCTTTGGAAGTCGAATGCTTTGGCTTTCAAACGCTGGCAACCCGGAAGTGAATGCTTCCGTTTCTCCATTTTTTCAGTGGATTTTGCTGACCGACAGTCGCGCCTCTGTTGTCTGACGGTCTTCCGGAATGGATTATGGTTGACAACTGAGTTTCCACTGTATTTATCTACCTAACAAAAACAACCTGTGGCCTCTTTACAATGATTGGTTGGCCACCATGGGAAAGAGATGCAAGACAAGGTAGGCCTTTGGCCTGATGGAGAAGGGCTACCCTTTGGTGATCGTGAGCTGCTGAGAGGACCTTTTAAGGGCCCTTAAAAGAAGCATGTAAACCTTTTTAAATAAGCACATCCTTACTTACTTAGTTTCTCCATCTCTCTCTCTCTCTTTCTGGCAGGTGGAATGAAAGAGATTGCACTGCATACAAACAGACAGTATATGAGGGGCTTGGTGGGTTGCATTTCCCACTTCACGCTTTCTACGGATTACCATATTTCACTGGTTGAAGATGCGGCTGATGGGAAGAACATCAACACTTGCGGGGCAAAGTAACAGGTGGGAAATAGTCAGAGGGAAGAGCCTTTCACCACTGTTCTTGCACACAGAGGCCTTGCCTTCTGAGCGAGGCCTGGAAGCAAGAAGCAACCTGAAGCAAAAATCACAGAAGGGGACCATTTGCCACTCTCCTTTCCTTTGGATAACATGCTCTCTCTGTCAGTGCAGGAGCACAGTGCAGGAGCGCCACCCTTTAAACTGCAAATAGTTGTAGAGTCCCATGCAGCAGAGCACCTATGCTGTTGTCTACGGCCGCTTCCTGCCCATTAACATGCATCCTCCGCAGCAGGGCTGGCTTCAAGCCCACTTGCCTTCACAGTAGCCTCCTCACACAGTGAGCAAAAGCTGGGCAGGTTGGGTAGCAACATGCCCCATTTTGCTGGCAAGTGGAGCTTTTGGCTTTTGTGGCTGGGAACAAGAGCTCTGCTGCATTGCAGAGAGAGAAAGATTGGAAGCCTCCATCTTGGTTCCTGCTGTGCCCCTAGGCCCTTCCCTGTAGTAAGAATGTGCAGAATTAAGAGGGTGAAAACGGTAGCAGCGCTTGTTGTGACCACCTCATCGTTTCAGCCACAGAATGTCTACTAGCATCCATGGCTGGAGAATAGTATAGTCTGCTTTCTTGTGCTTTGAAGAACAGATCCGCCTCCCTCTGAATATGCCGTCGCACAGCACGTTGTATCAACCACTATTCTAGTCTCATTCATAGGCTGGGCCCAGGAGAAACAAACAGCAGATCACAGCATCAGAATTGTACTGCTCATCTTCAGGCTGCAGACAGAAAGGCTTTGTTTGCTTGAATCCCCAGAATCTCTGCACCTAGAAAACTAGAGTGGTAAGGATTATAGCTTTCCATCTGCAGGGACTTTTTTTTTTTTTAACATAGAAAGAATGATCATTTATGCAATATCCTGCTGACATGTTACAATCCAGGAAGAGCTTTAACCATGCGATACGCTGGTTTTGTACACGAAAGGCTATTGCTTTACTCCCGTTTTCTCTCTGCCTGGGGAGCAGCACCAGAGCAGGGAGTTCCCTTAGGTCTTTAAGCCTAGTGCCCTGCTACAAATCTGCTAACAGAGAAGGGATGGTATTCGGCATTGGTGTTGACGCTTACATGGACTGTGTTGCTGGCCAACAGTGACGGTTCTGCATCAGTCCAGCTTAACAAACAAGCAAAAAGAGGGGGAGAGAGGATGTAATGAGTTACAGACCATACCCTTGGCTCACACAGTGTGTCTTTATGACCTATGGGTCAGTTCTGAAATTGTGGTAACTTATGCAGCCTTAATGGCACAGCAACTGTATCATCTGCACCACTGAGTGGCATATTTTGAAAGTGCTGTATTTATGCATTCCTTTATTCTATTCCAGCCTCAAAATCAGTTGCAGGTATTTGCAGCTCCAGTCTACCCAGTGTAAATACTCACAAGAAGTTATACTCTATTCCAGAGTTCTGTTGTTTCCCAAAGAGAATCCTCCTTACTATTTTGAAAACTCTACTTTTTTTATTACATGCAATTGGGGCCGGGGGGGGGGGGGCGGGACCGGGACCCAACAACCACATTTTATAGCAGTAATTTTGCACCTGTATTTTTATATAGCAGAGGCAGTGGCAGTGATTGGCTAGTTTTGTAAAAGGATTAGGTGTCTCACACAGAGTTTAGCATGTTGCAGATCTTTCCCTAAAGGAATAAGGAGTGCTAAGATTCTTACGTTTGGGGTGGGCAAGGATGTTTTGCTTGTGCTTATTCTACAGTTTTAGTGGGAAATATTTGTGAAATGTAACTGGTTTTACAATCATCATCTTTGTTTTTGTAAATTTAGACTGCTGAAAATGTACATTAATGAAGCTTTTCTGGCTTGAAGTATTGAAAAGATGTTAAAAGTTCTGTTCTACTATGATATTTGGCCATCGAGTATCATTTATTTTTTTAAAAATTGAGCACCGTAAGCTTAGGTAGAAGTTAAGATTCATGGGGTAACTTCAGAAGGTGCCTGTAATGCGTCATGAATTCATAGTACAAGAAAAAAAAGGACACGGGTGGCACTGTGGTCTAAACCACTGAGTCTTTTGGGCTTGCTGATCAGGTTGGTGGTTCGAATCCATGCAATGGTGGTGAGCTCCCGTTGCTCTGTCCCAGCTCCTGCCAACCTAGCAATTCAAAAGCATGCCAGTGCAGGTAGATAAACTGGTACCTCTGTGGCGGGAAAATAAAAGGCGTTCCCGTGTGTTCTGGCACTTGTCACAAAGTCCCGTTGTGCCAAAAGCAGTTTAGTCATGCTGGCCACATGACACAGAAAGCAGTCTGTGGACAAATGCTGACTTCCTTGGCCCAAAAAGCGAGATGAGCGCCACAACCCCATGATCACCTTAGACTGGACTTAACTATCCAGGGGTCCTTTACCTTTTTACCTTAGTAAAGAAAGTGGAACAATGTCAGGATAAGAGTTTAGATACACATAGCGCAAAGTTATGGTGTCTAAAACAGACCATAGTTTATCACAAACTTGCTGCTTGTATGAATTGAGAAGACTATGTGCAAAAAATGGAATAAAAACAGGTTTGCAAGGGGAAAGTAGTACAAACTTCTGAAGAGTAAGAAAATACACATTTATTTAACTCCATGACAGTATTCTGCCAAATTCTTAATACATGCATATTACAGGCATAAGCAGTACATTGCCATTTATGTTCATGCTAAAGTCAGTATATCAATACTATATCACTTAAACTTTGCCACTCCCTCCTCCCCAGTTGTGTTCCTCCACTAAAGTTGCCTACTTGGGAAATTTCACCAAAGCTAAATATTTAGCTGCTAAAGTACTGTTTCTATCATTTGGATGTTTAGGGGAGGAAACATTGCCCTTTCCCAGGCTTGCTTTGCGCAAATACTCAAGATGTTCATTACTACAAAGTCCCCCTAACCCCAAGGAGGTTTATTGGCTTTGGAATGGATGCACTTTTATCACAGAATGGCTGGGTTTTCACTCATGCACTTCAAATTTTGCAGCTTTCCCAAAGTAAGCACGCCCTCCTTTCACTGGTGCGCAATATTTCTAAATTCCAAGGGCACTGTGTGAGATTGAAAGTAGTCTCAAAAAGACATCCCCGAGATTTAAATATGCACAACATAAGTACATTCATTTGCATACATCACATAGGTTTGCTTAAGAGACACAACAATACCTGAGCTGTTTTGGCTTCAAATCACCAAATTCAGCAATCCAAAGTACAAAGATAGGAAGCAAGGCTAAGTTAGGGCAAACTGGTTGCATAGGAATTAAAACGCAGGCAATGGTTCAGTCTTCCAGTCAGTTCAATATTATAATGCTCATTTAATATTTTAAAAAGTATTGAGATTAGCTTCACATCTATTACACATTATCCATTTAATATGCTATGTACACTTTTAATAAAAACCATCATAATGTACTGAACTATAAAAACACAGCATATATCATACAAGTAACGGCTTTACTTACAAAGTCCCTCCCCTAACCCCATTTATGCTCCCACCCAACACAACTCCCCATCCTTACTTCCTTCGAGTCTATGCTTCATCTCACTGCAGGAGATTTCACATTCACAATGAAGGCCTAAAGGAGACCACACAGCCATGTGGAAAATTCTTTCCGCCCTCTACTATACACAGAGGGGACAATTCACAAACCAGCCACAGCGGTGTGGTTCTGTCAAAATCAGTGCAAGTCAGTGGTTTGCAAGCATCCTACCCATTAAGAAACACACTCCACGCCAACAGGTCTGCTGAGCAATTCCGCTGAGCCCCTCAGAGGATCTTACAGCACATTTTAATGCATGGATGTGCGCTTGGACCATCCAGCGCACAGCACCTGTTTGGCATTGCCCCATGTGAACTAAGAGTGCCCCCTAAAATAACAAAACAACTCTGCATATGCACATCACCTGTAAGATCAGTAGTGGATCTTCAGATAAGATGGGCTGTCACTGCTGATCTTTGAACTGTGGTTTGAACACCACTGCTCCCTCTTCAGACAGTTCTTTTCCAGGTCCCTACATCTTAACTTGCAGCCCAGATAACCCACAGCCACAATCTATAAACAGCAAGTGCGGGGTCTCTCAGTGCACAGCACAACTGAAATTTGTGCATACAACCTAAGGCCTTTCCCTCCTTTAAATTTGGGGTTTAAACGGGGGGAAGGACCGAGACAACACTGGTATAGGGAGGACAGGTGGGTGCAACATTTTGCTCGGGTTGGGCCAGACCCCTAGATCACGAGGAGCCCATTAACCTTTAGTAGCTTGAAGGGCTAGAGGCACATTCCTGCTGAACCCTCTTAAGTACAATTGCACAAGCCCTACTGAAATAAATGGAGGCTGCCAAGCAGAGTCCTTTAGGGGAAAATCAAGTATTTCAAGCAGGGCTTTTCCAAAACAGCAGGCAGCCCCAACCTCCTGCCCATTTCCCTTTCATACGAGAAAAAGCTTTTCAGAGACAAGTCATGACGGATCTTTGGGTGTTCCTCTACAGTAGCTTCCACATACTTTGTTTTGCACTTCAGCAGTCATGCTGGATTACAGGAAGCATTCTAGAGCAGCAAGACATAAGCGCCTTTCCCCTTCAGATGCTCCCTCCTAGCCAGCAAATACCTAGTTGTCTGCCATGGAAATTGACGGCTTGTGCTAGTCGCCCACAGTGCCCCATGCTACTGACAGGCAGGGGATAGCAGCTTTTTGACATCAGGCATCAGAAACACTCTAATCCCTTCCCAACTGCTTTGGGCAGTGTACTCTAAAAGACAATAATGGGCACCCAAATGGAGATATAAATACACACTGGTGTTGTCCCTGCTGCTCCCCCTGACAAGAGCCGCACTTTGCAAGCATTTTAGGGAAGAATCCACCTGCCCACTCCTCTTGCATAGTCACCACTGGATGGAATTGCCACGCAGCAAAATTATTCCAAGATCTTCACATAAAGGGAAGAAAGTGATTCAAAGGGTGAAAAGAAACCACTACTATGTTTTCAGCATTATAGCTTACTCTTATCTGCTAAATCAGGTTTCCTCAACCTGATGCCCTCCTGAAGGCCTTGCATACAACTCGCATCAGCCACTAGGGCCAATGGTAGTTGTTGTGGTGCAAAGCAGCTGGAAAGCAACAGGTTGAGGAAGCCGGCAAAAAATCTTGTTTATGAGGTATATTGTATGCAAAAGTTCTAAAAAAAAAAAGTACATCCTACAACACTTCAAAAGTGCCATCTCTCTCACACACATACAACACACACACACACACAGAAGGATTCACAGTCCCTTTCCTCCCATTCAGTCAGCACAAAACAACAAATATGACTTAAATGCCATGATGCCCTTCAAAAATTCTGCTCTTAAAAACAAAATAACAAAAAAAAAAGTATTAAAAACATATGGCTCAAATTAAAAGCAAAAGGAAGGAACCCTCCAGAACAAAATGAACACTATATACTAAACAGGACAAAAAGGTTTAAAATGTTAAAACGAAAAGGGGGATCAGACTCTTTAATTTCCCCCGCCTTCTGAAATAGGTGCCACACCTCCGGCCTCAGAAATACTTCTCAGAACTGCATATGAACCTATATGAAACATACTCCAGACACTAGAAAACCACTCAAGCTAATCTTTCACTTTTAAGGGCAGAAAGCACAAGATAATTAAGGCCTCAGCCTTCACAAGAAACACAGAAGCAGACTTCCTAACCTACAGGTGCCTATAACAAGGAGGGCCTTGTTGGGATTCTGGCAGGGAGAGGAAGCGTTATACTTCCCTTTCCCAACCGCTTATTCTTAGGCAGCTCAGGTTTCCCCCAGGGCTGCTTGTTACATAACAAACTTCATGCACATTAATGGCTGGCATTCACATGACGTGTCACATCTAGTTGAAAGCACTATCAGGGTGCAGCATGGGAAAAGGATGCGAGTGAGCAAGGGCAATGCTGCTTGTTTGCCCTAGTGGCAACGCCACATAATAAGCACATCCAATTGGCTATGTAGTGTAGTGTCTAAACCCTGATAGGCTAGCCTGTATGTAGCACCTCACCATTCCAGCTTGCTATCTAAACCCTGATAGACTAGAATTGCATTGTGAGGGAAAACCAAAATGGTACTGGAGAAGCAGCAGAATGGGAAAACAGGGTAGCTTTGCAGATGAAAGCTCAGTGCAAAATTCAGGGACGCCGATTTAAAAGAAAGAAAGAAAACACCACATGCATTATTTACCCAACAATATGTTGTTCCAAAAAGTTTTAGTTCAGTTTGTGGTTTTGCAGTTACTACATGTTTCAGGGCATTTTTCTGATGTGTTTCTGCATTTCAAGATCTCCGATATGCTGCAATGGACTACTTCTTGATATGAGACAATTACAAAATTGAGGGTGGGACAGGATGTTGGAGGGGGAATACTACCATGATATTCAGCTGGAAAGAAGTCACTCCTATCCACTTAACGGACCAAAACAAATCCACATGGTAATCTCACACTGGTGGATAACAGGCTGCCATTGCACCACATGTTTTACCACAGAAATGCAGCAAATGTGTGGTCAAAATTCTCTTGTAACACTTTGCAGGATGATACAAACAACCTCATACAAGACATATTGTTTTACCACATGCCAGGGATCAGAAGAAACCAAATCTAATTCCTGAGGGGAAAGCCTTGAAAAAGCAGCTTAAGAAAATAAAAGGCACTCTGCTAATTTAAAAAAACCCATCAGCGCCACACACACCCCCGTCTAGATTTTAAGGAATGTTTGGTGTCCCGACTAGCCAACGTTACAGCCTATTTACAGTCCTTGAAAATAGGGTAAACAAGACTACTGTGTTTAGCACCTGAGGGACGAGCACTATTGCCATGTGGGAAAAAAAAGGGATAGTGATTAATACTAGAAACACCCTTGTGTTTTTGTGTGTATGTGTCGGGGGGGGGGGAGGTCCCAGTTACCAAAAGTAATAAAGGAAGACTCCTCCATATTGAAAAGGCACTCTACAAGTGTGACTTCCTTCTCACAACAGTGAACCAAACCTATAAAGCCCCTCCACCAAATTTTGCACTTAAAATGGACATTCGAAATATAATAGACCTGAATTATTTCAAATTATTTCAAAGCAGCTGGAAAACTCAGGACCATTCCATGAAAAATCCCCATCAGTCGACCTAACATGTAGGCTTCAGTAGCTCAGAGCAGGCCTATTACATTGGTCCCTTGACTCGATTGCTAAAGAATTTGCTACATACAAAATGTTCAACAGGCAGTTGCCAATGAGGACATCTGAAATAAGTTTATAGACCACAAACATATATATATTCTATGTATATGTAAATGCCACTTCCATAAGTAGTGTGTAATTATAGACTTGCATGAGCAAGAAATATACTGTAAATGCAAGGATCTGATTTAGCTTTGCTTTAAGGGGGGAAATATGTTGTGGTTTGAAAGAAGAGCTTCAATGTGCAAATTCCAGAGTATACGTATACAAAACGAGACATCCTCCCCACTTGTTTTCTGGGCAATTATTTGCAAATAAATTCAGGAGAGGAAAACTCCATTTGCATGGAAACATAACCATGCATGAAAAAAAAATTGTATTCATGCATGAAATGTATTGCATGGAAATGGATTCATTGCAATACACATGCAAACGTATTCACAGGTGGCCACTCCCCCATGAGTAACAGTTTCCCACAGATATGATGGACGGAAAACTGTTCTCGAGTTTGCCCTGATTATGATTTCGGTGCTCAAGCAGGGGAAGAGCTTTGGAAGACGAAAGCTAAAGACCCAAGACCCAGGATGGTAAATCTGCCTCTGCAAAAATGGTGACTTCACCCTGCACTTCAGGTTGCAGGAGGGGGATGACATGACTGGATGGTCCTCAAGAAAGAAACCGAAAAAAGGCCCCCACAGAAAAGAAAAAATAGCATGTCAGGGAGGTGGATTCCTGCCTAGCATGACTACTTGAGGTCAAGATGATTTTATATTAAAAAACATTGCTTAAAAAGCTGGAAGCTTCACACATTTATCTATTCCTGACTGAGATTTTAAAATCAGTGTTACACTTTTTGTTTTTGCACCCCTGAGTCATCTATTGCAAATTGGTTTATACAGTAGGTACAGGAACTCGTGTCCTGGCTTGTCAAACTCAGCCACCCCACAGATCAGCTGTAGCCATGGCTGATCAGCTGTTTGAAGATGGAGCTCTTCCACACAAACCGGTTTAAGTCCCATAGAAGTCAAAGGGAATGCTGTGCCTGAAAGCAGTAAGGTGCTTCTACAGAGCAGGTTGAGGAACAGAGCCTTCAAACTGCCAGCAACTGCAAAATGGTAGTGTTTGGGTACTGTAGTGTTTGGTTGCACAGAATCATAGAAAAACGGATTAAAAAAGAAAAAATATATACCTTTGACGAAGCAGCAAGGCCCTAATCCTGCACATACCTGATGTGCGTCAATGCCTTTAAAAGCCTAACAATCCAAGTGCGTGATTTTTGTAATAATTTCTCCCTGCTATTCAAAATGGAAAACCAGAAAAAAACAGTCGCAAAAGGAGAGTGCCATGCTCTGTTGACAAGGCAGATTTGAGGAGGGGACTGCCCCTCCCCCAACAGATACAGACCTTCTGCTACTCTTTGGTTTCATAAAGGGTTACCTCAGAGCACCTGTTCCCCCATTGGGGCACAATAAATTAGCATCTCTGTCGCCTGAAACAAATATTGCCACTTCCACTGTTAGCATAAAACAAGGCCAGCATTCAATTTCAGCGAATGACATTATAAACCCTCCAGTATAGTGTCTCCAAGGCTGATAAGCAATTTCTGCAGCAATTTCTGCTTTCCAGAGCAACTTGTTACCACCTCAAGGCTGCTAAGCATTTGGTTTGTTGTGAAAGAAGTTAGCAAAGGACCACCCTGTGTTGGTGGCTTTGGGGGAGTCTTCGTCCTCTTTGGGTGGGATCAAAAACTGCCGAGAATTAATGGAGCAAGGGCTCCCAAAGGAGGTGTTTTCATTGTTGCTCCCAGTTGATGCAGGAGAATCTGGGCAGTCTGTATTCCAGGAGGAAGTAGTCACTTGAGGTCTGTAGCCTGCAGCCTTGTCCAAGTCCTCTTCGACGGACGACGAGTTCTCCATTTTTATTAAGCTATTCACCGGCAGCTGCATTTGGGGTTTATAGCCTGCTGCCGCCACACAGTCAACTTCTGGTTCTTCCTTCAGCTTCACTGGAGCTGGGTACATAGTCTGGATGTCAATGTAGACAACTTGGGAAGACCCCGCCGATTCGTCGATTGGTGGGTTAGAGATCTCCTCCTCGATGATTGGCGGGCAGTAAGAGACGACAATGTGGCTCTCCGTGTCAGAGTCAACGCCATCTTCTGGAAGCTCATCTGCTACAGGCGATGTAATGGCTGTATCTTCAATCTTCAGGCAAGGGGAGTGTGTTTCAACAACTTCAATGTTGTTGGGGGTGCAGGGATTCATCTCCAGGGTTTTGGAATTGGGGTTTCCCTATAAATTGGAAAACAAAGCAAAGAACGTTTAGCATTTGCAAGTTTAAAGGAACTGGATTCTTCTGGGTTAGGGAGGGAAATCACAGAACCTAATTTTGAAAACTCTCTATTTTGTTATTCAAATAACCTGTTCATATACAGATTGTTCCTATGAATATTTCTAATTCATAGCCATCAGCATTAAGAACATAAGCAGAGCTTGCTGGATCAGACAAATGGCTCATTTAATCCTGTATCCTTTTCCCCCAGTGATTGACCAGTGAGAACCAGTCCCCTCCCTGCCTGCCCCTGATTTCAGTCTTGCACAAAAGCTAACTAAATACTGTGAATCTCACATCACCAATTACCAGCCCTGTTCCTTTCTCTCCAAAGGTTGACGGCAGGTGACAAAAACAAAAATAAAAAATGCTACTAAAAACTCTTAAAAGAATAAGAAAGTAAGGTACTTTTAATGTAACCCATACAGTCATAAACTCTGCCACCTCCTCCCTAAAAACAAGCTGCTTAGGCTGTAAATCGAAGGTGTTGCTTCGCAATATCTCATAAAAATGAGAGAGACCTTAAAAACAATACAACTTTCTCCAACAATCACTGCCTTTCTATATTTCACACAGGGCAGCCCTAGGCTGGGAGGATCTGGATCCAAACCAGGGATGGGTGAAATCTGTCTATTTTGGTTTCAGTTTAGAATTTCACCAGCCTTCAATTCAGTTCCCCACATTTCTGCACCGGTCTGGGGTTCTTTAAGTCCTCATGAAAATTCATCCAACATTTGGGTGAGAATATCCAGTAACTCTTTGTTAGAACTGGGCCCATCTTTTCAGGTGGGGATGGACTCCCACAAAAGCTGGTGGACTCTCCTTCCTTGGAGGTTTTTAAGCAGAGGTTGGATGACCAATGGTCATGGATGCTTTAGCTGAGATTCCTGCATCACAGGGAGCTGGGAATAGATGACTCTCGGGTTCCCTTGCAACTCAACAATTCTATGAATCTATGTGCTAAACATCTAATCAGTCAATAGTAAAATGTGTAAGGTTACCTCAGGATCCTTCGGGAACTCTAAAGCTTTGCAGTTTTCTGGATTTGGAATGTCGGGATAGAAGGTTTCTTTAATCCTTTGGAAAGAGGAAAACAGGTGTTAATGTCAGGAATCTCTGAGAAGCTGTTGGGGGAGGGGATGCTTATTAGCTTGAGGGCCACATTCCCACAGGGTAAACATTCTGGAGGCCGTATGCTAGTGCGGGGCCGGGGCATAGAAGCAAAAAGGGGAAGAGTCGGGACACCTGCCTTTTGTACAACAGGCTATATTCTAATCTTGCTGAAATCAGAGGCACACACACACACTGCACAAATCGAGGCAAGCAAGAGGATTCATCATTATCAGAGCACGGCCAGTCAAGAACATGGAGGTCCGCATTTGCTGCACAAGCCAGAGGTTTTACAGCCCTGTTCTACAGTATTGTGTGGGTCATATTCAAGCAGCGTCTTGGCTTTTATATGCCGTAGCATCCAACACCACATTGCAAAAGGAAATAGGAAAAAAGCCAGCATATAATTTAGTTACATGTAAGGCGTTTCCTCTGCTCCCACAAACATGGGCTTCAATATGTGTAGAGAGCCACACACACCCTTACATTTTCTTAATTTACTTCAGAGTAGGATGTGGATTCTGCACCCCTCTCTATAGACCGTGTCTCTCAGTTGGCCTTTTGCCTCAATCATCATCATTATTTTTCCCTCTTGTTCTGTACATCACTGAAAGAACACCCCTGGATTGAGGCCCTTTGGCTAAAAATGTCTTCCACCCCTGGTGTAGCAGTTTAGCATTAAGGGCTAACAGATCACAGGGCCGTTTACAGTGTTTACAGACTAATATTCCACTTATTAAAAAAAGAACCTTTAATTTGAAACTCACTCCCCCAAAATTTGAGGTTTATTAATAGTGTAGAACAGATAGCATCACCCAAACAAAAAAGCAGAACTGCGGCCTATCCTTGTTTGACAAGAAAATAAAGTTTGCTGAATACCAAATATTAATTATTATTGTTGTTATTGTTATTTTAACACATTACTCACACTTCACTCTAAGGGCCCAGGGCAGGTCACGAGCCATTTAGAATTACAACATTAAAAACAGATACAAAGCTTACAATTAAAAAGACGTGATCACAAAAAATAGTTACCATTCTCTCTTCCTGTAGCAAAGGATGCTGGTCACCACTCCCAACACAATAACAATAATTACTGGGACAAGGATGGCAATGATTAATCCCACAGCTGAAAAATTAAGAGAGAGAAAAGCTAATACAATCAACTAACAGTCCTGCTGCACCTGAAATAATTTAAAAATAAATAAATACAGAAGCAGCTTTCATGGACTGCACTTGGGGTGGAGGGGACTAGCAAAGCAGAAATAATTCAAGTAACCAGCAGTGGTTCTTAGTGACCCAGGATCAAGTTACAGGCTTCTGGCGGTGGGTGGCTTGTAATATAGTAAAGCAGGCTTCCAGGAAATGGCTGGCCTCCCATTAGACATTGCTTATTGGAAATAGAAGAGATTGATGGGAAGCGGCACAATTTTGCTCCTGCTGCCTGTGCACTAAAAACAAACCCACAATGAACTACTGCATTATTCTCAAGGCTCAGCCCCACATCCATTTGCCATGCCGATTTCCCCCTAGAAAACCCATGGCATAGAGCTGAATCGAAACAAACAGCCACTCGGTTTCCCACGGATTGCTGTTTGTTCTGATTTAGCACTAAAGAGCAGGTTTTCCAGGGGAAAGTTGATGGGGCAAAGGTAAAATTGCTCAGACCTTTACCTTGAAAGCATGGGAGAAGCAGAAGTGTGGGCGACCCCGGAGTCAGGGTTGCAAGACCTTTGCTATTACCAGTTTCTTTTAAACATGTTTGCCTTTGTCCAAGCACCTGTCATTCTATCCTGAATTGCAAACTTATTGTGCATGTGATGGTGATTTTTTGTACACCACCTTAAAAACCCTCAAGAACCTCCTGTTCTGCAGAATTTTGGCTTAATCTTCACCCCCATATGCTGCAGCCAATCATATGCACACTCTGATCTCTACCCGCCCTCCCTCACTGACCATAAACTCAGTAAGGTCCATGGGGCAGGGACCCACCCAACATTTGCTTCTGAAATCCTGCAAAGTGTTATCTACACCAGTGGTGCCTGAACACCACCACCGATAATCTTTGAGGGTTATTCAGGAATTTGAGAGGGGTTCATTGTGCATTCCGCCATTATCTGGCGAGAATTAAATATGCCACCCCAAAACGATGCCACTCCCCCGCAAAAAGATCCCCAACAAAATACACCCTCCTTCACCCCAAAAAACTTACAATTCTCCTTTGTAACCACAGACAAGCTGCTTGGGGGGCCAACTCCACCAGCTGTGTAGGCTCTTAAATTCAGATGGTAGTTTGTTTTCCCTTGAAGGCTTGATATTTTTAAGGTGTTTTGCTTTAAGTCAGTAATATTCATGTAGGTCTCTGAGTGGCCTGGTGTTAGGGGGGAAAGAAAAGAATTAGGGTTGGGGGGGAGAATTTTAAGAAAAGTACCAGTTATCACAGGGCAGATTCACACATGCTGTTTTGTAAAATGAACTTTCAAAGGGGAAGGGAGTAAATGCATATAGATTAAAAGGCAATCCAGTCCTATCACCTCACATATATATTTATTCAAATACTACTATCTTGCCCCTTTTCACAATATTCCATTCTATTCCCCCCCCCTTAAAAAACCCCAAACTCCACATCCATGGCCACTGAGCATGCTCAGACTTCATTAGGCTGCTTTGGGTGTTCCTCCTGCCACAAACAAACAAAGCCCTTTCCTGCACTCCTCTTGCTGCAAGCTGTATGGTTTAAAGCCAAACTTACTCTACCCTCCATTCAGAGGATAGATACCCCTTCTTGTAAAAGGGCAGCAAGAAAAGCCGCATTGTTGCGTTAGGCAACCATAATTGACTTTGAGGATAGATTGGCAAAGACCACTGACTGTGGCTGTACTTGAACATTCCCCCCTAGAAAATTCTAAGTAAAGTAGCATGTTTAAAAGGTAGTTGGGTGCTGCTGTACATCCAGATTCAGGAGGAGCTCTGAGCACTTCTACCAATAGAAATTGACAGAGGAACTACCGTATTTTTCGCTCTATAACACGCACCCGACCATAACACGCACGTAGTTTTTAGAAGAGGAAAATCCGTAGGCATGCCACCCGTAGGCATTCCCTCCATAACACGCACAGACATTTCCCCTTACTTTTAAGGAGGAAAAAAGTGAGTGTTATGGTGCAAAAAATACGGTAAATACTAACAGGAAAATACCCCCCCCCCAAAAAAAAAGAACCCATCACCAGACACTTCCTGTGCAAAATAGGTTGACCTTGAAATGTGCTGTCAAGCTGCTGTTATCTAGCTCTGCAGGGAATGATTTCTCCCAGCTATATTTTCCAAAACAGAAATAAGTTTATTTCCCATAAGACACCCAGTCACAAAGCAGCTATCAAGGGCAGGGCTAAAAGAATCCCAAAGGTGGCTCTTTCTTGTTCCCAGGCACATCCTGTTCTACAGGAGCTGGGATGGTTGTGCTTGCTTTTCTGTGCTTGCACACCAGAGATGTTTCATTTATCGCATTGGTAGGAATAATTGGGGACGATCATCGATCAAGTATTCAGGGCATCAGCAACACACTCCCAACTGAGTTGCCTTTTCAAGTGGTGTTGGCCATTGTGTGGCTAGAGTCCCATACAACTAAAAAATCTGAATGCTAGAAGATTCAGGACAGACAAAAGAGAGCACTTCTTCACATAATGCATTCTTTAAAAAATGCAATCTGCTCTCGCAAGAGGTAGTGATGGTGACCAACGCAGTGTGGTTTTAAAAGAGGATTCAGCAAATTAATGGAGAATATAGCTTTCAGTAAAAAGGGACGCGGGTGGCGCTGTGGGTTAAACCACAGAGCCTGGGACTTGTTGATCAGAAGGTCGACAGTTCGAATCCCTGCAACGGGGTGAACTCCCGTTGCTCAGTCCCTGCTCCTGCCAACCTAGCAGTTCAAAAGCACATCAAAGTGCAAGTAGATAAATAGGTACTGCTCTGGCGGGAAGGTAAACGGCATTTCCGTGTGCTGCTCTGGTTTGCCAGAAGCGGCTTAGTCATGCTGGCCACATGACCCAGAAGCTGTATGCCGGCTCCCTTGGCCAATAAAGCGAGATGAGTGCCAGAACCCCAGAGTCGGTCACGACTGGACCTAATGGTCAGGGGTCCGTTTACCTTTACCTTTATAGCTTTCAGTGAATCCTAGCCCTAATGGCTATGTTTGAACGGTCCGCCCCACACCAAGTTCCAGGATCACATTTTGGTCAGCAAGGTGTTAAAGACGGCTGAGCCAAGAAAGTGACTTTCCCAGTAACATAAAATGACTTAAAGTGTGAAGGTCAAAGATCAGTATTGTGCACATCCTTTCAAGGTCTCTGTGATATTGTGTCAGTTGGCGGGGGAGGGGGCATGTTGCCGAGAGCAAAGCTGTGTTTTCAACAAGTATTCCTGGAAAGATGCAATTAAGCTGTCCTGAGGTCCCTTTAAATATTATTCCCGTTGCAAGGCTCCTACTGAGGTATGCAGGCAGACAAGATTATCAGTGAGTGGGAAGTTTTTTTTGGGGGGGTGGCTGTTTCCAGGCAGAATGAGACCAGAGAGCAAGTTCTGGGGAAAATGACAGTGAGACCAGCAGGTTTTATTTTCTATTAACTCTGTAGTTGAGTGCAACATACCACAACAAGCTAGGATTAAGACAGGAAAGAAGTTTCGGCTGTAATGGCAAACCTTGGTTAACACAAGAAAATATTCACTAGCTAATGTCACACCATAGCTTCAGAGCATGGTTTGCTGCCCCAAAACAAACCATAGCTAGTTGGCCAGGGCAGGTTCAGATGTATAAAACCAACCAAACCATGGCTTAGTGTTGGGTCTGAACACTGCCAACAGGAATACAGATTTATTAGTGTTTTGATCGCACTCATGAGTTTTTTCTTCCCTCTGCCAAATTATTATTATATTTAAAAACTTTGCTTTTTGTTTGTGAGTGCCATATTATAATCACATCGGAGTTTGGTCAGAGCATGGGGAGCTAACTTATATCAGGTCAGAGTGTTTGTTGATCCATCATGCTAGCCCAGCACTATGTACTTTCTAGGGTCTCAGGCAAAGGTCTTTCATTTCATCTATGATCTTCTGACACTGTATCCCTAAGCTACAGGATGCACTCAAAAACTGGTGATTTATAGCCCCCTGAACTAGAACACAAAGACCAGAGTACGAGTTACATTTGGCAGGGTTACGCTGCCAAAGCCAGACATACCCTGCTGAACGCTTATAACTTGATCGTATTGAGCACCATCATCATGTTTGGATTTGGCAGTGCAACTGGCACGGCAACTAAGATAATAAATGTGACAGCACTGCCTCTCACGATAAAGCACTCGCAAACCTTGCAGTGGGGCTAAAATCACAGAATTGTTGAGTTGGAATGGATCCTGAGGATCATCTAGTCCAACCAAATCTTAACTAGATCATATATGACAGATGGCCATCCAACCTCGCAAGGAAGGAGAGTCCACTGCCTCCTGAGGGAGACTATTCCACTGTCAAACAGCTCTTCCTGTCAGAAAGTTCTTCCTCAGAATCTCCTTTCTTGTAACTTGAACCATGAAAGGGTTTATTGATAGCCAAGCTATTAACATTTTTCTGCCTCCTTATTTTGCCAATGAACTTTGCTGCCTTGCCTGAGATGAGATTTCTAACGAAGCGCATTTGGCCAGTGGTGAGAGACAGTCAAAAACGCATCATTTACCTGGCTCAAAAGCTTTCGGCTTTGTGGTGCTTTCGTCGCCTTTCCCAAAGTGAAGCAGATAACCTTTTAAAAAGCCCCGGCAATCTTCGACAGACATGTTCTCCCATCTTATGACGATGGAATCTGAGGTGGCACGCTCCACTTTGAAAACTGGCGCGGCGCTAGGTTCTAGATGGAAAGCAAGAAGGAAGGGAAAACTTTTTTTTTAACAAACCCGAGATAGGTGTGTTTTGACAAAAAGATGTGTTACATGCAAACATTACTGTAGAGACTTTGTCGAGCCAACGGGTCTACAACCTCTATGTCTGGGACTGGCTGGATGACATTGAGTGGTGTTGAGACACCAGCCCAAGAACTCCTACCCACCCACCCAAGGGATGGCACAGAGGAAGAAGACTTAGACCCAGGACAGTGGTGGTGGGACACTGAGGACCAGTCTGCAGAAGGGACAAGCTGAGAGGTGACAGAAGCAGGAGGTTTGAGTGAACACAGGGGATCAGAAGAAGAAACCCGTTCCAGGCTAGGTGTCTAGGGTCATGCTGCTTCAGTTGCCCAACAGCTGGGCAGTCCTCCAGCTAGCTCTCCACTGACACTCAGATCACGGAGAGCCTTGCATGCTGCTGAGGAACAAGCCAGACAGGCCCAGAGGGGATTCCTCCATCTTGCCATAGTTTATGTCTGCTTGGGAGGAGAAGTCAGAGAGAGAGAGAGAGACTACTGGAAAGGAAAGGAGGGGCCAGATGTCAGTCCCAGCAACATCTTCAACTAGGGCAGATTAGCCTACATGAACTCTGTTGTGTTTTTATTTTTGTGAATAAAAACCGATTCCATTTTTGTGTCTCGAGTCCTTTTCCTGACCTGAGGATGAGCCTGCATTCCTGACAGCCCCTTGACTATCTTCCCTCATCACTGGCCATCCAGGCTGGGGCTGACGAGAGCTGTAGTCCAACTCCTGGAGGCCATGACACTGGCTACCCCGACATAAATGCAAGACTGCTAGATCAAACTACAGGTCCATGTTATCCAGCATCTTGTTCTCCCAGTGACTAACCAGATGCCAATGGGAAGCCTGAAAGTAGGACCTGGGGTGCAACAGCACTCTTGCTACTTGTGCTCTAGATAGGAAGATATGCCAGAGAACCATCTTCAGCAGGAGAATCTATCATGTAAGTAACAAAGGGAACAGGAATGCAATCCAGAAACAACTGACGTGGTAATGCACACCCAAGGTTATTTCAGACACAGTTGAACCACAGGGGGAAATGTTCATAGAACTGCATATATTGGAGAAAAATGCATATTATTAGGGAAATTTGACTGCAAAAATGTGAATAGTAGTCAAAACGAATTACAAAAAGGAGCTGGTTAACAGAAATGTGTACAGATTTTCATTAAGTTTGTGTAATGCAAATTGTTGCAGAAATGTGGAACGTTGCAGAAATTTAAGACGGGGGGGCGGGATTAGAAATGGAGAGAGACTGATATTGAAAGTTGCAATCCTGCTGGTGCAACTCACCTTAGGATATATTTACACAATTGACTAACTCACCTCGTTGGTCTTGATCCAAAACTAGGCTATGAACCTTCCTAAGATAATTGCAAAGATAATGCACTTTCAGTCTGTCCCTATTTCCCTCTTTTCTTTTGGTTCAATAAACCCTAGAAGTGTCAACACATTTTCTCTTGCATCTGAATAACCTTTAGCAAAATTAAAGGCACTTACGCAGCTCTTGTGTGTAGCCATTTATATACTTCAGTAGTTGATATCCATTGTCTTTGCAGCCATGGACAGAAAATCTGTACCTGATTCCTGGCTGAAAGAGATCTGTGGGACAAAATAATCATTAAATATCTTATTTTACAGTGCTCTACATTCTGAGAAGAAATAGAGACATTCAATCCTTTACAAGCAGGGAGTTGCTCCTTTATGGCTAAATCTGGTCACAATTCAACTCTTAAAACCATGAAAATAATGTGTCTCAGTTTCCCAAATCAAATCTGAGAGTTGCTTCTTGTCTTATTTATATTATTTTATCAGGCACTAGCAAGTAAATTATAATTTATTTGCAACAACCCTGCTATGACTTTAATGTTTTGATACATTGCAAAATGTGTCCATTTCTCAATAAAGTGATTTTCCATCCAGGGATTCAAAGGTAAATCCCAACCCATCATATTCTTCATCCTATCAAGAGTCATGCTCCCAAAGATTCCAACCTTGGGGCAGTTGTAATAAATATGATCAATATCCACTTCTATGCAACAAGCCTTTAAGTGACTCCAATATTTCCTGGCTGGCCAACTCTACCCAATGTGTCATTTATTCAATGCCTGGGTATCCATCACCATCATAATACCAATTTCACTCACCTAAAGCCTAAAAAGCAAGCCTCAGGTGAATGGATGGCAGCATGATGATAAAATGCTTATTTACAAACTGACCTTGACCTTCAGATACAGGCTCTTAAGATCTCCACAAACAACACACTAAAGTTCAGAAGCAGCTCTAAAGACACACAGACCATTTGCAAATGCAAAGCCAAACCACAGTTTATAGAATTACATGCATAAGGCTTGCACACACCCAACCTCAGCCTCTGTAGCAGAAACAAGGAGACTGGAAGCTTTGACTTCTGCATTCAAGCTCCACAGAGTTGCCTGTGATATTCAAACAAAGAGTCGTCGTCATCACCCCCCAAGTTAGAACTATGATTAGATTGATCCTGGATTGCTTGAGTTTAAACCAAGCAGAGATCCCAAGCTTTGAACAAGGTGTGGCAGGCCCTGTTCTGTGGAACTGCTTGCCTCCAGAAGTTTGGCAGGAATCATCCCTAATCATTTCTACATCTCTTCTAAAAACTGTACTGCTCAGACAGGGCTTTCAAACCTAATATGCTTTTGCCAACCAGCTTCTACAGATACATCTGGCATTTTAAATTTCTTTTTACCGTGTTTCTTTGATTGCATACCATATGCTGATATTTTTTCATGAAAGCGTGGTTTATCAAGATTTTACATAAATAAGCAAATTTTAAAGAAAAGGTAAGAATTGCAGCCAAGGAATAAACTCCATTTGGAGAACAAAAATGCTTTCCTGAGACAAATGTGGATAAGTATCCAAACTTTACAAGCAAGCTACCATTAAAAGGGTAATTTCTATCTTAACATAGGAATACATAAAACAGAAAATCATGGGGGGGGGGTCAGGAAGAAGCTCTAGCTATGGCAGCTTGAAATGTAAACTCTCCTGCTCAAAAACAGCAGAGTCCCAAACACATGCCCTGTCCATAGCTGTCAACTTACAGATTTGAAAATAAGGGACCAGCAGCCAAAATAAGGGATTTTCCGGGCACAGGTATGTTCAACTTCTGAGCCGCTCCGAGCCAAAGGCAGAAAGCCCAGTCAGCAGCCAAACAAAGCCTCAAGTGATGGTTCCCACAGCGCAGCAACCCGGCAAAGGGGATGCAGCAAGGAAAACCACCGTCACCTCTCTGCTGGGAAGCGCTGAGCAAAGGCGAGTCCCCAGGCAACGCGGCCGATTTGATTGGCACAAGGCATGCAAGCTCCACCCCCCAGTCGTTCTTAGACTCCTTATTGGGTGAGCAACGCAGCCAAGCAACACAGTTGGTGCCTCCCTCCTCCCTGGCCGGCAGGGAGGGAAGGAGAGGAGCTGCTTCCTTTGAAACCCAGGAAATTTAAGGGACATCATCCATAAGGGACAGCAGCGGGACACGGCGCTGGGATAAGGGAGTTTCCCGCCAAATAAGGGACAGTTGACAGCTATGGCCCTGTCCCTAAATCATGGTGATTCTCACTTTCACATGCAAGCACAGTTCTTTGCAGAAACAAATGTTAAGCAGTTATTTCCTACCAGATTTGATCACAGCATCTGACACGCCTGATGGAAACGTTTCCCAACTCACAGCAGCACTGGGCTCAGGCCCCTCACGCCACCTCACAGTATAGCCACAGGTGACGTTGGGGTCAAGCTCCCAAGCAACGTAAATACCATCTCCTTTGGCAACTCCGATCTCTGTTGGGGCATCGCCTGCAACATTGATAATGTCAAAAGTTAGTTCCTGGGGCCTTCTTAATGCATTTCATAATGCCTTCCCTATTCCCCCCCCCCCAATTTGTTTGAAGACACAAGCAATAAAACTACACATATAAAAATACAGAAGAACCTAACTGGTCCAGAATAAACATACACAAATTTATCATTGGTAACATATAGATAGATAAATGAAGGATCTTTACAATTTTATAATATGCAGAGAATAACACGTGCTGAAAAAACAGAGAGAGTAGCTGAGGGAAGGCTGGGGGGTGGGGTGGGAGGGTGGGTTTTTCTTTTAGGGATGGGGTGGGTAAAATAGGGGGGAAATGAAGATGACATGTTTTTGATAAATTGTTATGTTGAAATTCCTAACAAAAATATTTTTTAAAAAGAACCTAATTGGTCCAACTGCTCTCGTTAAAGAGAAACAATTCCAAACAATGCTTAATTCGGGTCTTCCCAACTTCATTCATCCTTCCTCATAAAGATTATTTATTTCCTTTAACCCATTAATAAATAATAATAATAATAATAATAATAATAATAATAATAATAATAATAATAATAATAATATTTGTACCCTGCCCATCTTGATTGGGTTGCCCCAGCCACGCTGGGCAGCTTCCAACAAATATAAAGCATAATAAAACATCAAAAACTTCCCTATACAGGGCTGCCCTTCAGATGTCTGCTAAAATTGTATAGTTCTTTATCTCCTTGACAATTGATGGGAGGCTGTTCCACAGGGTGGCTGCCACTACCAAGGAGTCCCTTTTGTCTTCTTAGACAACCACAGAAGGAAAGCTGGACACATCTGGCAGTAATGGGAGGTGCAGTATCATGTCCTCTTGAAGACAACCAGAATTTAAGAGAGACCAGCTCCTGGGATCTCTGTAATCTCAGTCTAAACTTTGCTGTTCAGTTTGGAGCACCTCCAGAAATACTGGTCAATAGACTGATTGACTTGACCAGGAGCCTCAGTTTTGCATGCCAGCACATCCTAGAAAGATTTAAGCTTTATCTTTCCTCACAAAATATCTAATAAAATTTTATGGGGAATATCGTATTGATCTTTGGGTGGCGGTGTAAGAGAGTGTGAGAGAGATAAGCAAGACACTGTTTTTGAGTCTTAAGAGCACACTAGACTGGTAATACATGTCTATCTAAAATCTGTTTACATTGGAGGACCTGCTGATAATTGGATTAAGTTCTGTGAGAAGTTCAATGGGATACAGCAGCGTAAAATCAGGTTCTCCAAATCAGCATGACAAATCAGCCTGGATGAACTGGACTGTGGCTCTCACAATATAAGTGCATGAAACAGAAATCAGGTCCAACGAAATCAATAGATCTTCCATGAAAAACACCTCCGGGTTACATTAACTGTATAATTACATTTTCTCCCCATATGGCTTGGGCTAGTAGTGAACGACTGCCAAGTCACGAGCTGCTCAACTTGGAACAGCATCAAATACCAAATATAGAACTGAGCTGGCTTGCTACAGAGAAAAGGGGGAGGGCAGCAGAGGAGAAATACTGCTGAGTGAGAAATGCAATGAATAAATGTTTTACTTTGGCAACAAACTGCCGATTGCAGGTGCACAATTCCAGGTGGAAGCTAAGAAATCTCCCAAGGAGAGAAACTCCCCAAATGTATGGAACGAGGAGGAGGAAACACACCTGAAGCAAACGATTTCACCTTCCTCATAATAATGGCCTACGATTGGAATGTTGCCATCTGTAACCCACTGCAATATCAGAGGTTGATGAATGTAAGAGCCTGCACTGAAATGATTTATGCGGCCTGGATCCCTGGCTCTCTTTACGCAGGTGTGCCAGATCTAGCATCAACTGGCAGATCAACCTGGAGCTGTATGTCTCCTATGTGTATCTCTAACCAAGGAAAAAAATTAGAGAATACTTTGCCTCTCCTCATATTTACAGTTATTTATACCTCTATAAAATGCTATTCACAATAAAGGAGTGAAATGAAAGATATCAGAAAAAAGAACAAAGAAAAAATAAAGTAGTAAAAGAAAAGGATCATAAGTGAAAAATTTTAAAAGTAGATAAGTATTCACTATACATAGCCGTTTCCCATCTATATTTATATTCAATTGTATAATTTCATCTTGTCCTTATCTACCTTAAAAAGTGTTATTCTTTTTTTTAAAGACTTTTTTAAAAGACCGTTTGCCTCACGCGTTTTTAATAATCCGTTCCATCAGATCCTCTGTTCTTCATATTTTCCCTTTGGATTTCCTTAATGTCTCAGTTTGTATTTTTTATATTACGCGCATGATTATTCTAAACACAACTAGATTTTTATAGTAAAAAAAATAAATACAAAATCTCTATTAACTTTCTACATGCTATACATAATTTTATAAACCTCTATCAAGCCACCTCTTTCTTGACTGTTCTCTAAACTAAGAAATCCCAAATGCTGTATTTTTTCCCCTCAGAGGGGGTTGCTCGACTCCCCCGCCCTGATAATTTTGGCTGCCCTTTTCTGAACCTTTTTCAACTCTACAATATCCTTTTCCAAGGTGAGGAACACACAAATACACTATTATCTCTTCCAGGCATCCAAAGCATTTGCAGAATGTAACGGAGCCCAGGCTGAAAGGACCTGCTTATTATTCCTCGTGCTGCTTTCCGGATGAGTCACCCTCCATGACTACGATCTGTGACTCACAATGCCTCAGAACTGAGTTGTGCTGCGGGTAACGCAAAGCAAGGCATCCAGTCATTCAAAAAGTTCTTTTCTAAGAAGAGTCTGAGGAGGCGTAAGAACTGCCAGCTGCTCGCTTCAGTCAGAGCCACAGAAGTGCCTGCCCTGGAGCAGCCGACGTCTGTATTACTCACCAAGAGTGCTTACATAACTCCATAAAAGTTGCATCAACTTGTTCAGCCAATGAGCGTGAACAACAAAAAAAGTAACCCTGAAATCTTGAACAGCATGAAGACTGTGTATCTTGGATCATATTCAGTTATACCAGCAAGTCCAAACCTTTTCACCCCTACCCTAGAACCAATAAACAAATACAACTAAGGCCCCACCTGCACTATAAATTTAAAGCAGTATTATACCACTTTAAACAGCCATGGCTTTTCCCAAAGACTCCTGGGAACTGTAGTTCAAGAGCGCTGAAAGTTGTTTGGAGACTACTATTTCCCTCATGAAGCTGCAAATTTCAGAATTGACTGTTAAAAACCACTCTGGGAATTGTAGTTCTGGAAAGGGACTGGGGGGAGCTCCCAGCAGCGTAGCGTCCTTAAACTACAGTTCCCAGGCTTCTTCATTGCTTTAAATGTATAGTTCAGATGGGGCCTAAGGGCATACGTATAAATTTCAACCACATATTCTCCAGCGTGTTACCCCATCCCAATTGGCAGCTTCCAACACATATTAAAACACAATAAAAAGATGAAACAGTAGCAGTTTGATCCAATACAAAAAGTCACAATAACTTTAAAACAATTTATATCAAACAAAGCATCGTTCAACAATCCATCAGAACCTAACAGTATACAGTGGTACCTCAGGTTAAGTACTTAATTCGTTCTGGAGGTCCGTTCTTAACCTGAAACTGTTCTTAACCTGAAGCACCACTTTAGTTAATGGGGCCTCCTGCTGCTGCCGTGCCGCCGGAACACGATTTCTGTTCTCACCCTGAAGCAAAGTTCTTAACCTGAGGTAATATTTCTGGGTTAGCGGAGTCTGTAGCCTGAAGCGTATGTAACCTGAAGTGTATGTAACCCGAGGTACCACTGTATTAGGAGATAGGTACACAAAGTACACACATTTCATGCATTCCCCCCCAAAAAAAATGGGGCATACAGATAGAAACCACAATTGACAAAGAGTTTTATTTCATACTTACTGACTGGAATATCTGCACTGTTTATCTGAGAAGGAGGAGAGTGGCCAGCCTTGTTTTTTGCCACCACCGAGAATGCACAATCATTTTCCCCAAGCTTTATTGAGATGTTGCTGGCAGGTGCAGAAACCGACCTGTTGTAAGTGGACCCCTCTGGTAGGGACCAAGACACTTCGTAAGCCTCTATCAACCCATTTGTGTCGGAAACGGGTAGTGGCTGTTGTAAAAAGAAAGAGAGAGATAGCAGGTTCAAGGGAAATAGAAAAGGAAGTATGCAAGAAAAGCGTGCTGTCACAAAGCCACTTTCAGAAAGGTACTTAAAACAGCCCTATAAGCTGGGCCTCGTTGCAGTTTACCCACTGACTGCTGGGCAACCCATTTATATATTTCTAGTAAACCGGCCGTCAAAGAAAGGCTCGTGAGAAGCTGCCTCCTACAGAGCCAGACCATTGGTCCATCCATCTCAGTTTTGTCTGCACTGACTGGCAGAAGCTTTCCAGGGTTTCAGACAGGAGGCATGTCCTGGAGATGTCAGAGATTGAATCTGGACTTTCTGCATGGAAAGCAGATGCTCTAACACTGATCTACGACCCTTCTCCAAATACAATAGCAAGGAGACACGACCAAGAGGGCATTTATCCTGAGAGAGAGAGTTTGGATTTGATATCCTGCTTTATCACTACCCTAAGGAGTCTCAAAGCGGCTAACATTCTCCTTTCCCTTCCTCCCTCACAACAAACACTCTGTGAGGTGAGTGGGGCTGAGAAACTTCAGAGAAGTGTGACTGGCCCAAGGTCACCCAGCAGCTGCATGTGGAGGAGCGGGGAAGCGAACCCGGTTCACCAGATTACGAGTCTACCGCTCTTAACCACTACACCACACTGGCTCTCCTGAGTCCTACGGCTGGCTCCCAGGCAGTATGCTCAGACATTTGCTAGGGATGGAAGCAATATAAGGTGCTGCTATTTTCATGTGCTATATGAAAGGGAAGAGCAGATAATTTCCAAACTTGGTCACTCTATCTCCTACAGGTTAAGAGAATGGCTTGCTTAACTTTTCCCCACAGGGCGAGTTGGCATTAACTGATATGGGAGTTGCTAAAAGGGGCACACTTAGAAATGCCGCCACAAGTGGCAACCACAAACTTGCCAAAGCTTGAGAATCAAGTCTGCCCATTTTGCCTGCATAGTCTCTCTCAGGAGACGCTTTCTTGGTCATGCAAAAGTGTGGCAGATCGTTGGGCGAGAGGGAGTAAAACTTTGTTTTGTACATAATCTGTCAAATCCAATGAAAGTGGAAGTACTGCAGCAGCGTGTGTGGCCTGCGGACCTCAAAATGCTGGACACATACTGTTGGGCTCCCAATCCCAGAAGCCCCAGCCAGAAGGGCCAAGGTTAAAGGATGATGGGAGCTGTAGCCTAAGACCTGCAAGATCACAGGTTGGCCACCCAACCAGAAGTGAGGCAGAAGGCAAAACACTGCAGGCAGTGCTGTGATTGGAACTGTGTACATGAGTAAGCGTGCTGTATTGGGGTGGGGGATGGCCTTCCAGCATGGCCAACAGACAGGGATCATGGGATTTGTAGTCCCCAACAGCATCTAGAAGGCCACAGGTTCCCCACTCCTGGGCTAAATAAATACACAGAAAAGGGGCAAGCAAAACGGTTGGTCCTGTACTAAATTATTATCCAAAGCTGTCAGACAGTTCACAAAACAAGAGTAGAATAAAGCTGCTCTTGAAGAAGACATCCCACCACTTTCCCAAAGGTATGCATTATCACAAGATGATGCTTCCCCTTCAGGGATCACCACCACCAACACTATATTTGTGTGTCCACACACAAAAGACCTAGGCTCAAAGCAACAATTCAACTCAAAAATCAACAACTGCGAGAATTATTTCATAACATCAGCAATAATAAAAACAGCAGCATATAACAATTGCAAGAGCATACAGATAACAAAATTTCAGTACTATAAATGCAGCAATAATGATACCATAACTTTCCATCTTACCACGTGGATTGTGGGTTGTTTTTTTTTTTACAAAACCATTTTTCGTGTGACTGGGAGGGGAAAGTTCACCTTATGGCCAATATTGCACTGCAAAATGAGTTGTGTGAATTGGCTCAGAAGGAGCAAAGTTTGCAAGCAACAAGCAGTATTGTCTGGGAGCCAGTAATTTAAGGACAAATTAAAAGCAACAGCAGCCAAACACATACCTTCCAAAAGAGGTTTACAGTCTCACCATCAAGACTTCTCTCTCTCCAGAGATCTAGACTTCTCGTTGGAGCTGGAAGAGGAGAGTTTTGATTATACTTAAGAAAATATTCATTGCTATCAGCTGACTTATACAGAATTGCCAAATTGTAACAATGACCAAGAGAGACAGCTGCTTAAGAAGACGACTCACAATTTCCAGCACTCTTACATTGAAGAAACGTCTCAAACAGCTGATACTTCTTTATCCCAAAACCTATCCAAGCCTGCACAATGTCTTATCGACTCTTATAATTATTATAAAGTGCAGAGTGGGGCTTTTTCATCAAGGCAAAAAACCTCTCCTCCCTCCTCATCCAAACTGGAAAAAAGAGTTATGGCTATATATTTTTTAAAGTGGGTTTTTTCCCCTTCACAATGTTAGGTTAGGAAGAAAAGGGGGAAGAGGGGGAGGGGGAATTGTGAGTGGGGTGGGGTGGCAATGCTTCTATTCTTCTACTTAGTGTATGTGTGGGGTTTTGTGTCAGCATCACTTGTGTGGGTTTTCTTTACGATTCACTTGTAATTCTTTGGTGGTGAGAGAGGTTGTAAGTGGCCTAGCTCTAGGGTGTGGTTGGTTGTCTTTGATTGGCTTAAGTCATGGGTAAGCAAACTAAGGCCCGGGGGCCGGAGCCGGCCCAATCACCTTCTAAATCCAGCCCACGAATGGTCTGGGAATCAGTGTGTTTTTACATGAGTAGAATGTGTGCTTTTATTTAAAATGCATCTCTGGGTTATTTGTGGGGCATAGGAATTTGTTCATTTATTTTTTTCCAAAATATAGTCTGGCCCCCAACAAGGTCTGAGGGATAGTAGACCGGCCCCCTGCTGAAAATGTTTGCTGACCCCTGGGCTTAAATAAAATTTGTTTTTATGTGTGAGTGGAGTGTGTGTGTGTTTTTGGACCAGGTTAGCCATATTGATTTGAATGCTATTGGTGGGTCCTCGTTGTCTTGTTGGGCTATGTATGTGATAAAGGGGAACCATACCGGGGTGAAGGCGTCTTCTTCTATTTCTCCCCGTGTCAGTTTCAGTTTATTGGTTAGCTTTTCCTAATAAGGATGTTTCCCATACTATTTGATACCATTGGTCCATGCTAACTTCTGACAGGTCTATGATGCTTCTGGCTGCTGAGAGTAGCTGGGTTATGAGCTCTTTATGATGTGAGTGGGCATTATTACTTTGGAAGATGCTTACCAGGGCCATCTTCCCTTAGTTCTGGGGTGACTTCTAATACTTTGCTTAGTTATCTTGCATATTTATTGTATGATTGATGTCAAGAAGAGTTGGATTTTAGGACATTCCCACCACATGTGGAGGTATGTGCCTGTGGAGGTGCATCCTCTCCACCATTTTGGTGAGGTTCCTGGACATATTAACATTAGTTTCCATAGTGTTAGGTACCACCTGTGAGTTTCAGAGTGAGTTCTTTTCTTTTCGCCGATATGGATTTAAAGGGAGTTTTAGACCACATTCTAGTCTATTGGGTGGGGTTAATCTCATAGCCTATTGACATTCCCCCATTGTTTTTTTGATTGCGTCGAGGGGATTTGTGGGGTTTTGGAGTAGTATTTTGTATCTTGTGGATACCATCCCTTTGCCATGTCCCTTTGTTGTTAGGAGGTTTTCAAAGGTTGTCAAGGGCCTAGTTGCTGCTGATTTTACTAATGGATTTTTTTAAGAGGGCATGTAATTGGTGGTATGTTAGCCAGGACATTTGGGTGTCCCCTAGTTTGTCTTGTATTTCTTGCGTTGATATGGGTTTGTTATTTTTTTTAGAAGTCTGCTAGGCAGTATAAGCCTTTGGCTCGCCTGGTTTTATCTGGAAGTTTTGTGCTGCATGGTGAAATAGTGGGTGGTGTGCCGGGGAAATGGTGGGAATGGGGTTGGGGACAGTTTACCTACTTCTTCTTTCCATGCTTTAAGCATGGTCTGTGTGATGTGTTGTGGGGATTTTCCTTAGTTTGGGAGAAATGGGTATGCAGAGGTGCGGGTGTTTTCAATTGTGTCTCTCTCCAGGTGTACCCATTTTTCCGTCTCATCATCTAGGATTTACAGGATTATGTGACGTACTTGGTTGGTGATGTAGGATGCTTTTATGTTGGGGATTCCCCATCCTCCTTCTGAAGAGGGGAAGTGCAGGTATTTGGGACTTATTTATCTTTTCACACAAAAAACCAAGAATGAGTAATTTTTTCTGCCATTTGTGAAGTTGGGCTGGGGGAATCCAGATTGGGAGGGTGATCATTTTGAGCATGGCTATTGTGTCAGAGTGTGAAGTTGCAGTGTTGTTCCATTTCCTCAAGTCTTCGTTGATTTGTCGTCACAAGGGGTTGTAGTTGTGGAGGTATAATTTGTTGGTTATTTGTACCCCTAGGTATCTGAACATGGTGCAGCAAAGTTTTATCTTGGTGATGTTGGTGAATTCCTTTTGGGTATGAAGGGGGGTGCTGAAGCACATAGCCTCAACACTCAACAGGTTGAGTTCCCTGATTAGGGAGGCTGCTGTGTTTATGGGGTCTGGTGTTGTGACCATTAGGTCATCTGCAAAGAGCCCTGATTTATAGCTTCTGCCTTTTATTTCCACTCCCTTGTCTGTGGCTGCTCAGATTCGGATTGCTAGAGGTTCCAGAGCCAGGAAGGGAGGCAAGGAAGGGGAGACAGTGGGCATCCTTGTTTTGTGCCTCTTTGGATTGCTATGGCATTAGAGTCTATACTGCTAGTCCTGCATTTTGCTGAAGCTCAGGAGTATATTTGTTTGTGGGTTTGTAAGAAGTTGGGACCAAATTTCATGTTAGTACTGCTAATAAGTATTTCAACTCTAAGCAATCAAAAGCTTTGAGGATGTCTAGGGACATAATTGCCAGTGGGAGCTTAGTTGCCTTGCTGTGTTCTATCAGATTCAGTAGTGTCCTGGTGGGGTCTGTTATATCGTGACCAGGGACAAAGTCAGTCTGGTCTGGGGCTATAAACTTGTGTAGGAAATTTTTTAGGCAGTTGGCCAAGATTAATGTGAATATCTTGTAGTCTTGGTGTATTAATTAGATTGGGTGGTATGATTCTACTTTGAGGCTGTATTTGAGTGGTTTTGGGATGGAGACTATATTGGAGGAGGTCCAGATTTTAGGAATGGGGGCCCCTTTTATGATGTCATTGAAAAGGCGGGTCACGTAGGGCATCAGAGCTTCTTTGAATTTCTTATAGAATTCTGCTGTAAAGCCGTCTGGGCCTGGGGCTTTGTGTGGCTTCAGGATTTTGCGGATCGTATCTATTTCCACCGGGGTGATAGGACTGTCCATGAATTCCTGTTCCTCATCAGTTAAGGCTGGCATGGTCAGTCCTGATAGGAATTTTCTGATTTCCTCCTCAGGTGGGTAATGGGAGGTGTGTAGGTTGGAGGTAAAACTCTGAGGGGGAGAATGTTAAGTTGCTGTCTTTTTTGGTGATGCAATGTATTCTTGTTTTGAGTGATTTTTTCCAACACCTGTTTGCTAATAGTTTGGAGTTTTTCCCTCCACACTCGTAGAAGCGTTGGTTTGAGTATAGAATGTTGATCATTGTTTTGTTGATTTCTAGGGAGTCTAGTTTCCTCCTTTTTTGTTCTATAAGTTTAAGGAGTTTTTTTAGCTCCTGTTTGTAGCATGATGAGAGGGCCATGATGTCTTGTTCTATTTTGCTAATTTTTGAGGTGGTTTGTTTTTTAAGGATTGTTTTCTCTTTTATGCAAGCTCCTCTGGTGACCACTTTCATTGCATCCCATAGCGGGGGGTGGGGTGGGTTGTTATATTGTTGATATCATTTTCTTTGAAGTAGTTTGAGAGTTTTTGTGAGACTCTCTCCAATTTGTTTATTTGTGGTTAGAATGGGACTGAAGGACCATGATGGGGTGGTTTGTGTTTCTTCTCCTATTTTAAGGGTAACTTCTACTGGGGCATGATCTGTGATTTTAATGCTACCTATGTTTGTTGATTCAACCAAGGGTATCAAACCTTGTGTGAGCAGAATGCCATCTAATCTGGACACTGTCATGGTGCCCGGTCAGGCTGGTGTCTCCCGGGTTTTCTTCACCCCAAATGTCATAGAGACCCCTGTTTGTTTGTTTTTTAGCAACTTGTAAGAGTCCCTAATTGTTTGAGGTTTCCTTCAGAGGAAGGTTGCCCATGGGGTTGTAGGGTGGGTGTAGAAAAAAAGTGTTATGATGAACTCAAAGGCTTGCCCACTGCTTTGTAACATTTTAATTGGTTCCGGTAAGTTTATTACGCAACTGTTAGTTTTGTAATTCTTAGAACGAACCGATGAAGATAGCTTGCAATTTTAGTTTGCACTGGAGCTATGGTTTCAATCTCAGAATTTTATAAGCTATAAAATGTACAAAAAAGAAGAAAAAATGAAGCTCTGGGGGCAGATATTTGCAATCTGAAAATTCACACTTGTATATTCCAGGTGAGTTTTCATTAAGGAATAGATTTTGAACAGTCTTCCCAAAGCTTCTTGCTCACTTTTCCTGACTCATTAAGAGGACTGATGAAGCCTATACTTCAGAATGTTCCATTACTCCAGGGATCCAGATGTTGTTGGACTCCAGCTCTCTCCATCCCTGATGGGACATGTCACTTCCGCAACATCTGGAGGGCCATGGATTCTCCCATTATGCAATAAACTTACGGGCTTGCAGGGTTGTGTGCCGCGTTTTCTCGACCCAGTCGCTCCACTTCCAGAAGAGGGGTGGAGCAGCTGAGCAGCGAACTTTGAAAGTGTATGTTGTGTAGGGACGCAACTTGCTCACGGAGGTTGTGTAAATGGAGTTTTCTGCACCATCCAGCAGCACATTCAGGGTCTTTTTCTTCTTAAACAAACAAATGAAATTTCTTTATGACAAAAAGTACTGCGCTGCTATAAATCACCATTAATATTACTGCTACAAGTAATAATAATAATAATAATATTTATTTATACCCCACCCTCCCCAGCCAAGGCCGGGCTCAGGGCGGCTAACAAGCAATAATAAAAACAAGTTGAATGAATACAACTTAAAAACAAGATTAAAATACAACAATTAAAATACTGAAACATTAAAATATTAAAATGCAGCCTCATCACAGGAGGAGAAAGGAAAAAGAAAGAAGAAAGAGGGGGAGGGAATTAAATTGGCTCCAAGGCAAAGGCCAGGCAGAACAAGTCTGTCTTACAGGCCCTGCGGAAAGAAATCAGGTCCTGCAGGGCCCTGGTCTCATGAGGCAGAGCGTTCCACCAGGCCGGAGCCAGTGTTGAAAAGGCCCTGGCTCTGGTTGAAGCTAATCTAACTTCCTTAGGGCCTGGGACCACTAGGGTGTTGCTATTTATGGACCCTGAGGCAGTTATCATTTCTATACATCGTGCTTTAGATTGAACAAAAAGGGGAGGGAGGGAGGTTGCAGCAAGACGAGTTCAGAATAGATTCTGGACCCATGAAGCTTATAGGCTTATTTCTTATATAATGCAGCAATGTGGTAAACTCTCTTCCCTCTAGCATTCAATCCCACAATTGTGGGCTTTCTGCAAATGATGAATGCTATTACATGGGCATGGATCCTACACGGGTCTTTCCTAGCCTATAGGTACCCAGCGGTAAGAGGCAACACTGGAACAGGCTGGCCTCTAGGTTTTGATTGATTTTAGACTTTCTACTTTATCTCACATTTCACATTGCTGCAGACTGCTTTGACTTGCGTTAGGCTGTGAAGCAGCTTATAAATTTGTAAAAACAACAACAAAACCCCACAACCCAGTTATTATAAAATGCCATTGATGTACAAGGCAAACCAGAAAACACCTACCTGTTTCTCCCCGCAAATAACTTCAACCTGACACTGCAGCTTGATTTGCTTAAAATTGCCATCCAAGTGCCACGACAAAGTGACATTAGTTGGGCTTTCGTTCCTCACAGTGAACCGAGAAGGTGGTCTTGGATGAACTGGTGAAAAAAAAGATGCAAAGTGTTAAAAACAAATCCTTGTTTTTATTTATTTCATGCCAAACATGTGCTAGGTGCAGTACGGAAAGGTGGGCTAAGGGAGGGCCAATGTGGTGTAGTCGTTTAGAGTTTTGGATGAGGACTTGGGACACTAGGGTTCAAATCAGGGTGGATAAAAATGAATGATTAAGAAAAAAAAAGTAAAACAAATCAGATTTTTTTATTTTAATCGGATTTTTTTGATTTAAATTGGATTTTTAAAATCAAATGCTTTTGGAGGGAAAAAAAATCTCAAGATAATTTTCTATTTAAGTTACATTATAGTCCAAAGGCTATACATCAGGAAATAAGGATTTGTTTAAGTTTTTCATGTGTTTAACCACATCAGTCAACAAACATGAATGCATATGCTATAATGTTATTGTTTTGGTTAAATAAATTGTTTAAATTGTTATTAAGGAAATGTTTATTTTCTCCTTCCAATAAAGCACAGCAGAAAAACAGTGAACCTGTTAAACCTCACAAAAATTCCATAATTATTGGTCTATGTATTTCTAATAGTATAACCAAATCAGTAATTTTTGATATACAGTAACTGTAAAAACTACTCTGAAAATTTATTATTCCAAAAATGAAACCTTCATCTGGTTGTCAACATTAAGATTATATTAGCAAGAATGAGTCTTTCTATAAAAAATGATTTAAATCAAGTCTTACTGACTAGTGATTTAAATCAAATCCACCCTTGTTCAAATACCCTCCGAGTCATGAAAGTTGCTGGTTGACCTTGAGTCATTCAGTCTCAGCCCAGCCTAATGCACAGGGTTATTGTTGCAATGATAAAACAGGGAACGGGAGAATCACATAAGCCACTTGGTGCAGTATCGCTTGCCTGACTGCTCTCTGCCTTAGCCACCGCTGGACACCAGGACACAGAAGGGTAGCAGCAAGGGAGCAATGAGGTCAGCAGGATGCAAACATCCTGGCAGCAACATCAGATAGGTTCTGCTGGTGTGTTTGCCCTGCACTCACCTTGCTCCTCTCCATTCCAGTATTCAGAAGTATGCTCCCAAGGGCAGAACAACCTAACACCGAGTAAAAAATGATCCACAGAAAACATCTGGCTTGGAGTTGGGAGTGTGGCGGAAGGGAGCCACCAATTGCCTGGCCAATATAAAGGTATATAAGGACATAATTTGTGGGACAGGACACTGCTGCCACCAGTGGGTGGGTGCCATTATAGTGAAATGACACTTTGCGATGAGGTCATTTCACTAATGGCATCTACCAACAGAATTTCACTTCTGATGCTGCCTGAAATGCCCTGATTTTCTGGTCTGCAAATTAGGCTGCCCAATTAGAAGGGCCATTTCAAGGCAGCCTTAGAGAATATATGAATAAGGTAAAAGGTAAAGGACCCCTGGACAGTTAAGTCCAGTCATAGGAGACTATGGGGTTGCGGCGCTCATCTTGCTTCCAGGCCAAGGGAGCTGGCATTTGTCCACAGACAGTTTTCTGGGTCGTGTGGCCAGCTACTGGCACACGGAGGACCATGACGAACAGAAACGCCGTTCCCCTTCTCACCACAGTGGTGCCTATTTATCTACTTGCACTGGTGTGCTTTTGAACTGCTAGGTTGGCAGGAGCTGGGACAGAGCAATGGGAGCTCACCCCGTTACGGGGATTTGAACTGCCGACCTTCTGACTGGCAAGCCCAAGAGGCTCAGTAGTTTGGACCACAGCGCCACCTGCATCCTGAATATATGAATAGGATGCCCCTAGAATGATCAGATTAAATCCAGCGGTTAAAACAAACAGTTAAAATAAGCTTTAGTTCTGACTGAGACAGAAAAGAACTACATAATGAACGTTGAATACATACATGGGATATCTCTGGTTTTTTGTAAAATGATCATTATAGGGTTGCGCACGGATTACTGAATGGGAACTTCTAAAATACAGTAAGCCCAAGAAACAGATTCTTACCTTTACGATGTATATCAATTAAGAGGGAGGTTGCTGACCGACCAAGTTGATTGAAAGCTTGGACTGTGAAATTATAGACTGTCTGGTTGTTCAGAACTTGCATCGTATAGTTATATTCTACGTTGGATTTTATATGGAAAAGTGTAACATTAATCCCAGATACACTGCAAATTTAAAATTTAAAGGGGGAAAAGATCAATATCCAAGCAATACCTTTGATAAAAAGTTAATTCAAAGCCTTTTGTTATTTGCTGAAGATGTATATAGTTAGATTGCGTCAGATCAGCTTTAAGAAAATTGGGGAACGTTCATGAAAAGATGTTGAATTTAAGTGTGAAAGAACCTAGAAGTCCTGGGTTCCTCTCAACTAAACCCCCAATTGTAAAAAGTACATCTTTACTTTCATTTTTAAGGACGAAGAGTACCGTATTTTTCGCACCATAGGGTGCACTGGACCATAGGGCGCACCCAGTTTTTGGGGGGGGAAATCAAGAAAAAAAATATTTTCCCCCCAGCCCCAAAGAGCAGCCTACAGGCTGCGCACAACCTCTCCCTGCCGGAGGGGTTGCGCGCGGCTATGGCACAAGCCAAGGCAGTGAGCAGGATGGATCCCGCTCGCTGTTTTGGCTTCCCCTTTAGCCCCGTGCTGCCTCTCCTTGCCAGGAGATGCTGCGCAGGGCTAAAGAAGCCATAGCCCCGTGCAGCCTCTCCTTGCCGGAGGGGTTGCGCACAGCTATGGAAGAAGCCAAGGCAGGGGGCGGGATGGATCCCGCTCGCTGTTTTGGCTTCCCCTTTAGCCCCGTGCAGCCTCTCTCTCCCGGGAGAGGCTGCGTGGGGCTAAAGAATCCATAGCCCCGTGCAGCCTCTCCTTGCCGGGAGACGCTGCACAGGGCTTTCCTGGCTTTTCTGGGAGGTGGGGGGATTCCCTCACCTTTCGCAAAAGCCCGCAGAAGCTGCACAACCCCTTTAAAGAGATCACGGCTTCTCCTGGCTTTTCTGGGAGGTGGGAGAAGCAACTGATGCGGCCAGTCAGTCCCTTCTCCCTCCTGGGGAAAAGCCCGCAAGAGCGCACGGAGCTTGTGTGCGGCTCTTGGGGGCTTTTCCCGACTGCCTCCCCCCTGCATTCACTCCATAGGACGCACACACATTTTCCCTTGCTTTTTAGGAGAGAAAAAGTGTGTCCTATGGTGCGAAAAATACGGTAATTATCTTGACTCAGCTAATGTACTCACAAAATATTTTTAATATTTACTTCCTCTTCATTTTTCCTTTCCTCCATTCTTACTAAGTAAACCCAAATTAAAAACTTAGCTGAGCCCCAGGGACTATCAATGGGCCTTGTTAGCAGTGGATAGATTTTGACTGCTAAAGGTTTTGTAGAATTCTTCCCAGCATTGCCAAGAGGGCCTTATCTTTTAAACCATTTTTTGGCACAACGATTTTGTTGTTGTTTATATTGTCCTAAGTGCTGTTACCGCACAGCAAAGTTTGACTGACTAGATGTCATCAGGGCATACTTCTGTTCTCTGATGGGGTAGGATCACTCAAGTGAACAAGGCCAGGAAAAAGCAGCAGCTGGGATTGGGGTGGAGAGGTCAACACAGCCAGAAAAGCAGCAGCTATGGGAACATATGAAGTTGCCTTATGCACACCTAAGAGGTGACTTAATGTGCCTCATAGAGGCCAACCTCCAGGGGCTGAGGTCACTTTGCCCCCCTCAATAAAATATTTGAGGGGGCCGTGGTCCCTCAAAGTTGACGGAAGTTGCCTTTCGAATGATTATGCAGGGTAGGCTTACTTGGGCTGCCCCAATTTTTATTCAAGTTGGCACCTCTGATGTGCCTTATTCAGATATGGGAAGACATTCCTTCATTCCCATAGCATTAGTTCAGAAAAGAAGTAAGTAAGTAAGTAAATAAGTAAGTAAATAAATAAAATAATTTATTGCTTATACCCTGCCCATCTGGCGGGCTTCCAACAAAATTTTAAAAACACAATAGAACATCAAACATTAACAACTTCTCTAAACAGGGCAGCCTTCAGATGCCTTCTAAAAGTCAGAAGGGTGTTTATTTCCTTGACCTCTGATGGGAGGGCATTCCACAGGGAGGGCGCCACTACCGAGAAGACCCTCTGCCTGGTTCCCTGTAACCTCACTTCCCGCAGGGAGGGAACTGCCAGAAGGCCCTCAGAGCTGGACCTCGGTGTCCAGGCTGAACGATGGGGGTGGAGACGCTCCTTCAGGTACACTGGGCCAAGGCCATTTACGGCATTAAAGGTCAGCACCAACACTTTAAATTATGCTCGGAAACATACTGGGAGCCAGCGTAGGTCTTTCAGGACCGGTGTTACATGGTCTCGGTGGCTACTTCCATATCTCTATTCATTACTTTGAATATCTACTTTGTGGTGGGAGATGGGGAATGGTGGTAGCCAAAATCTAATCCCCATGGCCAATTCTTATTCCAAGGAGGGGAGGGTGTGTGTGTTTTTGAGAGAGCTGCTGTGTTGGTTTGTGAGGATGACTGTTTGAATAGCCATCTGCAAGGAAAACTTGGACCAGAGGGCAAACATCTTCTCCTCTGTGGAGGATCCTTGGGCTAACTGGGTCTCCTTTTGGGGTGGCCACTGGTTCCAACCAATCAGTTCTCCTGTGATTCCCTCCTTAAGTCTTCTCATGACGACAACTTCATCTGAGCTACAGAAGGATTCAGGGGCCTCTCATGCTCGACTCTCCTCTAAGGTGAGCGTTACTAACTCCCTGAGATTTGTTTCTGATCCTGAGCTTAGCAAAAAAAATTAAGCACCAATAATTTCCACCCATCATAGTTCAGATATGTGGTACATATAGCACTATGAACTGCACAAGCACACAGTACTGCTGGGATTTTAGATTTCTTGTTTTTAGGCAAGCCCCATTCTGTAGACTTAAAAAGCAGTTTAAAACAAATGGTACTTTTTATCCATAAAAGGGTATCTCACAAGACATGTCTGCAAACTGTACCATGTTTAAGGAGACCGTTAACATTCACCTTTCAGAAAATCTGTAATATGTTCCTCTTTTTGGGCCAAATAACCAAGTGGACCTTCCACGTTTCCAAGAGCAGGTTATTTTTTTCAAGTCCCTGGTTTCGCAACTAAAATTCTGAGGAACATCGGGAGGGTCTATAAGGAAAGAAGAAAGAAGGAGGGGTGTGTGTTAGCAGTTAAAATATACATGCACACACTTGCTGAACCCTTTTCAACATTCATCTTCAGAAGTTAGTGTTTAAGTCAGAAGGTCTCTTCTGTGATATCACAGAAATCTGAAATTTGCTTATTTATTTATATACTACTATTCACAAAAGAAATGAGAGCAGTTTACAACAAGTGCACATAAAATCATGCAATAAAAAACATATGAAGAAATCAGAAACCAGCTAGCTATCATGGAAATATGTAATAGTAATAGTAATAATAATTTATGCCCCACCCATCTGGCTGGGTTGCCCCAGCCACTCTGGGAGGCTTCCAACACACATAAAAACATATTAAAATATCCTGATACAGGGCTGCCTTCAGATGCCTTCTAAAATTTGTGTAGTTCTTTGAAGCAGAAAGATTTTCATTGGGCGTTTAAAAGTTGAAACAGAAGGCACTTGCTGAATCTCTATTGGCAAAGCATTCCAGAAAATAACAACTCTAAAGGCCCCGTCTCTTGTTTTTGTTAAACTTGAGCCTTGCCAGCTCAGGGAATGGCTCACAATGCTCTTGCAGATGATCTCAATGATCAAGCTGGAATATCAGGATTCAGGCGGTTCCTGAAGTACCTATGACCAAGGTTGTTTAGAGCTTTGTAGAATAAAACAAGGCCCTTGGAACCTGGCTCAGTAGCAGATGGGCAGCCAGTGTGAATGTTTTAGCAATGGCGTCCAATGTTGCCAACCAGATGCCCACCCCGGCAATATGTCTGCCACATTCTGCACCAGCTGGACCTTCTAAACCAAGCCAAGGGCAGCACATTACAGTAATCTAGCCTCAAGGTTGCCAGCGCATGGACTAGAGTAGCTAGTCTATCCCCATCTAAGCTGGGGAACCAGACAATGCTGGTAAAAAGGAACTGCTAGCCACATGGAACACTTGGGCCTCTAATCACACAGATACAGGTGAAACTCAAAAGATTAGAAAATGGTGGGAAAGTTCCTTTCTTTCACTAATTCAACTTCAAAGGGGAAACTAATATATGAGATAGACTCATGACATGCAAAGCGAGATATGTCAAGCCTAGATTTGTGATCATTGTGATGATCATGGCGTACAGCTGATGAAAGCCCCAAATTAACAATCTCAGAAAATTAGAATATTCAATGAAATCAGCAAAACAAGGATTGCAAATTGAGCAAGATTGGACCTCTGAGAAGTAGAAACACATCTCGTTCTGCATGTCATGAGTCGATCTCATATATTAGTTTCACCATTCAAGTTGAATTCCTGAAACCAATGAACCTTCCCATGATATTCTAATTTTTTGAGTTTCACCTGTATATCCAGGAGGATCCCCAAGTTATCCCCATGCTCCTTCAGAGGGAGTGAAACCCAATCCAGAACAGCTAAGCTTGCCCATCTCCCAGACACAAGAACCACCCACCCAAAGAGTCTCCAGGATTCATGCAATTTATTGGGCCTTCTCCAATTCAACCACCAATCCAGAGCTTTCACAGCCTCTCCTGATTCAGACGTTACTTGCAGCTATCACTAGAGAAGCGACCATTCCGAAAGTTTATATACTTACAGCCAGCAAAGAGAACGCTTCCTTCATATTTAATCCCATCCAATCGACAAACTACATTTTTGCCAGAACCCCCAGGTATAGCGTTTTGGACGTGGCCTGACACGCTCCAGTTGGAGAGTCGAGAGTAATTCAAGACCTGAATGTCATACGTCAAGTAGTCCAGGTGTTCTCCTTCCTTCCACACACAACAGAACGTCATATTGGAACCTACTGGCACCACTCTGTCTTCAGGAAACACTGCTCTGTAAGAGCCCGTATCATTCCCTAAAAACAGAAAAGAACAGGGATGACCACATCCTCTAGGTAATTTAAGTTCAGTTCAGCAGCAGCAGCAGAATGACATTTGTAGCCACAATCTCTCAGGAATTGTTCTGAGGTAAGCAGCAGGGATGAGAAGAAAGTGTGCCAGAAGACAGAGGAAGGAATTGTTCCCAATCAGCAGTTTTCAAACAACAGCATTCTTTGTCCTCATTTTCTCTACAGATTGTGTGTTTGAGGAGTCGTTTCATTTCATCTCAGGAAAAGGGAATGGGTCCTTTGTCAATCAATACAGTAGCAAAAATATGGAGCGCCCCCCCAGCAAGATGTTCCGAAATACCCGGTCAGGCAGACAAATATTGCTTACCCATTTACATTGTGAAAACGGAGGGCAATACACTCTCAAATCTGCAAGAAGAGGTCACCAGCCCTCGCCTCAGGGATGCTTGAGGGTTTTCACAGAATCATAGAAACATAACAACTTATTTTGCAGCACCCTTCATTCATTCAACACACCAATCATCCTGTGCATCGGGACTCACAATTTTTGTTCCCATTTTGAGCATCTTACCGGGAATATTTGCGAGCTGGCTCCATTCACTCCACTTCTTGTCCCCAGGATATGTGTCCTCGCGGAAAAAACAGCGGATCTTGACATAGTGTGTGGTGCACTGAAAATCCAGGTCGGATTTCCAGCTCCACCGAAGGAGGCTGTCCTCACGAGTTAAGTTGGAGTGATAGGTCTCCTAAAGATGTAAAAGAAATGTCACTGTGTGCCTGTGTGTATAGAAAACCTGCACATTTCAGCTTCCTATTGTTATTTTCAGATTAGGTTTAAGATTCTGGCTAATAAGCTGCAGATATTTACTTACTTACTTACTTATTTATTTATTTAAACAATGTATATACTCAGTTTAATTACAATAACTTCTAAGCAGTGTATGAAAAAAGCTCTCAATTCAATGAAACTGAATTGAGCATGAATCTGACATGCTGTTTGGTGTGTTTCTCCACCCATATAAAGTAGGTTAGGCTGACAGGCCACAATTGTTCCAAGATCACCTAGTGAGTTTCGTGTGTGTGTGTGTGTGTGTGTGTGTGTGTGTATGTGTATGTAGAGAGAGAGAGAGAGAGAGATTTGAATTCAGATCTTCCTAGCCCATATCTGACATTAACCACAATCTCTACATATACAAAGAATGAATTCAAGCAATACAATTGGCACTTCATTTTTTGGAAAGCATTGGAATATAAAGTTGAGAAAAAGAGATAGGCCATCAGACACACACACACACACACACAGAGAGAGAGAGAGAGAGAGAGAGAGAGAGAGAGAGATGGACCACATACTAGTGCAACTTCTTCCATGGGATCTTTACGCAGGATCTGAATTTGCCAAGTAGCTTCCATCTCCATTGGAAAGGCTGAGCCGCCATCGTACCACTCCAGAGTCAATATGTCAGTTAAGAAGTTGGCAGTCAGGTTGTGAATCACTGGGGTGGGAGGGACAAAGGCTGTGTGGGGAAGAGAAAGGGACAGGAACCCAATTCAGAACTAATTTAGTGTCAATAACAGTCGCAAGAACACCACATAATTCCTGCTTCTCCTCCCCAATCTGAGTTTTAAAAAAATTATTTACATGAAACCTTTGTGCTTATTCATAAGGTTGGATGCCCTCAGCTGTTTTTCTACCACAAGGAGAGTTCCACTTATTGTCCAGTGTGGAAAAACATGAATTCCCCCCGAAACTGTTTTTTTTTTTAAGGTTTCCCCAATATGTATTTTTTCACAGTGTGCCTGACCCTTTACATGAGCCAGCTTGATGCAACTCTCAGAAGGAATGTATCAGCTGATGAGAGCAACTGAGGATATACTTTAAAAGGGGGGGGAAAAACCATGCACCAGGTGGATCTTCTGGTATAAAAATAAAGTAGATCTCACTAGTCTGAAGTTGGCCCATCCCTGCCCTACAGTAAGTTTCCTATTAAAAAGGGGGCACAATCCAGGAGAAGTTTTAAGGACAGCTAAGTTCCACAGATTCCAACAGAAGGGAGTTAAGCACATGGTTGGCGACTATGGAATTTGCAAGTGCTCAGCTTTGGCCAGACTGCACTCAAAGAACACAATAGCCTCTTTCAGCTTAGATCTGCTATAAGTACCTCAAGGGAGGCAGCAGCGTCCAAGCCATGCTCTTCTATAGCAAGACCCTGAAAAACCTGTACTGTTGAACATTACAGCATTGTCAAACATTACTGTTTCAAAAGCTAGAGAGAGCAGTGGCGAAGAGAGAGCGCTTTATGCTCACACAATATTGGGCTACTTCCAAACATATAATTAGAGGCCAAATTATTATGAAAGATGAGGTGCTTTTGTGGAAGATTACTGCCTGGCTGAATTCCAAGACAGAAAATCGCTTCTAGTTAATCCCACAACCTCTGTATTCTCAACATGGAGAACTCTCCCTTTCAATTTTTAAACAGAAATTGCAATATGGTTTTATGGGGGGCAAAGCCCCAAAGCGGACTATACTTCTGGGGATATGATGATTACATACAAACACACTCACACACTTTGTGCTACGCACTGAAATCTGAGACCATCAAATTTTAAAACTCCAACATATAACTTTTTATGCAACACCCTAGGTCCTGAGTGACAGAAAGAGACTGAGAAAAGGCATGGCTGCACACTAATTTTGTATTTATTTATCAGATATGTATACCTGCCCATCAATAAACATTCCCCGGGTTGTAACTTAACAAGCTTTGTAGCTTACAAGCAAAATATTACATCCACATCATTAAAAACCAATCAGAAGAAGGTTTTCTGCCATCTGTGTCAGACACAGCATAAAATAATTGTAGAGTCTGGATGAATAAAAAGGTTGTCAGCTGGTGCCAAAAATATCACAGAGAAGACACACAGGAGAGCCTATCTGGGGAGGCTGCTCCAAAGCTGAGGCGCCACCACCAATGAGACCCTCTGCTTGTTAGCCACCCTGCTTCACTTCACATGTGTATGAGTTAGAAGACCAGGAACAGTCACCTTCCATGTGGATAGAGAGGTCCAAACTGAGTATAATGTCTACAGTTCATGGGACCCTAACCCATGCAACTATCTCAAATGTGTCTGTTACATTTTTATATAGGCTCATGCCTGGTCCACACATCACAGTGAGCCAAAATATGGCTCTCACAGCTATAACATTATTCATCATATTAACTAGGCCTGATAGAAATTGGGAGTCTAACAACCTATGGATGGCCATAGATCCCCTATCCAAACACTAGGCCTTTAGGTGAAATAGAGCCTCTACCTCATTGGTTGACCTATAGGGTGTATTGTAGATTTTCTGTTTAAAGGAAATATGGTTTAAAGGAAACTTCAGTGCTCTAACTTATTATAGGAGCTTGGAGCAAAGAGGAGGGATGAAAAGGCTCTGTGAGCTACTCAAAGGCTTGGATGTATCTTGACTTAATGATGAACTGAGATGTCATCAGCTGAGCCAGCTTGTTAACAGTGTAGAAGAAAGGCCAGACTTTGTATAAAGACAGCGTAAGCTTACCAATATCCTTATCAGTCAGCTCAAATGTGTTTTCGGCTATCACTTTTCCAGACTGACTCACGGTGGATATCTTTATTTGATTAGAGGCAAATGAGATCAGTTTATCAATCTGCGCCGTTTTCTCCTTTGTTGTTAAGCAGGAAGTCCTGGAGGGGTGGGGGAAATTAAGATGAAATTAGTCATGTCACAACTCAGGTAGGGACGGGCTGCAATCAAGCATTTTAAAAACATTCATGGAAGACCAGCAAAATCAACAACAGAGTAGTCTGCGGAGCGCCATCCTCCCTCTCTTGGTATCTCCATATCAAAGCCTGCCAAAATAATAAAATAGTCATACCTCGGGATAAATATGCTTCAGGTTGAATGTGTTTGGGTTGCGCTCTGTGGCGCTGTAAAAATGACGTCACACGCATGCGCGGAAGTGGCGAAACGCAACCCGTGCACGCGCTGTCGCGTCTTACGTTATGTTCAGGATGCGAACGGGGCTCCGGAACGGATCCCGTTCACATCCTGAGGTACCACTGTAAAATAAAATATATTATTCATACCCCACCCATCTGGGAGGCTTCCAACAAGAAGATTAAACAGAATAAAACATCAAACATGTTGCGACAATTTATAATTCAGAATTGAAACTTACTGTGTATGAGCAAACACCTTCACTACCCAAATTATGCACTTAGCGGTGTTAAAGCGAAAGTTTAAAATGTTTACGTGTGTTGTTGTAAATGTATGAACAAAGCAGAAATTGCATTTACACGGCAAAATGTTCCAGCTGTCTCCTTCATTTGTTTTGCTTTTAAATCAGAGCAGCTAACGAGGGAAGAAGCCACAGAAAATTTTGCCACAGGAATAAAATCTATGTTTATTTCATCACGGTGATTAACTGAATCCCAAAAGAGATCCAGGGAAAACTCGTGCAAAATGCTGGGTGTGTGCACGTGTGAGTATTAGGACGCCCTGATCCCAAGTTATTCTCTCCCCCACCCGTCATTGCTATCCCCATACTAATATCTGGGGATGGGAGCCATAGTTCAGGGTGCACAGCAAGGGATGGGCAAATCTATCTCAGTCTTTACTGCCTTGCTTCCACTTGTGGATGTCTTGAAGTGGGCCTTTCAGCCTTCTCATGCAGATTTTTTAAGGATAACTCCAGAGAAGTCCTTAAAAAATCTGCAGGGGGGGGGCGACTGTTAAGTTGTGGGTGAACATACGACGACACAGCGATTCTTCAAACAGCTCTTGTTTATTCACAAGCCAGGACAGAACAGAACTGAAGGGTTCAGTCAGCCTGCTTATATAGAGCTCCAGTACGTTACTGTAACAACTTTCTAAAACTATCCAATCACTGAACGTCACTTTCGATCCCTTATTTGCATAACTATCTACAGCATCCCCCTACTGGCCCAGGGTGAGAACTTCAGTACATAACAGCGACACACTAAAAAACAAAACAAATTGAGGTATATGTACAGCACCTTGTTCTCTTTCACTTGCTTGAACACTGCAGCCCTGACACACAATGTAAAATTTTTAAAAAAATATTTGGAAAAAAGCAAAGGAAGCCATTTCAGAGTTTCTTATGTAATTTTACATACAAAGGGCCTATTGTGGGTAGAAAATGTTGTAGTGCTGAAACATATCCTTTTTTTTGTACTGCTGAGCCTTTTTTAAAAGACATACAGTTGCCCTTCATATATGGACAATTACACAGGGAGCTTCCTACACATTTTTTCCCTTTCCCTACACTATTTTTAAAAGCATTTAAACCAAAACCTCCAGGTGCTGTACTTGTGAGCTGCTCTTCAAGCAGTTTTACAGTGTTCTAGGAAGAAAAAAGAGCGAGCAATCCCTCAGTAAATATTTCACCTTGTTCAGCTTGTAAATATTGCACTCAAAAAGTCCTCAGAAAGGGTTTATAGATCCTTTGGACTGAATTGCACACCCTTCCCATGGACTGGTTTGATAGCGTGAATAAAAATAATTGATTTTAAAACATAATTTTTTTAAAAAAATGTTTATTTAAATTGACTTTTTTTGGTTTAAATTGGATTTTTAAAATAAAATGCTTTTGAGGAAAAATGTTCCTAAAGATTGTTTTCTATTTAAGTTACATTATAGTCCAAAGGAAATAAGGATTTGTTTTAAGTTTTTCGTATGTGCTAAAACTCAGTCTAAGTTTTTTTTAATAAAAAAAACCTGTTTAACCACATCAATTAACAAACATGTATACATATGCTATAATGTTATTGTTTTAGTTAAATAAATGGTTTAAATTGTTATTAAGGAAATGATTATTTTTCTCCTTCCAGCAGAAAGTACAGCAGAAAAGTTGTCCAAATATAAACAATTAACTTATTAAACCTCACAATAATTTCATAATTATCTGTCTATGTATTTCCAATAGTATAACCAAATCAGTAGTTTTTGATATAACTGTAAAAGCTACTCTGAAAATTTATTATCCAAAAATGAAACCATCTGGTTGTAAATATTAAGATTATACCAGCAATAATAAGTCTTTTTGTGAAAAAAATATTTAAATCAAGTCTTACTGACTAGTGATTTAAATCAATTTGATTTAAATCAAATCCACCCTGTTTGATAGGACAAATGAGATGGGGTTTGCAGCAGACTCTGGCCTAGACTTTTCTTGTCATATCTAGATAAGAGCCCAGACATGTGCATGTAAGAAAGTCCCAGATTCACCCCTCAACACAGGCTGCATATAGCCATTCAGCTCCTTGGCTCTCTTTTAGTTATGGCTCTGGTCCCAAAAGGTTCTGAGAACGGCTTACAAAAGATGCTGACAAAGTCATATTAAAACGTAGGAATGGAAATAACTTGGTGTCCATATGATGCCAGGAGTACTAAGTATTCCCTATACTTCACACCAAAGTTTCTCTTCCGCTGCTGTGATTGCTCTTCACCGCCATTTCCACCTGCTCAGTGTCATACAGTGGAACGAGTAGCGTGAGATTTAATCGGATCCAAGCCCTTATCTGACAAAGTCGGGCTGCTCGGCAACCGTGCTGTGGCTTGTTTGCTAAACACACTTGACCTCGCACTTGACTTGTCTCGACTTGGCCATTTTGTTGATAATGCAGAGGTATCCTCACATTGCCTTATTGCTGTCGCTTGGGTGAGTTTAGCCCGTGGATGGGGATGAAAGTTCTGGGAAAGGCCAAATGGATCTGTTCCAATGATCTTTATCTTTGGAAGTTTGCAGTGTTGTTTTTCTAGAAAAAGAGGTCCCCGAACTCACCATGAACACCTCCCTCGTTCTCAGAATGGCAATGGTGCTCACCTGAGAGATGCCAGAACTGGGGGGGGGGCAGGGGAAGCCCAGGATGTTTGTTCTTCCTGGTTGGCGCTTGGCCGGTTTTGAGTATGTTTCCCAAGAGAAGGAATGGTTAAAACAGGTATGGGGAAACCCTAGCCTATAGGTCAGACTTGAACCAGCAGGCTATTCCTCACAAGCCATGCCCACCTTTTCCACAACTAACATCGTCTGCAGTAAGTCAAGACAGCACTGCTTTTCTATACAGTGGTACCTTGGGTTAAGTACTTAATTCATTCCAGAAGTCTGTTCTTAACCTGAAACTGTTCTTAACCTGAAGCACCACTTTAGCCAATGGGGCCTCCTGCTGCCGCCACGCCGCCGGAGCACGATTTCTGTTCTCATCCTGAAGCAAAGTTATTAACCTGAAGCACTATTTCTGGGTTAGCAGCGTCTGTAACCTGAAGCGTATGTAACCTGAAGTGTACGTAACCTGAGGTACCACTGTATGTTGCAGATTTGGGGGGTTGAGGCCTAAAGCCACCTCCGGGGTTCATGACAGTGATGAGATCCAAGTTGTGGATCTATAGTTCAGCTCTTCTCTACTCCAGCTTAGGAACACTGGAAGCTGCCTTATATTGAGTCAGACCATTGGGTCCATCTAGCTCAGGACTGTCTACACTGACTGGCAGCGGCCCTCCAAAATATCAGGCAAGAGTCTCTTCCAGGCCTACCTGGAGATTCTGGGGATTGAACCTGAGACCTTCTGCTCACAAGGCAGATGTTCCTCCACTGAGCTATGGCTCTCCCACCCTCCAGCTTACTAAACAATGACTACAAATTTCACCCAGGAAGATAGCTTATAGGGCATCATGCCCAAGAAGGAAAGGAAATCAGTGTTACCTGCCACTGTGACAGAAAGAATACTCCACTCCATGACTAGCTGTGGAGGCAGTTGTCCATGTGCAGATAACCGTTTTGAAGTCGTGTGTTACACATGTCAAATTCTGAGGCGTGTGTGACGGATCTGGAATTACAACACAAAAGAGGTTGAACATGAATGTTACTGAACAGTATCATTATTATTTTTTCCCTATAGATAATTGAACATTAATGGAACAACAGAAGAAATCCGTGCTCTGAAATCTGAAATAAAATCAAACTCAATCCGACATTCCTGTTTTCAAACACATTTTCCAACAGGAGGAAATGAAGGACAGTCTGAAACTTTAAAGAACACTTGCAGCTGTTTAGCAGTCTAGCCAGGACGCTCAAATATTCCAAACACATTTGAAGCATATTTACACCATGGACAAACTGCTTGGATAGTCATTCCCTGTCCTGGGGGAACCCTGCGAGCTGCAACTGTGAGGGGGGTGCTAGTGATCCCTAAGTGATAATACTCAGCCCACTTGCCATATTCTTTTAGCTTCCAGGATTCTTTGGGGAAAGCTGTAATAAAAAACAATTATTGAACAAGTAAACACAGTTCTAATTATTTTAGTGTCTAAAGTCATGGTGCTTTAAAGGAATTTGACTTGGGGGGAAATGGCCACACAAGTACAGAATTATTCCATGAAGGATTGGGCAATATATGGGTCCCACCCAAATTTCCAGCAACAACTGTGACTGGCTGTGTTCCAGGCCTGGCTTCCTAACACCCTGTGTCACTGCCATTTACTGAGAAGGAGAGGGGCAAGCCAGTGGGGAACTTGGTGCAGTGCAGGTTCAGAGCCTGAGCCAATCCAACCCTCCAGATGCCAAACTCCATTTCCCCTCCCCTTTTTGGTAACTGGCAGCAACATGCACCACTGGGAAGCCTGGAAAGCAACATAGCCCAAACCATTCCTGCTGCTAAATTCAAGTGGATGGGAGGTTGGGGGGGCTGGGGAAATAGGTAGCCAAAAAGAGGGGAAGGGGATGCCCCAATGTAACAAAGCACCCCTGAGAAGATACCTCTGTTTTGGCCTGGAGAAGAGACTCCATCACATTCCTAGCCAGCTGATTTGTAACACCTGGTAGGCCCAGGCGATTGTCTCCTTCCAGTGTAAATCTCTGATCATCCTCCCTTATGTGTAAATTTGAAGTAAACAAAAGAACACTGGACTTCTTCTAGAGGTGTTAAGCCATGGTATGAGAACCCTAAATAGCACTCATTACTTTTTCTCCTCCTCGTAATTACTAAGCAAGCAGTTCCAGCGGGCATGAGGCTCCCATCAGAAGAGTTCGAGAGATAGGTGGATTTCTTTCCCCCTTACTCTCCTGGAAAGATGCATTTTTAAAAGCCATAGTTCAGTTGGTCAGAACATGGGGCTGACAATGCCATGGATGCTGGTTCAATCCCCGTAAGAGACAGCTGCATATTCCTGCATTGCAGGGGGTTGGACTAGATCAGCGGTTCTCAACCTGGGGTCCCCAGATGTTAACTCCCATCATCCCTAGCAAGGCCAGAGCTCAGGGATGATGGGAATTGTAGTCCAACAACATCTGGGAACCCACAGGCTGAGAACCGCTGGACTAGATGATCCCCAGGGTCCCTTCCAACTCCACGATTTCAATTTAGACAAACTGTTGCTGACTGGCACCATTTTAAACCTTTAATGTCCATCCACTGCCAGGACTGCAAGCTTCTTGAGCATTAAGGTGGCACTTTTCTCCTTAGAAAAGCTTTGGGCCCCTTTAAAGAGGCCTTACTTTTCCCCTCACATGAACATTTCAATCTCTCTCTTCCATCCTTCGCTTTCTTTCACTCTGTCCCTGAACAGATCTCCATTCTACCACCAACAGTTTCGTAAGTCTTCCAAATGTCCCCAGGGCTGAAAAGGGTTCAAAGTTGCTGCTTGGACTCTAAATACCAACCAACACTGGTAACTAATGGGGGGGGGGGGCAAGTTGCTATATTGTAGCAGAAGCCACAAACCACCAAGCCACAAACCGCAACCAAAAAGTAGAATAAAATACAGGAAGTATTTTACTATCTGCTTTATGTGAAATCTCATCTGTGTGCGCCAAAGTTCCTTTAAGTTTATCTAGAACTGAAACTTTCTTCAATTAAAGGAACCAATTGATATTTGTACCTTGTTTAAGAAAAAGTACAGTGGTTAATTGAGCAGCTCTCGGCTCCCATTCTACATATAGCCCCAACCCAAATTAGTTCAGTATGGTTCTAATTGTTTTTAGAGCTTGTAGAAATGGTTTTATTTCTAGAATTTGTTTGTGTCTGTATATAGAGATAGATATCATTTTAAGATTCTTGCTGCACACCTCTTTGATGGCCTTGAGCTTTGAAGTGGTTTTAAATTTGCAAAAATAAAACAGAAATAAAATGCATGTCACTATAGCGAGGAAGACTTGAGACCCTCTGTCAATCTGCTGTCTAAATTCTGACTTTGATTGTGTACACTCCACCAGCTTAAAACATAGCTGGGTATGGCATGATAAAAGTCTGTAATTTCATCGGGACATGTTATTTGTTGTTTACTGTTGTAATAATTGTTTTCTCAGAATTTATCTGCTGTACCATGAACATAAATATCAACATTATAATTATTTAATAAATAAAACATAGCTGGGCCGTTCTTTTTCTCCATTGGGATTGCATCTGATTTAGGGGGGAAACTCGTCAAAACACAGTATTCCATATGGATTGTGGCCAACATTGTGTGCCCACTGCTTCCCAAACCAGAAATCGAAGCACAGTGGATGTGAAGTAAACAGGAGCATATTCACAGCCAATCAATGGACCCTTGGCTCTTCCTCCATAAATATCGTTATTTATGTTTAAGCCAGAACTGGACCAGTTAACCCTTCAAATATAGGATGCCTTCACATAGAGAATTGCCTTCTGTAAACTAGGCCACATGGAGACTTCTGACATGAAGCCAGGAAAACCATTTTGTTCAGTTTTGTTTAAGAGCTAAAAAAAGAGTGTCCTTTATACCCATGAGGACAGCTGCCTGATCTTTTCAATATGTTGCTACAGAATGCATTCACCAAGCATTTCAACCCAGGGAAACGGCTGGACAGGAATGTGTTTTGGCTTCTTGCGCCTTGTAAAATGCCTCATTCCTTTTAAACACAGCTAGAAGCTTGACTATAATCCAAGTGGTCAATCTTCAGCTGCACTGAATAAAGTTTCATGGTTTGAAAGGGGGGGGCAGGCTGGGAGTAAAACAACTGAGGATGTACTCAAAGTTCACCTCGCTCCCCACGTAACTCAAAGGCTCTCACCTTGCAGCTTTTAGGTTTTTTAGAACTACAAAATAGAAATAAGATAAAAAAACACTGTAGTTGGTTTCCTTTTTCTTCCTTGTTTTCTAATGTTGTTTATATTTTTAATTCATTACCCAGGTTTTCTTCATCTTCTATTGTACTTAATTATATTGCCTAAATCTATAAACTAGCTAGGCCAGTGGTTTTCAACCAGTCTGCCATAGCATCCTGGGGTGCCTTGAATGACGGTCAGGGGTGCCGCGGGCAACACTGGCCTGTGTCCCTCTTTCCTTCCCTCCCACCTCTGATGCCCTCTTGCATCTCTGCCTGCCAAAGGCTTGCACAGCTATTTGTTGCAGCAGCCCTGGCTACAAACTCCACAGGCGAATGGTGCCTCTGGGGCTGGCCAGGGGTGCTGGTGCCAGGAGCTGAGGCGGCCTCAGAGTAAGCAAGCAAGTGGGCGAGGGAGCCCAGCCAGCCAGCCTACAGCCCTTGCTGTTGGGAATGGATAGACAAGTCCAGGGGGACTTGTCTGTCTCCTGTGGGGCAGTGTGAGGAGACACCTTTCTTTGGGGCAGGCAGAGCAGCTCAGAGACTCACGAGACCCAAGCAGAGTGGAAAGGAGAGGAGGCTGAGGAAACACTCCACAAGGGAGGGTGAGAGGCTGCCAGCTCTGCAGGCAAGGGGTGACATAACTGGGCTCCCGAGCCCCACAGGGGTGCTGCTGAAAGAAGGCAATTGGTCAAGGGAGCCGTGGACTCAATAAGGTTGAAAACCTCTGAGCTAAGCAGTATCTCCGAGCTCAGAAGGAGTCAGGGCCGTCTTAAGCATATCTGGCAGTGTGATGCAAAGCTCCCCCACGTTTCCCAGAGTTTTTTAGGGAGGACGGCACTGCCGGTGGGGCTAGAGGAGGCAGGCAGCGGCTGGAGGGTGGCTCCTCTGATGGGGAAGAGGCGGAGGCTGTATGCGATGCCTCCCAGCTCAGCTGGTCGCTTTGTGCCATGGTGGGCACGGCAGATGAAGGCGCTGCTTTGGTGCAGCATGGCAGAGGCGGGAGAGGGCAGCGAGCTGATGCCAGGAGGCGCTGCGTCCAGCCTCTGTCTCTTCCCTGGCACCCTCCAAAACGTGGTGCACTGGCGCCCCGCACCACTAGGCTCTATGGGTAAGAAGCCCCTGGAAGGAGCACATCTCCAGACTTTGGATGCTGGAGAAATAGGGGAGGTTAGGGCTGGGCAATATCAGCTTTTCAACATCGCGATGTATCACCAACTAAACATCTCACAGGACAGCATATGTAAATGTTTTACATAAAAGAAAAACATGCATATTCCCCAAAATGAAGGCTTTTCTTCGTCTCTGAAAAAGTCTTCAGAGCTCAAAAGCAAGCTGGCAAGAGGAAGCAAAGCATTACCTCTAATGTACAACTGACCACATCATTAGGTCTTAAAAATAATCCAAGGCACCACAATGAGTCACTACCAATTACATGGCTTCCCCACAATGACTTTTGATGTGCGCCGTGCAATCCAAGTAAGGTAGTGAACTCGGTTGAACTCCTTTTCCTCCTGGCATTCAGATGCTGTTGGTGCCACGAGGGGCACAGCAACCTTGGCAGCTGCCGTCCACTAAACCAGACACACAGAACACGCACGCATGCCCAAAAACCATTCAAGACGGAACTGGGCTTTCCCTAAGGTAAACTACACAAGCCACATGAGAAGCCGCAGGAGGGGAGGGTGATCTTGTGCTTGAATCATGCTTGCTGGTTTCCCACAAGTATCTGGTCTGCCAGGATGCTGTCTTAGATGGGCCATTAGCCCAATCCAGCAGGCTTTTCTGAAGGAGAAGAAGAAGAAGAAGAAGAAGAAGAAGAAGAAGAAGAAGAAGAAGAAGAAGTAGTAGTAGTAGTAGTAGTAGTTTGGATTTGATATCCCACTTTATCACTACCCAAAGGAGTCTCAAAGCGGCTAACAGTCTCCTTTCCCTTCCTCCCCCACAACAAACACTCTGTGAGGTGAGTGGGGCTGGGAGACTTCAAAGAGGTGTGACTGGCCCAAGGTCACCGAGCAGCTGCATGTGGAGGAGTGGAGACGCGAACCCAGTTCCCCAGATTACGAGACTACTGCTCTTAACCACTACACCACACTGGCTCTCATAAAGATCTGGGACAGCCAACAAGTGAGTTGAAATTCTGTTAGAAAGGCTGGAACTTGGAAGCTCCTCCCACAATGAGGAGCAAAACAGGAAAGGAACTAGCCAAGCAAAAGCCACTCTGAACTGTGAGTTGCCCACGTCTGATTACCGGGTGGCAAGCCAGAAAGGCAGGAGGAACTAATTGGAGGAGTCCTGGGGTGAGAGGTTTTCAGGGAGTGGGGGAAAGTGCCAGTAAACAAGGTATGTGTTGATGAAGAAGAAGTGTTTGGATTTGATATCCCGCTTTATCACTACCCTAAGGAGTCTCAAAGTGGCTAACAATCTGCTTTCCCTTCCTCCCCCACAACAAACACTCTGTGAGGTGAGTGAGGCTGAGAGACTTCAAAGAAGTGTGACTAGCCCAAGGTTACCCAGTAGCTGCATGTGGAGGAGCAGGGAAGCGAACCCGGTTCCCCAGATTACAAGTCTACCGCTCTTAACCACTACACCACACTGGCTCTCAGCAGATTTAAAGGTAAATATAAAGGGACCCCTGACCATTAGGTCCAGTCGTGTACGACTCTGGGGTTTTGGCGCTCATCTCGCTTTATTGGCCAAGGGAGCCGGCGTACAACTTCCGGGTCATGTGGCCAGCATGACTAAGCCGCTTCTGGCAAACCAGAGTAGCGCACGGAAACGCCGCTTACCTTCCCGCCAGAGTGGTGCCTATTTATCTACTTGCACTTTGATGTGCTTTCAAATTGCTAGGTTGGCAGGAGCAGGGACCGAGCAACAGGAGCTCACCCCGTTGCGGGGATTCGAAATACCGACCTTCTGATCAGCAAGTCCTAAGGCTCTGTGGTTTAGACCACAGCGCCACCCGCGTGGTCTTAAGCAGATTTAGGGGACGGCAGATTTCATCTCAGGAGCTGCTGACTTGGCTGCCCCATTTGATGGGGGAAGAGGAGATAAGGTGATAGAGAGAAACCAACAGGTCAGGGGAGCCATGTACCTTTTTAGCTTTCTGTACTCCATTTCATTACAAGGTTATTGCAAATCTGCACTTAAAAAAAAAAAAATCTGGGAAAGTATATCCAAAACATCTATATTGAAAAAGATTACATGGAACTTGAAAATTAAGTGGCTTTACATTGATTTTCTCATGCATTTATTTATTCAACTGGTGATACAGATCAAAAAGCTATCAAGACTATACTGAATCTCTGCCCACTTAAAAGCCTCTTCCCTACAGCTCCCATTAAATTCCTGGCTCGTAGCATTACCCACCCACTTTCAATATCATCTTTACAGTCTTTTTTTTTTTATTCTTAAAGATAATCTTTATAGTCTTAAGGCCTAGAACCTTGACTTTTGAAAACAAACAAGGAAAACCGAGATTCCTTCACAGCTGCAAACCCTACATTGCAATGCATGTACAAAATGTAATGAGAGAGTGAGAGAGATCAAATTATACCAACCTGTTTCCTGACACTGGGCCAATTGGTTCAGGACACACAAGTGCACTACTGCCAATAGACAGCAGGGAATTCGGTTAATCCACATTCTTCTACAATTCACTATGGAGATGGAGAATCGGTCACTTCAAGCAGCAAAGATCATCCTCTTTCACACAGACAGGCTCTAAAAATTGGTAAGAGAGAGAATGAATTGTAGATATTCAGGCAACGTCACTAGTTTATATACTTGAAATATACACAATGCCAATGGATTGCACAATGCCTGTACAATTCTGGTCAGCAGCCTGTGGGGAGAAAAATGTTTAAAAGTAGGTATTGGAGCCTATTTCTGGCTGGAAGCTGCCTCATAGGGAGAAACAACTTTAGACAAAATCTGTTCCTTATTGTCCGCTCAGGAATTGTTTCTGCAGAAGCAGCAAGGCAAATTAGTACCAATTTAGCACAGGACGATGCTGTGCCAGGGTTATGGAGGTAGTTGGTGTTTTTTTAAGTGTTTTCATTTTAATCTTCTGTGATGCCTGATGGTTTGATGCCAAAAAAAGAAAAGAAAAGAAAAGCGCTGAACTGAACAGAAATCACCTGGCATTACCGGAAGAAGTTTCCCATTATAAACCAAAAGCCAAAGTGGGCATAGATCTGGTTACAAGACAGAAATAAATAATAATAATAATAATAATAATAATAATAATAAATAAATAAATAAATAAATAAATTTTTATTTCTACCCCGCCCTTCCCGGGGTAAAAGCAGTATGAAATACAGTTTAAAAACATGAATAACAATAAAATTCAAAATTCAGCAATCAATTTAGGGGAAATAAGCATTAGATGATCCCCAGGGCTAGCTGGCTGAATTGGTCCTACTTGGGCCAGCGAGGAGGCCAGGGGAGAATTAGCTGTGGGGTCTCAGAGCGGGTAATTTTCATAAAAGGGGAGGGGGAGGGAAGAAAAGGGAAATAAAAGAATACAAATAAAAGAAATTGGTTCAAACAGTTAGTGATCGTATTGAAAAGGCATGACCCTGAAGGAGTCCATTTATTAGAATGGGGAAGCTGGGCACCACAGGGAGGCAGAGCGCTCCTGTGCTGGGGTCCTGCTTGCAGGTTTCCTACAGGTTGGCCACTGTGAGAAGCGGATGCTGGAATACACTGTGAGAAGCGGATGCCATTGGCCCATACAGAATCATAGCATCACAAAATTGTAGAATGGGAAGGGGCCCTGAGGGTCATCAAGGCCAACCTGCTGCAATGCAGGAATCCCAGCTAAAGCATCCATGCCAGGTGGCCATCTGCTTAAAATCCTCCAAAACACCCAAACACCCACACACAGAGGAAGCTGCATCATTACTGACCAAGGCGTAGGTCTGTAAGCCTGGCCCTGTCTACTCTGACTAGTTTCCTCTTTCCAGATTCTTGAGTGGGATCTTTTCCAAGACTTCTTCCCATGGAGCCTCTGGCCTGATTCAGATGAGGCAAGATACTCACAAGTATTGTGTGCTCTCCCCGCCTCTTTTTCTCCCCACATCACCCCTCCCCACCCACACCCACCCCGTACAACAATTAACCCAGGAAAATTGTCACGCAACCATCCAAACTAGAAACTGGCATTGGCAAGATCAGAACAAGTCAGGATTTTAAAACAAGTTCAAACTGTCTAAGCCAGGCATCTCACGGAAGAGACCAGGGACTTTCCTCCAGTGTAGGAAGATGTCTTATACGGATTCAGACAACTGGTCAATCTGTATCCTAGGGCTAGTCTAGTCTAACTACCAGCACCACAAGGAAAAACAACAGAAGTAAAAGCATTCATTGCAAGCAGTGGTTGCAGTGGAGTGGCAAGCTAGCTGCATCGTAGTTGCTCCACTGTGTTTATTCTATTTTACAGTAATACCTTGGATCTCAAATGCCTTGGTTCCTAAACAAATCAGCTCCCTAACGATTGAAACCCGGAAGAGACTGTTCCAGTTTCCAAATGTTCTTTTGGAAGCCGAATGTCTGATAGGGCTTCCTTGGCTTCCGATTGGCTTTAGGGCCCTGGGGGACTTGACATCTTTCTGCAGGGCCTGCAAGACAGAGCTGTTCCACCAGGCCTTTGGCCAGGGCACAGCCTGACTCTCTCCTTTGGCAATCTTCACAGAACTCTAGCCTAATGGTTGCCATCAATTTGAGTTGAATTAATTTTATAATGAAATGATTTTAGAATGTTGTACTGTTTTATTGTTGTTAGCCGCCCTGAGCCCGGCTTCGGCTGGGGAGGGCGGGATATAAATAAAATTTATTATTATTATTATTTAGGAAGTTCCTGCATCCAATCAGAAGCTGCACTTTGGTTTCCGACCGTTTTGGAAGTTGAACAGACTCTGTTCGACTTCCAAAGTATGACTGTATTTTCATTTGAACTGAACAACACTTCTAAAGCAGCATTGAAAGAGAGCTAGAGCAAGTCAGCCTTTTGACATATTCAAACACCTCGCCAGGCTGTGCCCCTTTTCACAAACACCAAACATAGGGACATGTCTTATTCAAAGCCAGGTCCAGCGAGCTCAGTATTTGTCAACACAGGCTGGTACCATCTTTCCAGAGTTTCAGGCTGGAAGCCTCTCCCAGTGTTTTCTGGAGATTCCAAGGATTAAATCTGGGACATTCTGCATGCAAACTGTACCACTGAGCTACACCCTTCCCCAGAGACACAACAGTTGGAAGGGGGCAGGAAGAAACCTAGCACAGGAACAGGCAATTTCACCAGACAAATTCTTCATGATCCTCCTATTAGCACCAGGGGGCAGGAAGGAAAACAGACACAACATAATTCTGAGGGAAGAAGGGTAAACATCTGTTCCAGCCACCCCACTGCCTCAGTCTAAATTCTCCCACTCTCTTGGTTTTAAAAAAGAAAACTAAATGCATCAGGAGATCCAATCCAGTACTTTCCACATCACATCTGTTTTGACCATCCTTTCTAAGACTGCACTACAGTGCATTATAAAATTTTATGCGCAGGGTATATATGTTTACTTTTTAACACCATTGCCAGCAAAGCAAGTGCACTGTGGTTGGGTCTTCTGGGCCAAAGCATTTCTTTGCAATTAGTTGAATCAGTCTTTGGCTACAAAGAGAGTCATCTGAGCAGAGGAATGAACATTATGCTATTTTTAAAAAGAACCACAGCTTCATAAAACTCAATTATTTGGCAGCACCTCCCATTTGACCACACTCATTTTAACCCAATGTCCCCTGCAAATTTTCCAAAAGCAAAAAAACTCTGGACCTCCTGTTTCTCCTCATAAGACAGCAAGAGTCTTTCTAAAGGCTAGAAAAAGGCTGGGGAATGTTTTGTCTTGCAGAGGAACAAAATTGGTTATCAATATTTTTTACAAAGACTGCAGAAGGCAGCAGAAAGCAGCATTCAGCTATGCAATTATATATTGCAAGAATTCAACACTCAGACCCATTTTTGGATCAACTTTAGAAAGTTCAGATAAATTTCACTCTTGTTCAAAGTCCATTGGGTATCATCAGCATGAACAAACACATAGCAGTGCCCTGTTGTTCAAAACAAGATGCCTAAGGCCAGATGCATGCTTGACATGACCTGGAATTCTCTCTAAATTATGGAGAACTAGGGCTGTGTACACCCAATACCTTTAAAGCACTTTTGAAGCAAATTCTTTTCCTCAAGGAATTCTGGGCACTGTGGTTTACCATCATATCATGCTTCCTCTACATGATGTTAGTTCTCGCAATAGGTAGCAGCTCTCCAACCTATAAAGCAGAGATTTCCCCCCACCCTTCTGCCTAGAGAAATTGGGCATAGAGAAACTGGAACCACCTGCATTTTTTTCAACACATGAAGCTGCTATAGCAAGTCAAACCACTGGACCACGTAGCCTAGAGCTGTATTGTTCCAGCTAAGCGTTGACCTTCCAGTTCTTGGGACCAAAAAGCCCTTCCCAGTCCCCAAATTCAAAACTGTTAATGAGAGATGCTGGGGCCTGGACTTTGGACATTTTGCAAAACATGCACTCCACCTGTGAGCTACGGCAAGCACTGGGCAGTTGCAGTCCTGAAAACAGAGTCAACAAACACACCACATTGTAAACGACATCCTTCAAGCTGGATGCAATGCACATGCTCTTAGCTTACCTTAAGGCAGATCTCACAATACATTCAAAGCACTAAGAATGCAGCTTAAATAGTAACGGGTTCCCCCAAAGAATTCTGGGAGTTGCAGCTTGTTAAGGGTGTTGAGAGTTGTTAGGAAACCCTTCATCCTCTTAATCAGCTACATCTGCCAGAGTTTCCCCGTGAATAACTTATTTGGGGCAAGCCATGGTGGTTTAAAGTGGTATCGTAGTGCTTTAAATGTAAGGTGTGAATGTGGAGTTAACCCTAACCCTAACCCTCTCCTAATTCACCGTAAAACAGCCAGAATGGGATGCAGCTGTGATGGAGGAAGAAGGTGCAAGCGAGGAAGAGGGAACCTCTGTAAAAGGAGGGAATGAGTAGTTTCAGACTCAGCTACCTTCTTGGGGGGGAAACTATGGATACATACCCCCCCCCCACAAACATAGCACAGTTGATCTGTTATCAGGAATGGATAGATGCCAATAATATTTTCAGAAGCCAGGATGAAACTTTAAGGCGCCCGTCGCATGGGGTTTTCCAGAGCTGTTTCCTGAGTCTTTTGGCTGTGGAACTGATTTGGGAAGGCAGAGCTTGAGCAAGCTGGAAACCTGGGTGGCGTGGGCACTTCAAAAGTTACATCATGTCGTTTGTATTTTTTTATATAGCTAATGGCTCCTGCCAAGCCCGATAGTACTAATAGTACATAGCTACAATGCATGATACTTCAAGCGGGACATTTTTCTGTTTGCTGAAGCACAGACAAGATGAGGCAAGAGTAAAATAACTCATCAGGTGCGTGCTGTCACTCAATGCAGCAGGTACGCTTTGAATATATGCTTTTGAATATATATTTGGCCTCAGCACAGCGTGTCTGAACAAGAGCAGTTAGAAAGAGAAATTCAGCAAACCGATAATGAACTTGTGTTGCTATTTACTTGCTTTTTTTAAGTGCTTGCCTACACAAAACCTTAGCGCTGGATACAGGGAGCCTGCTTTTTAGCTTGCCAGTGATGTGACAAATGCAGGCTTGATTACAAGCGAGGCAATGCGATTAGCAGTCATAAAAACATGAGAAAGTGCTTTATAATGAGTCAGACCATTGGTCTGACAGAGTGCTCTCCCAGTCCTACCTGGCAATGCCAGGGAATGGTTCAGACCTCTTCTCCCTGCAAAGCAAGATCATCTGCCTTTGAGCTGCTGGGCTTTGTGGTCTTGGGACAGTGGGTGGAAAAGACGACTGTGTAATTTTGCCTCCAACTCACAGATGGTTTATACCCCTCAGGCCAAGATTGTCTAAATTTCTATGGTCCAAGTTTACAACTTGGGGGGGGGGGCTGCATGTTGCTGGGTGGGGGGAGAGGGTGCAAGGCCAAATCAAAAGTGAGTGGGGCCAAATGGACAGGACCACCCCATAATCACCCACACTGTTCCCACATCACCTGCTTGACTGATGAGCAAGGCTGAGACCTGCATCCTCACTGTTGCACTTGTCTGGGCAAGAGGTTGAAGGCTATCAATACTGTCAACATGGCTACAGCCAAGGCCTGGTCTTTACCTCCTTTCCTCGGCTCGTATCCTTCTTTCCATTCTCTCTCTCTTCTTGTCACATGGGAGCTAAACCATCACCATTAGGATGATGTGCACCACTGCTGTTCGATAACCACAGCTGGAATTCAAACAACCATTTGCAAACCTTGGTTTCACATGCAATTTAGTGCCAACTATGGTTAGTGAAAATGGGGGTGCCCAACCATTGCAACAATACTTTAGTAGGGGAACCGTTGCATGACAGCACATGGGAACCCATGAGGCCACTGGGAGCTCCCATTTCCTTAAGCATACTTCAGCCACCAAGAAACATTACATATTTACTGGGCTCTTGCATCTAGTCAAGAGGGAGAGCTGCAAAAAACCCGATTCTCTAAACTGTTGGAAACCCAACTCAGTACAGTTTCTGAGATTTCAGGTGACATGGCTCCTCAGCTTTCCTCACGGACTCAGGAGGCATGATGTGATAGTTTAGTTGAACAAGAGCTGGCAAGTTTAGGGTTCAAATGCTGCATAGCTATGAAGCTCACTGTGTGATCGTTCTCTGAGACTACCTCAGAGGGTTATTGCAAGAAAATGGGAGAGAGATACTCAAGGAGTCCTGCTTTGTGGGGAGGGCAGGATAACAACCACACAACTGCTATCTATTTTCACTGCTATAAGGCAGAGGAGTTTGGTTTTCTTTAAAGAATCCCTACACATACCCACACCCCCAAAAAACCCAGCCTCTCTTTTTCATAATTCAGCCCACACTTACAACCTTTACTGAGGACTTGGAAAAACAGATAAATAAAATATGTAAGCTGTAATGAGCATATGGCACTGCTATCAGCACAATACTACCGGTCAACTCAACACCGACCGGCACCACATTTATCACAACAGTTCCTGCGCAAAAACAGCCCATGACAGCAAGATGCCGACTGAACACACAGAGCAGTTTCCCACTCAGCTCTGACTCACAAAAGCTGTTGAAGGCTAGCAAGAGACAGATGTGTAAACTATAGAGGAAAGGGATAATGAGCAGCCAGGGCCACCAACATACACACAGTGCAAGATACAGAGAGAAAGATCGATGATGGATTGTAATGGGTGGCCAGTCCATCCTAGTGCCTCACTTTGGTCCTGGCTCAGAAATAAGCCAAATAAAGTTACTGCCAAGACATACCAGAGGATATTTCAGCTTATTTCTAAGCCAAAGTCACACACCCCTCAAAAAAGCTAGGCCTACTTAACCCCTTTCTCTCTTCCCTCTAAGGATCACTTACTGCCCCCGTGCAGTGGCAGCAACACTCCAACCACAGGGGAAAGGGAGATCTCTCTAACACACCTCTATGGTTTCTGGTAAATTGTGCAGTAGTGTGGCATGACAAAAGGCTGTGGTTGCCTTGAGAAATGTCTTACTTTATTGTTTTTATTCATTTGTATCGTCTTTTGTATTATATGTTATGTATATTTGTCTATGTGAAAGTTAATAAAGATTTTCTAAAAAAAGAGAGAGAGAGAGAAATGTCATTTCCCTCAAAGAGCTGCTGACATTCCGCTAGATCTTGGGAAAACTATGTTTCCTCAAGGCTACTGGACACCTTTCATCCTGGCCCCAGGGAGGGGATACAGAGGAAACTCTTCCTCTCCACACCACTGGGATATTGTTTTTTTTTGCCACCTCCAGGCTGGCCAGTAAGCGGAGTTATAGGGGGGTAGAATTTGGGGTTGGGGGTTCAACTTGGGATAAGCCAGGAATTCTTCTCTGGCTCAGGTTTAAAATCCAAGTTGAAAAATTCAAGGCTTGAAATACTTACCTCTCAAGCTTATTTTATTGGAGTCCTGGGTTAATGAGTTTTCCCTGACATCTCTCATTTCTGCCAAGCCTTTTAAAGAACTGTGCTGAGTTGGATAAGAAGGTTTACATTTTTGTTGTATCCGCGTTATCTGTTTGGGATTACTAAAAGCAGTACATTCCACAGGCGGATAATTAGGGAGTTGCATACGATAATATTTATCTAAGACTGTGTTGGAAGCAGAGCATTTCTGAGGGAACAGGGCAAATTCACGAGGGAGAAGAGCTCAGACCGAGTGCACATAAACGTCTCTCCCTGCAGGGATTTCTCCCCCCTCAGCAAACCTGCTGCCTGACCCATAATCAGAACCTGCCCTCTAAGTGTGTCAGAATGAGTCAGAAGACTTATAGGGGGCCCCCAGGAGAGAAAGCTGGTGTGCGTCCATCTTTAAAATTACATGCTTGGAAAAATCACCCTCTTCCTTCCCTTTTCCAAGCAGTTCAGCTCAGGGCTGCCAAGTCGATCCCACTTGCAAAAAACTTGTGTCAGGAAGCCACGACCCATCGCAGGGAACTACTGCAGCCTTCCCCGGAGGAATAGAAAAAGATAGACTTGAGGCTGAAATGAGGGGTGGTCAGGGAAAGGGTTGGGGCCCATAAAGATTTTCTTGCTGGGGATGCCTCAGTCCGATTCCTGGATACACCACAGATATGACCAGGGGAACCGTTTCTCCAATCAGCATGGCACAGAGTCAGACCACTGGCATCTAGCTCAGTACAGTGGTACCTCGGGTTAAGTAATTAGTTCATTCCAGAGGTCCGTTCTTAACCTGAAACTGTTCTTAACCTGAAGCACCACTTTAGTTAATGGGGCCTCCTGCTGCCGCCACGCTGCCGGAGCACGATTGCTGTTCTCATCCTGAAGCAAAGTTCTTAACCCGAGGTACTATTTCTGGGTTAGCAGAGTGTGTAACCTGAAGCGTATGTAACCCAAGGTACCACTGTATTGCCTACAGCAGTGTTTCTTTAACTTGGGTCCCCAGCTGTTGTTGGACTACAACTCCCATCATCCCTGGCCACTGGTCCTGCTAGCTAGGGATGATGGGAGTTGTAGTCCAACAACGTGAAGACTGCTGATCCATAAACACACACATTTGTCCAACCTGAGCAAGTTCTGAAAAGAAACAGCTCAGTGATAAAATGTATCCATGCTCCCATATTCCTGTAAGAGTTTTGCAATTGTTTTTGAAATGTTTCTGGATTTGTTTCATTTTGTGATTGCAAAAGCCAGAACTAACGGTCGCCATTTCTCACATTCCTGAAAGGATCTGAGCTGGCACCCGATATAGGAAAAGGAAAAATAGGTGCTAAGACCAGAGATGCTATCAAACCCTTTCAGAAAGGTCTCCCATATGAAAGAGGGTAATATAGAATTGCATGCAGGCGTATGTATCGAGTAGACATTGTTTCAGCAGGAAAAGGAAGGCACTCAAGAGATACAAGTATCATATTACACATCCTGTTATTATTGCCAGCATAAAAAGCTTCCAAAATTTTCCCCTAATTAGAAGTCCATGCCAGAAGTAGCGCACATTTCTGGGAAACTAAAGCAAATTGCCAATTTGGCTGACAGCAACAATAACGATACAGAAATAGAAGAGGAACTTGTTTTCTTAAGAGCAAACTGTGCTGACCTACAGCTTTCAGCCCCTGACTTCCATCACATCAAACTTGGTTTTGTGCTCTAAGCTGTCAGAACAATGCCTTCCCTCTTATCTTTTATAATTAAGAGATTGTGCTACTTCAAAACAAGTCCCCTGGGTAAAAAAAGGAAAAGGAAATTCTACTCTACCACCTACATTTTCCTCCTTTTTTCTGCAACATAGTTTAGTCATTTGAGACAGAATAAAAGTTAGTTAATCAAAAAAACGGAAATAGAAATAATTGCTCCACTGGCAACAGAGGTCCGCTAATGTACTGACTCTCAAAGAGGCTCATTGAAAGAGGTTTTAAAAGAAGCTTTGCGTGTGCATGAAAGTACAATGAAAGTACAATGTGATCATGCTTATCACGTATCATCTAGTTTGGTCTTAAGGCTAAAGAGAATCTGGGCCAAGCCCCTGTTTTGTCACGCAACTTACTGAGCAACCTTGAGCCAATTATTGACTGCATTCGGACAATCATCTCTCTGCTCCATAAGCCAAGATATATGTGTGAGCCTTTTTGCACCCCCGCCCCCAAAGTCTCAAGCAATCAAACCAGAGAGATGCTAATCATAGTTTCTCTAGCCAGGAAACCATGGTTTGTTTCAGACTTTCTGGGAGGACCAAAAAGGCAGAGATATGATGATCTGAACCAGAATACTCTCCCATATCACCCCCAGTAATACACTTTGCAGTGGTGCTAAAAGAGCAAGACCACGCACGATGCTGTCAGCTACTTGGAGGAAGGATAAAGAGAGAGATAAGATTGGTAGTCCATAACTTATTTAACAGGACAAGCTAATATTCCAGAACTTATTTAACAGGGTAAACTATGAAAAAAGTGTGTGAATTTGGTTTGTTCTGTTACCATACTACAAGCCAGACATAAATCAAAGTGGCATACCACTTACCTGTCGTCACAACAACAGCCATTTATTACCAGCCATGCAGTAAAAGAATCCAAGGGCACATTTTTGGAATGAACTGGCATTCACACAACTTGAGGCCACTGAAGCAGACTTGGCCAAAGCAATTTGCTTATGACACAAACTTGAAAACATAGCCAGGACAATAAAGCAACCCGAGTTAAGCAACCGTTTAATATTTTACCCAGCATTTTCTCGCTTTCCTGATTTCCCCCCTTTCCTTCCCCAGAGTTTCCTGTGAGTTAAGATAAACTAATCTGTCACAGCGCTTGTCTCTGACAGAGGATCGATAACAGCTAATTATTGCCATGATAAGGCAATCTGCCTCAGGTCCCCAGGGAAGGGTGATTGACATGCAAACACACAGTTGCTAAGACCAGATGTGGAGGGGGACAGATGGCCCTAAACCTAGCACCTGGCTTACATCAATAAGACACCCATCAATAAGACACCCATGATAGCAGGGCAATAGTGGGCTCTTTTTGTTTTATCTTTAAAACCAAATGGGTCAGACAAATGAAAGGAATTCAAGGATTTGGGAGCCTTTTGTGAGTAGCCTGAGGACACACAGCACACCCCTGTGGTCTTCGTTCCCCAGACTCCTCAATGGACAGGGCATGCCAGGCAATCTCTCTCCTCTAAAGATTACAAGTGGGATGCAGGTGGCGCTGTGGGTTAAACCACAGAGCCTAGGACTTGCCAATCAGAAGGTTGGCGGTTCGAATCCCCATGATGGGGTGAGCTCCCATTGTTTGGTCCCTGCTCCTGCCAACCAAAAGCACATCAAAGTGCAAGTAGATAAATACCGTATTTTTCGCTCTATAACACGCACCCGACCATAACACGTACGTAGTTTTTAGAGGAGGAAAACAAGAAATAAAAATATTCTAAACGAAACAGTGGATGTATGATTTTTGTGGTTCATCCTGTGGCCACAGATATGTGATCTGACAGTGAGTTTGGAGTAGCCCAATGCAAAAATCCTGAGGATCCATGTGGATCCATGCTTTGTAACCACGTTTTTGCACCACTGCGGCCCCAGGCAACAGTGGGTGCGTGATTTTTGGGGTGCAAGATGTAGCCATGGACATGCTATGTGATCTGATGGTGAATTTGGGGTGACCCAGTGCAAAAATCCTGAGGATGCATGTGGATCCATGCTTTGTAACCACGTTTTAAGTGGGGAGGGAAGGAAAAGCACTCAAGGGACAAGGAGCACGCGTGGGGTGGGTGGAGAAGGATGCTGCTAATAATGAAGAGGGGTATAAGGGGAGAAGGCTCCTCTCCTCTCCCACTTTGCTCCTTTAAAGCAAGCAGTCTCTGCTTTTCTCCCTCCTCCCCACTCATCCCCGGCTTAGCGAGCTGAAAAACTTTGCTGCTATGTAGCGAGCTGAGTGGGGGGGAGAGAGGGACAGAGAGCCTGCTTGCTTTAAAGGAACCAACCGGACAGGAGCCGCTTACTCCTTTAAAGAAGGAGCTTTGCTCCTTTAAAGAAGCAGGCTCTCTGTCCCTCTCTCCTCCCCACTCAGCGGCTCTTCTCCCGCTTTGCTGTTTCAAAGCGAGCCACGGAGGAGGGAAGGAAGGGGAACCATGGATCCTCTGCTCACGACTGCAGCAGATCCCTCCCGCCACCCGTAGGCATTCCCTCCATAACACGCACAGACATTTCCCCTTACTTTCTAGGAGGAAAAAAGTGAGTGTTATGGTGCAAAAAATACGGTAGGTACCACTTTGGCAGGAAGGCAAACGGCGTTTCTGTGCACTGCTCTGGTTTGCCAGAAGCGGTTTAGTCATGCTGGCCACATGACCTGGAAGCTGTACTCCAGCTCCCTCGGCCAATAAAGCGAGATGAGTGCCACAACCCCAGAGTCAGCCATGACTGGACCTAATGGTCAGGGGTCCCTTTACCTTTAAAGATTACAAACCGCATAGCATGCCAGAGGTGTCCCAAGACTGATTTCGAGAATGCACAAAAATACTCTAGAATAGGTCCATTAATAAGCACATGAAAGTAATGGCAGCCTCATCTGAGAGATTGATTTCCAAGCTGAAAAGGTAAAGATCCTGATGAAACAAGCCCAGATGGCAGAAATAGCGAACCTCCCACTGGCAGGGAGCACTGGGGGTGGAATGGGGCCCTGCAGATGTCTCTACTGACCCTCAGACTTGAGACTCTTCCCAGGTCACACCGCCCTTCCTCAGCTCACCAATTCCTTGAGTGCTTCTGCTGGATGGAATGTGTCTTTGCTTGCCTGGAGAAGCGTGTTTGCATACATACAAACCTCTGAACTCTACATGGCTGGAATGTGTAGAAATGGTAAGAGTCATATCCATTCACTCTGAGCATTTTGGCAACTGGCCCCAACCACCACGGATATGTGGCCCCAGTCCATGAGGGAATGTGTGGCCCTTGGGGTGAAAAGGGTTCCCCCACACCCCTGTCATGTTAGAAGTCCAACAGCCCATAGGACATTTTGTTCAAATGACTAGAGTCCTGCATTAACACATGCCAACCACTTTGAAGGCTAGGAAAGCTAACCCAAAAGAACAGAGGCAAGCAAAGGTACTAAGAATAATATGTGCCGAGCTAAAATATCACCTTGGCACAACTCCGAAGCAACATGTTGGGGGGGGGGGGAATGGTTTCTTAAAGGACCTTGCAGATTTGTCAAAGGAAAAAATGGGAGGGCAGTATGCCTGCTCTCCAAGGCTCATTCTCAAATCTAAATTTCTCTATGGTTTTAAAGGTAAAGGTAAAGGGACCCCTGACCATTAGGTCCAGTCATGGCCGACTCTGGGGTTGCGCCGCTCATCTTGCTTTATTGGCAGAGGGAGCCGGCGTACAGCTTCCGGGTCATGTGGCCAGCATGACTAAGAGCAGCGCACGGAAACACCGTTTACCTTCCCACTGGAGCGGTACCTATTTATCTACTTGCACTCTGACGTGCTTTTGAACTGCTAGGTTGGCAGGAGCAGGGACCGAGCAACGGGAGCTCACCCCGTCACAGGGATTCGAACTGCCGACCTTCTGATCTGCAAGTCCTAGGCTCTGTGGTTTAACCCACAGCGCCACCCGCGTCCCTTCTATGGTTTTAGTATGATGTTGAAACACAAGCTGTTTTGTTGCAGCAGGCTATACCTCAGAACTATGGTTATTTCCATATTTCAACAATGTGTTTCAACCATTTATTATACTTCTGAGTTTTCTGGGAAAGCAAGATTGAGCAGCTCACAATCAAAATCCCTGTGCGTCTCCCATCCAAGCGCTGATGAGCTTTCAACAATGCTAAGCAGAGTTAGAACTTATGAAAACAATATTTTCATTCCAGTTACTCTTCTCCCACTTACTCCAATTTAGATTAACTTCTTCAACAGTTTTCCAAAAATTAAGGGAATGGAAAAAAGAAGAAGAGAGAAATAAAGAGTGTATTCTATTCAAACATGCAGATTATAAAAGAAATGGCTTTCCCCAAGCTTGGCTAACCTAAATAGAGCCTAGCCAAGCCTGGAGAGAGTATGTTTTACAGTCAATAAATACTACATCTTTTTACAACTGCAAAACTGTTGAACATGTTCCATCTACACTGCAGTAAACTAGAGGAGATTCAGATTTGATCAAAATATTGTTCTCATAAAGTAACTGCAAAGTGATCTCCTCCAAGGAGGTACATATATGTTCAAAACATGTCAAGATCAGCTTGATAAGAATCTCAGGTGTATCTGCTGTCTTTTTCAGCATCCTATTGAATGATGGGACTTTCCTGGTTGTTTTGTTGATTTAAAACATTTTTATCCCAACTTTTTTGCCTCAACGTGGAAGCAGCTCAAGGCAGCTCAAAAGATTTAATCAAAGATACAAAAATTACAAACTAACTCACAAGATTAATCAAATATACAAAAATTACAAACTTTAAGAGATGTAGGAGAATACAATAAAATAAAACCAAAATACAAAAAGGGATCAAGGCAAGACACCAGCAAAAAGCCTGGTGGAACAAAAAGACTTAAATTTTGTCCAGAACATCAACAGGGAAGGAACCAAAAGGGTGGTTGCTATCTAAAGATAAAGAGTAAGAGAAAAATTGTACAGGGTTGGAAGTGAACTAGGACTTACATCTACAGCAAGAGGAGTCCTTTCCATTAGTTGCTTCCAACCACCTGCACAGATAAAAAGCCATCCTAGCATAAAATGATGTGTGCCCACAAAAAATAGTTTGAAGGCTGGCTGTTAGAGGTGTGTCAGGTAAAAACTAAATAGGCCACTTCTCTTCCTCTGAAATTAATAAATGAACATTGAAATGAGAAGCTATTGAAAACTAAAAAGGAGCTATTATTCAACTTCAGGCAAGAACTGGAAGTTCACAATTTTTATTACTGCTAGGTGAAGCAGATGAGGAAAGGGGAAAGCGTAGAATAATACCAAACAATAAAGCTTAATAAGAGAATACTTCCATATATCAATCAACAATGAGGTGCTTATGCCCAGTTCAGGACTTTCTCAAACTTCTCTTGAACTCTAGTCTCCTTCTGAATTTACTCTACTCCCTGGGCTTCCCAGTCACTGCCTCTTTCGCAGACAAATATTTAGAATTATTGTGCATTGTGTACAATACATAGATATATCAGATTGGGGAACATTCAATCTCCTATCAGTAATTTATTTTCTTTTTTTTTGTAGTGCATACTTTTTTTGCTGTTGTTCTATTTTGATTTTTTACATGGGTATTATTTCTTTTCTTCCTTTCTCTGTGCACTTGCAATTATGTACTTTTTAATCTTTCAATAAAGCATGTATGCAAAAACTCTCTCTCTCTCTCTCTCTCTCTCTCACACACACACACACACACACACACACACTTCTGGAGGGCCTCAGACTCCTGAGGCCTGAAATTAAAGTAAGGGTGTGTTTTCTGGGACACTAACCCAACTCTCAAGCTTTAGAAGTAGGACAGGGTATCTCAGCTTGGCTCCTGAAACCAACCAGAAATGGAGTCATGAGAGGGAGGAGCTACTGCAGCCAGAAATTCCAGAACACTCCCTGCTTTCCCCCAGCTTCCAGGTTTAGCAGCACAGTACTATCATAACAGTGCATTATATTTCATGTCATCCACTTCAGGCGGAAGCCTTGGGGAATGATGTATAGATAGTAAGCGATAGAACAATCAAAGCATTCAACAAACAGTCTGTAAGAAAGCTAAGCTGGCTCCACTTCAGTTCTGGCACAAACTTATAAAACTAAAAAGAAGAGGAAATTACGAACAATAATGAGAAAGTGCTTTATACTGAGCCAAGTCTTTGGTCCTTCTTAACAGAAGCTCCAGAGTTCTAGACAGGGTTCCAGACAACCCTACCTGGAGATGCCAAAGATTGAATGTGCATGCTCAACCACCAAGCTACATCTGTTTCCCTAGCACCATCAGTTTAAGGAGAGGATGAAATTTTAAGTGTTGAAACTAAGGTTAAAATGAAGTTAAAAACCTGAGACTGAACCATGATCAAAGGTACCAGGTGAGCCTCTATAGGGAGGGCAAGGGACACCTGCTTTCAGAATGCCGTCATGCTAAAACTTTGCTTCTGGGAAGAAAGTATTCCAGCTCTGCTTCATTCAGGAATCATAGAATCATAGAATCATAGAGTTGGAGGAGACCACAAGGGCCATCGAGTCCAACCCCCTGCCAAGCAGGAAACACCATCAGAGCACTCCTGACATATGGTTGTCAAGCCTCTGCTTAAAGACCTCCAAAGAAGGAGACTCCACCACACTCCTTGGCAGCAAATTCCACTGTCGAACAGCTCTCACTGTCAGGAACCTCTCCTTTTCCTAGAACTCACACTTTACCTTTCTGCCTACTTTAGAAAAAAGGGTGTGGCAAAGGTGTATAAATTGTGTGTTGTATGGAGGATGTAAAAGAGGTTTTCTCCCTGTTTTAGACTAACGGGGAACTAGTGAAGCTGAACGTTGGGAGATTCAGAAGAGACAAAAGGAAGTTCTTCTTCAGTGATAAAAGACCCTTCTCTGCATGCCACCACCAAAGGGTGGTGATGAGAATCAGAGAGTTGGAAGGGACCACATGAATCATCTTGTGCTACCCCCTGCAATGCAGGGGGTTTTTTTTGCCCAAGGTGGGGCTCAAACCCACGACCCTGTAATTAAGAGTCTCATGAGCTGTCCCACAGAATGGGCTTTCTCTGTAGTAGCTCCTAATTTATGGAATACTCTACCCAAAGAGGCCCATGTCTTGTCATCATTTCAGAGCCAAGCAAAGGCGTTTTTGTTTTTCTGGACATTTGGGCAGCACTAATGATACAGTGTACTGCTAAATCTGGTTTTATTATGTTTTATTAAATATTATTGTGGGGTTTTGGTTTTTTTACTTGTATGGTAATTTGTTTTGGGACTTTCTTTTTTACTGCAAAGTGACATGTACATTTAATAAACCATGTTAAACTATGGAATTCACTACCACAAGATACAGCCACCAGTTTAAAGACAGCTTTAAAAAGGGAAATGTGGCAAATTCAAGGAGAATGAGGCACGGTGGCTCCAAGAGGCGCTATACTTCTGAATACCAGTTTACTGGGGATCACGAACAAAAGACAGCTATTGCCCTGTTTATCGCTTCCTATGGCATCTGGTTGACCATGATGGGATCCAGCAGGGCTCTCCCTCTGTTACTAACATAAATCAATAGCCATAAAAGCATGATGGTAAAGAAACACGATTGATTTTGTCTAACTTAAACTCCGCTCCTTCAAACTATGACAGCAGGTAAGCATAACTTTCAAGCTCTGGGAAGAAACTGAAAAAAAATCCAACAATATATTAAGCCAGCAGCGATTTACCAGAAAGCATAGACCTACGCTTTCAGGAATCGTAGAATATCAAGAAATCAATTTAAATTACTGTAAATGGCTCTCGTTTCTACTAATAAAACTCTAAAAACCACTTTCAGCTAGAAGGATATTCCATGACCACAATGCCCCGTACACAATAAATTACTTAGAATTTAACGCATGCACAAGTTGGGAGTTATCTGTACGGTGCACTGACCATGCCAAGATGCCTTAGAAGTAAGGGACCGGCATATTTTTTAAAGCAGACAGATTCCAAATTGGTATTAAAGTCAGCAAGTGCCCATCAAATTGACCCTATACTACATCTGCTTAAGCTAAGAAGCTCATCTGCCACACGTTCCTGTATGACTGTTGTTCTGTAAGTACACATTTGTGCTCTTTTCCACTGGCTACGCATTTGTGCTCTTTTCCAGTTACCCCTACTGGTGCAGAATCTGCAGCTGACCAGTGGTTACTTGGTGTTAAGGGCTCAGCTATGTGTTCTATAGAACCAGGTAAAAAGTAAATGACCCCATGATGGTTAAGTCCAGTCAAAGGCAACTATGGGGTTACAGCACTCATCTCGCTTTAAGGCTGAGAGAGCCGGCGTTTGTCCACAGACAGCTTTCTGGGTCATGTGACCAGCATAACTAGACCACTTCTGGTGCAACGGAACACCGTGACAGAAGCCAGTGCGCACGGAAACACTGTTTACCTTCCTGCCACAGCAGTACCTATTTATCTACTTGCACTGGTGTGCTTTCAAACTGCTAGGTTGGCAGGAGCTGGGACAACGGGAGCTCACTCCATCGTGGGGATTCGAACCGCCGACCTTCTGATCAGCAAGCCCAAGAAGCTCAGTGGTTTAGGCCACAGTAGTCATGCTGGCCACATGACCCGGAAAGCTGGCTCTGGACAAATGCCAGCTCCCTCGGCCTGAAAGCAAAATGAGTGCCGCAACCCCATAGTCGCCTTTGACTGGACTTAACGGTCCATGGGTCCTTTACCTTTACCTCTGTAGAACCTCTTTCCTGGGACTGCACCACTTTAGAATACAGGCTGAGCATCAGAATGGATGCTCTTGCACACACACAAACTAGAACATCAAGCAAGGCATTATGTAGCTTACTCATCGGCTCCATAGGCTGCTTTTCAACGTTTCAGAACTTCTGGTTTATTTTTATATTAAATACTCCCCTGTATACAATTTAACCATGCTATCTGTCCATTGAAATAATGAAGCAATATAATCTGAGGAGAGTGTTGCTATGAGAGGCAGCAAAATGGTCATATGAACACCAGGTTAACTCACTAGGGAAAGGCTTCAAAAACAGAAGAACTAAACGAACAAGAGAGGCTACAGAGGCTATGAAAGCTCATTTTCTGGAGGTTTCCAAACAAACAACTATTTGTTACACATATTTAGTAAGGGAGAAAATTCAAGTGTAAAAAATTATTTTTATTTAACAAAATGCATGCACCAGTTACTAAAAGAAAAAAGACCTCTATCCATTTTTCATCAGACAGTCTAAAATATTCATTTAAAATATTGATAAATGAACCAGAACAGGTTTTTTTTTTTGGAATGCTTATAAGCCTGTGTGGTGTAGTGGTTAGAGTGTTGACCTAGGACCTGGGAGACTGGGGTTCAAATCCCCACTGGGTGACCTTTGGGTCAGCTATTCACTCCCAGCCTAACCTACCTCACAGGGTTGTTGTGAAGATAAAACGGGGAGGAGGAGAACTATGCATGCCCCCTCAAGCTCCTCGCAGGAATGGCGGGATATAAATGCAAATGATACCTACTAGAATCATGTGTTATGATGCTATTATCACCCCATGGTTTCAATTTATCTCCTTCATTGAAGCAAGTCAAGCTTCTGAACATATTCCAGTAAAATACAGACGCATACATCACACACCTTACCTGTGATTTGCTTTCATAAACTTTACACATCCAAATTCTCTCTCAACAGTTAGTGAGATTTCCTTTGGTGTTTTTTTTGCTCTTAACTCTCCCATGAGCTCAGCTATAATAAACTGTGAAGTGCAATTAGTGAGTTTCCTTTTCCTTTTCCATCCAAATTAATGGCAGGGTTGCATTGTGCCCTATTCCTTCTCTTCATTGCCAGCATTTAACTTTACTTCAAGAGTGTGTGTGTGTGTGTGTACACATAAACGTTTTGAGCAAGCATTAATTGGAAATATTTTCGGTATAGAATTAAAGAACATACAGAATCATATTTAGGGTGAATACAAATGCAATACTTAAAAAGAAAGACACTCCCCCCCCCCGCATGCGAAGACAGGCTCTGAAGGATTGAGCAGATGAGACCAACAGTGTGTGATGGCCTGGGACTCCGGCTTGGACTCAGAACCAGAGGGGTCTCAGTCTGCACCAGATCCTTTGCCTCAGGCATCATCTGAACCAAGTCTGAGACCTGATCCTGAAGAGTCCCAGTCTGTACAGGTTCCCCTGCAACAAGCACCAGTTGGGCCGAGTCAGGGGCCTGAGCCTGCCCTGGCTCTCGTTGCCTTCAGCTGGGCCATCACCTACAGCTGCTCCACTACCAGTTGGGTCAGGGGAGGCTGAGGCAGCCCCTGGGTCTAGTAACCCACCGACGTCTCCTGAGCTGCAGAGACTAAGGTCTGAGAGAAGGAGAGACCTGAGTACTCGCAGGAGGAGTGCTCGCCTTCGGGCAAAACAGGGAGGTGAGTCGCCGGGAGATCAGGACCGGCCGCTACCCTGATGAAAAGGCTGTCGGACCCCCGCCCAAGGTTGCGGGAGCAACATTGCTGTATGCCAGATCCTGCCTGAGATCCTGTACCTGTCCTTGCCTGGTTTCCTGCCTCGCGTCCTGCCGTGGCCCCATCAGACTGACTCCTAGTGGAACCTTCAGATTCTGGACCAGACCTGGACCACGTTTCTCAGGTTACCCCCAGGGCCAGCACACAGGGAGTCCAACGGTCAAGAAGGTGGTTATTGCATGTGTTGTGGGGGGGGGGGAGTGAGGCGCAAATGGTCTCATCTACCTGGGAAGGGAGCCCATCTAGAAGAAGGAAAACTCTGGTCCTAAATCTCTGCTGCCTTGCAGGACATTTTTTTTTTGGGGGGGGAGCTAAGGAGTAAACCCACACAAGTCCAGAGTGGAGTCCCTAAGATGGTTGGATGGCGCCTCATACGCCTCCTTCCGACATCTCCTGCAGCCAAGCTGGTGCCAAACATACGGCTGTGCTTTCCTTTTGACCACATCAGTGCCCCGGCTTGTGCCCCGAGGAGGTCACTTTGGTGATGCTAATACAGTGGTTTGACTTCGCCAATGGAAGTGGGTGCACTCCACTGTCTCTTGAGACAAACAGATGCCAATAACTTCAAAGAGAAATCCCAATGGGCTCATTCCCCAGCATCACAATTTGAATGACAGACGAAGCTGCCTTAAGACCACCTCAGATCCATGGGTTGATCTAGCTCAGTATTGTCTATTGCACGGACAGGCAGCAGCCCTCCAGAGTTTCAGACAGGAGTTTCTCTCAGCCGTACCTGGAGACACCGGGGTTTCGAACCTGGGGCGTTCTGCATGCAAGGCAGAGCTTCTACCACTGCACCTATGGCCCTTCCCCCAAAACAGGTCTTCTAGCAAATCCAATAACAATCAACTAACCTACCTCACACTGAGCTGTTGTGTGGATTAAATGGAAGGGGGGGGGGAGAGAACCATGTGTGCGCAGTAAATAAATAAATATCCGCCCATCTATCCTGCTCCTCCATGCATCAGATGGAAAGGCTAGCCTACCTTCTTTTCTTTTTAAGAAAAAATAGTTTGTATGTGTGTTGAACAATCTTAAGCGATCCACTTGTAACTTACTGAAGAAAACCAGGAAAAAGTTACACAACAGCTTGCATTTTCCAGAGCCTGACCCTGCAGGTAGTGTGGTATATTTGTACCAAATCAGAGGGCAATGAGTCCACAGAAGCAGCACTGGCCAGCAAGGGTTGCTATATAAGTTTCCTCAAGGATGAAAAGATCTGTAGACTGTGACATGGCAAAAACATGGACCCTAAAGTGGGATTTAACTACAAACCACTTGATCAGCTAGGATTCCTGTTTGCCAGGCTTTGCCATTAATAGCACTAGGCGGCAATATTTTGACATCTCAGGTACACGTTAACTAAACTGATACTCAAAAACTTTAACCCCCTGAAGTGTTTTGGCATAACCTTCTCTTTGCTGACTAGCTGACATGCAAGGTGAATTCAACCTTGGGCCACACCAAGTCTAACAGGATTAAAGAGTTCGTTTCTGTTGCATGAAGGCCTGTAATTATTTTCTTCTTTGAAGCTGAATTTGATGTGGCGATTTTGCAAAAAGGAAAAAGGTGAAAGAAGGCAGGAATGTAACAGCCAGCTGGAAAAGAATGCAGGTTAACAAATTTGGTCTGGAGAAACCTAAGCCTTTGAGTTGCTTCCAAATAAATCAGGACTTGTCCATTGATTTCAGTGAGTCTGCTCACTCACTGACTAAGTTAGGTATAACCGTTCATCATTACCTCCACATTTCAGAAGGCAGTACTATGCTATTAGTTTTATTCTAGCCAGTAATACACTAAAAGACTTCATTTATTTCTTCACTGTTGAAATAGCCAGTGTTGCTCAGGAAATCCGTGTGAAATATTATCTCACATATGGGACAACCAAACAAAAAGTGATATACCAGCTTTGTATTGTTGGTGATTTAAAAATAAAACAAGGGTAACTGTTCAAATCTAACTACTCAGGAAAATGTTTAAAACTGATGCAATTCTGAACCGTTATAATCAACATCAAAATAGGATTAAGAACATTACTGTCCAGTTGACTATAAACCTGATGCCAGTGGCCATATTTCAAGGTGTAGTGAATGATACAAATATGGAGATAAAAGGGCAACAGTGGTAAAAAGGAACAGTCCTTCTAATGAAACCTCATTAGGTTCCCTAATAATTATTCCATTTATGAAAATATTTGACTATTTTAGAGCATTCCGCCATTTATTTGAGAGGTTTTTCCTCTGGAATCTATCCTAAGGGGGCGTCTATACCAACTGTTTTTCTCAGAATACATATATAGTGCATTGCGGAGGCTGTTGGTGTAATCACAATCTTAGAGCTGGTGGCAAGAAATGTCTGCATTCACATAATCCAAAATCCCATTTTAGCAAACTGGGATATGCACAAACTGTGTGCACAAATGCAGGCCTTCACATGAGTGGCAAAAGTAAAACCAGGAAGCCATAACTGGCCATAGTTCTTCATTCACATGTAACAGAAAACCATGGTTAACAGCTTCAAAATAAGCCAGGATTCAAAAGCTACATGATGCAGCCACCATGCACCCTAATAGTTTATTTTTTATTTAAGCCAACTGCTCACGGTGATGGCAAATCTGAAAAAGGCCTAATTTTTGTAAATAATAAGGCACGGTATTAAGAAATGCATCAATAGTATACAGAGCTCCTCATCCATCTCACTGCTTTCTAAGTAACTTTTGCAAGACAGAGTCATTCAGTACCCAATGTGTTCCTTTGCAATCTCTGCACGAGTCAGAAGGGGAAAAAAATTAAGAACTACTGTTAGCCTGGTGGCCCATCAGAAAAAGTTTCAAAAGTAACAGTCAAATTGTATCATGTTGTTAATGCTAAAATAAAAGTGAGTAAGCTTTTCAAAGTTTGCTTACCTTTCTGACCTTTTTTGTGGGCTCTAACAAATCCATTACCTTGTTACTTATTATTCAAAGTTGACATTCTGGGAGGATACATCAGTCTAAGGCTTGATTAAAATCTTTACCAAAGAAAGAAAGAAACGAAAGAAAGAAACCAAGATGCAACAGTGGATACAGTCCCAAATGTATGTACACTGTATATCTCACAAGTTTGAATCTGTAGGCGATCGATACCATGTAATACTAACACTTTAGATGTCATACAAAACTTTCAGGACATCAAGGCTGAATACACAAACAAGAAAACTTACAGGGGGCAGTTCTATGTGTACTTACCTAGAAGAAAGTCACGTTGAACTCACAGCAGCATAGTTCCAGATAAAACGTATAAAAAGGACCCAAGGAAGCTGCACAGATCTGAATATATTCACCAGCATTAGGTACAAATTCACTACATATCACCAAGGTACTCAAAGTCCAGTTACATGAACCAGCACCTTCAACTGACCATTTGTGTGCCTTATTCCAAGCCAGATATGCAGGGATGAAAAAATGAGAGCACTATGTCTATTAAGACAGACGCTTTACAAAACACACTGCACGGTTCAGTAAGATTAACATCGTTGGCTCGGTTGCCTTTTGAGCATCGGCCGGATTGAAAGCTTTGCTACAGAAGAAGAAGAAAAACGCCGTCCTTCATGGGAAGAGCGCTGCTTTCATAATCGGCAGAGCCACATTGCTACAGCAACCCTGTACTCCATGTACCCAAAAATTCTAGGCAGCAAAAATAACAAAGCACTGGAGGCCAAGGGAAAATATTCCCAGGCTCTCAAAATACTACAGTGCTCATTACATGCTTCTCCGTATTTTCCGTAGCTTAGAGCTGCCTGCAGACCTCAGAAGGGTGGCTAAGCTTCTTTTCACCATAATTACCATGACCATTCTTAAAATGTACGTACTGTATTATATATAAATATATATGGTATGCACAAATCCATTTTTGGCTTTATACCAACTTTAAAAATAATTCTTCTGAGTTTCCTGCATAGAATGCAGCTCATTTTAACGACCACTGCCTATAAGATTGGGCACCTCCTCCAAAACAAATGGTTCTCTCCAAACCAGCAATGAGCATTTCCCTATTTTCTGCTCTTCAGTAACCAACACCAGTGATCTTTCAACTCCATATTTAAGTAGGATCACCGAGGTTGATGAGCCCATGTGTACACTTCCAAAAACAGCACTCCTGGCCGTGAAAACATAAGAAAGATGAAGCTCTGTGCTACAAAGTGTCCAATGTATGGATAGCCATGAAGCAAATAAACACGGCTGCTCCTGAACTGCCTTTTTGGGGTGGGGTGGGGAGACTTAACTCACCTTGCTGGGACTTATTTCTGAGTAGACATGACTATGATTGCACTGGAATTCTCTTGAAATTAAGAGGACAGAGTTGTTGCAATCCTACAACATCCTCTCGACAGCAGGGAAACTGAAAGGGCAACACACATACCCTAGTCCTGTGTTATTTACCATCTCACACATTTTGGAATCATTAACTAGTCGCCTTTGTCAGGGGTATCATTGCAAACTGAGGGAGAAATGCTTTTCTGGACTCTTACCAGCAGGCAGAGTACAATAAGTCATTCTCAATTTTTTGCCTTGAAAGTGTGGAGAAGGAACAGGGAACCTGTGCTCCCACTCTGATGTGGTTGGGGCTCCCAAACCCTCTGAGTCAGGAACGATGGCAGCTGGAGTCCAGCAGCATTCAGGTTCCCCACTCGTGGTCCAGAGCAGGCTTCCTCAGACTCAGCCCTCCAGATGTTTTGGTATACAACTCCCATGATCCCTAGCTAGTAGGACCAGTGGTCAGGGATGGTGGGAACTGTAGTCTCAAAACATCTGGAGGGCCGAGTTTGAGGAAGCCTGGTCCAGAGCATAGACCGACTGGTTAGGCAATGCAAGACCCCACCAGATCCCACCTCCAGCGTTCTTTTTTTAAAAAAAAGAATTAAAACAAAAAATTCTTATTTAGATCAGTATAAGAGAGAGGAAGAAAACAGCAAGCTGCTTTAAGAGAAAGAAAGCATGTCTAAGGAAGACCTAGTAACTTACAAAACCTCTTCAGCTAACAAAGCAGCATGAGTCACCCTAGGCAAGTTCTACGAAGCATTGATGGAAGATATCAAGAACACTGAAAGCTTAATCCTTTTATCTCAGAGGGTCGGGGAAATGACCATGTGTGAAGGAGATCCACCAATCAGGGGAAGCCAGCTCTACTTGGAATCTCTGACCACTAGCATTCGCCAACAGCCCAATCAGGTGGGGCAAGAGGTGCAAATGGCACCAACTTCCTCTTGATGTGTGTGTGTAGGGGGAGAGACATCCCCAATGAGGAAGGAGGAGATGCTTTGAGCATAACATGCACTCAGCATGGAGCACCAATAGGAACTCAAAGGTTCTCTTAAAAGGACAGAAATTGTGGGTGGGTGCTGCCTTTTTGTTCCTGGACCTCATTCATTACAAAAAGCAATTGCAGGATAAGCAGATGTTCAAAGCACACATTTGATGACTGGGTTCACTCTGAGCCACTTTATCTTTATGGCCTTACACTGTGCACAGATTAGCAACTTCCAAGAATAGGTCCTCAACCTTGCCAGATTCTTACTACCTCCAGAACTGTGAGATAAGAAAAGAAAAAGAACACTTTCAAATAGCACAGGGTGAGGAACTTATGGCCCACCAGATGTTGATGGCTGTGCTGGCTGAGGCAGATGGGAGTTGTAGTTCATCTGAAGGGGGCGGGGGGACACAAAGGTTAGCTGCCTACTCACTCATTATTGGCCACCAACTTGGGAAAGGGGGAGTACCGCTGTCTTATCTAAGTCCTCCCTAAATATGGAGCTGAAACAGACTCAAATTTTTATGAACACACTATCTGGACTTAGACAAGTCACTTCTCTGCAGTGTGGAGATAAAATTACTACTGACCTGTCTTACAGGGCTATTGCAAGGATTACAAATGATACAAAGTTAAGTGCTTTGAACACTTGCAAGAGCTGCTACATAAATGCCGAGGCCAATTCTCATCACCGAAAGTTGTTGTGAAACTATCGTAATTTTTTCTATGTATTCCTGAAATTCATGCTAGGGCCACCCCCCCCAAAAAAAATATTGCCCCTCTTTGTTTTTGCAGCAACATTTTTCCCCCAATCAAAATGGCAAAGGGGAGAGAAATTTCAGAAAATTTTGAAGATTGGCTTACCTTAGTTTTAATTTTTCAAGACAATGTGCAAAAATGGGGGGGGGGGCAGGCAGGTGTGTGTGTGTGTGTGAGAGAGAGAGAGTGCACTCATGCACACACACTTTGTAAACTTTAAAAAGCTTTGCAAACTTTAAAAGCATTGCCTCCCTCCTACTTTCTCTAAAAACTCCTGAAATTCTCCGAACATTCTCCTGCACCCCTCAGTCTTTGGGGTGCTCTTTTCACCTGTCCTCCTGCTCAATTTTGGGGTGCTCTTTTCACCTATCCTCCTATTCTAAATAGGCTGATATTTCTGGTCCAGCTCTGTCTCTCATTATCAGCCGGGCTTCAATTCCTTCCATCAGATATTTGCCTGCTTCAAGAGTTTGATTTGTTTAGACAAGTAGTTAAGCCTTTCCTATTCAAGCAGACATTTGGCCTTTCCTAAACTCTGGAGTGTTTCTCTGGTTTTTGGAATTTCCCTGCAAATGTTTGCTTTTAGATCACATTGTTTCCTTTAAAATCTTAATTTTCTTGGAGGGTTACATTTTACATTAGTTTCCGATCATTTTGCCCTTTGAGAATCAGTATAAACAGAAAAGAGAGCTTTGTACATTTCTAAATAAAAACAATAAAGACCAACAAATTAAGTCTAGTAGCTCATCTGATGCAAAAGAAAACAGCAACATACAATCCAGTTGGACAAATAGTAATTTGCGCAATTCTCATAAGTTTTTTTTTAAAAAAAACAATCTAAACAAATTATTCCACCATTCATTTTTACAGTACAAGTGGCAATTTGAACGAATGAAAACGAAACAAATTCATTCTTAACCGCTTTGCACGGCAGGCATTGTTTTGCGTTTTAGAAATAGGCTAGAATGCTATGTACAGTTCACAGAAAGGTCATGTAAAGGGTGGAGAGGAAAAAGAAGAGATACATGAAACTGACAGAACAGACGTCTCTATTTTAGTTTAGGTCGGGGTGACCAAACTTCAAGGGCCCAGTGACCCTTCTGCAAACAAGAGAAACTGCTGTAGGCACTGCACACAAACCACATCCTAATGCTATTGGCTACAGCAGACGGCTTTTTTCAAGCCTCATTTCAGCATGGGGGGGGCACTTTAGGCACCACAAAATGCCACTTCAAGCCCTATCTCATTAAATGCCCTTCACTTTGCCATACACAGAACGGCAACCATCAGTTGCTTCACACATTTTGCGCAGGCGTTTTCTGACCCATAAGATCATTCAAGACCCTGTTTTGTGTATCAGAATCCCCCAAATTCTTATTCTATATGCTTTTAACATTGCTGTCTTATTGGTTTTCGGCTGCATTTTTAACTACATTGTGTGTGTGTTTTTAAATACAGTACACTGTTGAGTGGTTTATATAAATGCTTTTAAGCAAATAAAATTTGATTTATTTACGTAATTAAGGCCACCATGTTGACAACCCCAGGTTTAGACAGCTGTTAGGCCGCATTTGTGCCCTATAAAATTGCGACCTCTGGTCCAATCCATCTGAGATTTAGGAAGTCTGATGTTCAGGGGTGAACCTGATTGGACTGAACATACCAGAGTTAACCGCAGCAGAAGGATGGCCAAATCTTTCACTGAAATCAACAAGAAAACAAAGTAATATTTGCACCCCCTCATTAATTCCCATAAAACCACATAAAATAGTGGTGCTGGCTGCCACTCAGTTCACCGAATATACTTCTTTAAGATTTATACCAGAAAATTAGAAAATGGCCATAGTAGTGAAGTGACTGAACATACATTTTGCATGCAGAATATTCTAACCAGGAAGGGCTAGGAAGACTTGCCCAAGACCCCAATCAGTGTAGACATGTACTGAGCTAGATGGACCAAGAATCTGCCATAGCAGAGTCCTCTGTTCCTCAGATTCAAGTATACACACGGTTAGAAAACAGACGTGGCTTCTGCTGCAACCATTATATGTGCTGCATGCCATTAACATTTCTACTGCAGCAGTCTCTGCTGAGAAGTATCATTGACTTTGGTTCACAGAGGTCTGCCTAATGTGCAGATGTACGGTATTAAAAATGTCTGGAGGAAAGCATCGTGACAGACAAAGGTGCCGAAGAACATAAATTTGAAGGAGAAAACGTTCATTCTGCATATGCTCTTGGAAAATAAACACCAACATTTCGATTGCATCCACTGCTTTTACCAGTGCACTGGAGTTTTCAGTTACACGTTTAAGAAGCTGAGAAAAATGACTAAACTTTGATTCCATCATTGTACATTTTTATAAACAGTCTCATTGCTAAATCCACGTCAGCCTAACCCAAACAGTGTTTCTCTCCAGACACAGAGGCAACTGAACCAGAAAGGGAATGTGGCAACATGGCAAGTTGAGGAAGATGATCACAATTAAGACCCTTGCAACTAGACAACTAGAACGTTGCATCTCCCTGAGAAAGTCATAGAATCAGAGTATTGTAGATTTGGAAGGGACAATGGAGGTGGAGGGGGTTATCTAGTCCAAGTCCCTGCAATGCAGGAATTTTCTGCACAATTTCATCTGGGAGGGAATGTTCAATATGGAATTGGGACACAAAGAAAGTTTTATTCCTTTTTCTCCCGTACAAGAGGCATTTAATTTCCGAAGTTAATTTCTGCTGTTGCAAGGTAACAATATCAGGCTTCTGACCCTATTTGGTTGCTTACATTGCCAAGGATGAAAATACAGATTTCTATTTAATCAAGAGGTTTTCTTTTCCTGCAGTAACTGAGAGAAGTATACATAGGGTCCCCTCTGGCACCAGGACCCAAGGTCACCCAAAGAGGCTCAAGGCACAGAAAAAAAAACTGAATCCAATCCATACCTAACATTCTATCCATTTCAACAGCACAGCAAGCTTCCCTGGAAAAAGTACTAAGCTCCTAGGCAAATTTCAGCACTATATTTAGAGAGCTACGGCTTAATGCAGGGACAAAGCCAGCATCCAAACCGATACACAGCCAGAATCATGTTTCACTTGTTTGCATAGAAACATCTCCAGTCACTATACAGTTACACCATTTTATAACGTTCCTTTCTTTCTTTTTTCCCACAATCCAGACATGGAGCATCCCAGAACCAAAGAATCAACACAGGGTTCAAAGAGAAAAAGAACAATTTCATTTCAGGCACAATTCTAAGTGCCAGCTTTCACCTCCAAAGCTCTAAGGCTGTGGCCCTCCAGATGTTACAGGTGAACTACAACTCCCCATCACTCCTTACCACTGGTCAAACACTTTGGGAATGATGAGAGTTGGAGGCCAGAGGTTCCCCATCCCGCCTTCAATTTGCTGAGTTTTCTCAGGAATCATCTAATCCTGCATGAATCAGCCTGGAAATTCCACTCAGCTTCTGGAAGTCCTTTTTCCAGCTCCAGAACTGGCATGAATGGATGCTTTAGTTGAGTTGCTGCTACAATTGACTTTAAACAGATATTAACAACCAAGGCTATTTTCATGAGACGGATCTCATTGTCTACATTTCCTTCCTCCTAAATTCAAATCTAATACACATTTGTTGGCCGAAAGTGCATACGGTTTCAAAGCCCTTCACTTCTTCAATACCCTACTCTGAATTCTAAACATTCAATACAAGTTCCATTTTGTCACAGGTGAGCGGAAAGGGCGGGGAACCTTCTAGAAATCCAAAACACCTCTGTAGTTCCATGGCAATTGCTCACACCTCTACACTAGTATTTTGAGCCAAATAAACCTTGTTCTATTTATCTAAGCAAAACGTAAACAGAAAAAAAATAAATGGCGGCGTGAGTAATCATTCTGAATTTCATCTGCAATCAAAACATATCCACAAACATTTTAGCTTAAGGTATATTCTGTATTCAGAGAGGGAGAAATTCCCCACAGTAAGCCCACACAGATCATGAAACGACCACACGACCAGCTAAATCATTTCCACTTTCAACAGCCTCTTCCCACATGCAAACCTCAATTTGGTTTCATATTTGCCTATTACATGCATACATATCCTGCCTTTCACCCATACAACTCAGGCAGCAAAGAGACCCAAACATGCTCCGATTCAGCAAACCTGTTGCATCATGTACCTTCAGGTATGTGTTAGTACAACGGATGAGGGCTGATCAACATAAGCTCAATCCAGACAAGGTGGGAGATCCTGTTGCTGGGTGGTTCATCTCACCAGCTTAGTGACAGTCAATGGAAACGGGAAGGTCTCCAAATTTTGGGAAACAATTTGTTCTGGTTTTTCTTCCAGGCCCTCACATCTGTAATGGTCATCCCTGCACTGGAGAAGGTTGAACACCCCCTGAAGAAAGACATTCCCAGTCTAGGGGTGCTCTGCTCATTGATCCGCCTTTGTAACTGGAGGTGCAGGTTACTTGCATAGACTAGACCATTTCCTACCTGGTTATGCTGGCATTCCAGCTTCCGCGGATACACCAACCAAGGGCATCCCCAACAGGTTGGCCTCATTATCCAGATTAGACTGCTGCAATTCATTACACATGGGACTGCCCTTCACAGATGGCCTGGAAGCTTCAATCAATGCAAAATGCAGCCAATAGGGTCAACTACATGTTACAGTCATATGACTGGCTCCCAGTAAGATATCCACACTCAACTGAAAGTGCTGTTTTGACCTTTAAAGTACTTCATGGCTTGCAACGAGGGCACCTAAAGGACTCTTTTTCTCCACATGTGCCTGCCCATATACTAAGGTCTTTCTTCAGGTGCCCCTCCATCTAAGATATGACTACAGGGTCCACTTTGTAATGGCATCCCCAGGAGGCTTCGCTGGCTGCCTACCTTAATGCAATTCCGGTACCTAGCAAACCCTTCTAACCTCTGTGCATTGCCATAATGCTGTTCCCTGCTTTGTTTTTAAATCCATTCAACTGCCACTCCTGATATTGTGTATTTAATGTTGCTCAATGTTCTTGTTTTAAAATGGCAATTGAACCAAATTGCCCTGGGAATTCACTGAAAGGTGAAGTACAAATGAAATAAAGTGCAAATACAAAACTTAAGCTGGCAAGACTACACGTTCGGTTCTCCCTTCATGAACATTATTTACATGTGCTCAGTGGGCTCAGTATGCATTTTTTTACAGCCTGATCCTACACATGCTTACTTTAATTTTTTTTTTTTTTAAATATTTTTATTGCATTTTTTCCACATAGAAATACAAAGTCGGATATACAAAGAAATAACAGAAAAGAAAAAGAAAAGGAAAAAATCATCTTTCCAAAGCATTTTCTATAACCAACCGGACTTCCCCACGTCTCCCTCACCTTGCGTTCTTTACAATAAAATTTTTCAGCAAATTATAACCTTATTTTGTGCATTCTTTTGTTCTTTCAAATACTTATGGTTTACGTTTAAAATGCTTATTGTCAATTTACACTAATAACATATATAATGTTCTTTTAAACATTAGTCCTTTCATTAATATAGCTTAGTTTCCCATACCTTAATCTTATTGCTGGAGCTGAATTTCCCTAATCATGCGAATTCTTAACATTCATATAACTTATAAAATCTTTGTAAATAATCTTTAAATTTTTCCAATCCTCCTCCATTGCTTCTTCTCCCAAATCTCGGATCCTGGCAGTCATCTCGGCCAATTCCATGTAGCCCATCAATTGCGTCTGCCACTCTTCCAGTGTGGGTAAATCTTGAGTCTTCCAGTATTTTGCGATAAGAATTCTTGCTGCTGTAGTTGCATACATAAAAAGGTTCTATCCTTCTTTAACACCTTCTGGCCGACAATGCCCAGTAGGAAGGCCTCTGGTTTCTTGGGAAAGGTGTACTTAAACACCTTTTTAAACTCATTATAGATCCTTTCCCAGAAGGCCTTCACTTTTGGGCAAGTCCACCAGAGGTGAAAGAATGTCCCTTCAGCCTCCTTACATTTCCAACATTTATTATCAGACAAATGATATATCTTAGCAAGCTTGACTGGGGTCATGTACCACCTGTATATCATTTTCATAATATTCTCTTTCAAGGCATTACATGCCGTGAATTTCATACCAGTGGTCCATAACCTTTCCCAGTCTTCAAACATAATGTTGTACCCAATGTCCTGAGCCCATTTTATCATGGCTGATTTGACTGTCTCATCCTGAGTGTTCCATTTAAGCAGCAAGGTATACATTCTCGAAAGTACCTTGGTTTTTGGTTCCAACAATTCTGTCTCTAGTTTCGATTTTTCCACCTGGAAGCCTGTTCTTTTGTCCAACTTAAAAACCTCTTGAATTTGAGCATAGTGAAGCCAATTTTGCACCTTATTCTTTAATTTTTCATAACTCTGCAGCCTCCAAGTTTCTACACATGCTTACTTTAAGAGTAAGCCCATTTGAGGGGCAGGATCCCAGAATTTCCCTACAAACTTTATTGCTGCCTAGTGCCATTTAAAAAAAAATCTCCATCAATTAACTGTTTTTAAAATTAGCAAAATGGAGAGAAACTTTTCACAGAGTACTCAGTGGCACAGTGCAGGGGTTTGATGCAAAGTAATATCTTTTGAGGGAGCTTGCAAGTCTCATTTCTTTCATTCAACAAGCCATCTCTCCAGTGGTCTAAATTCTGCTGGCTTCTCAGAGGCCCTGTGCTTCCTGAAAAGTTCACAAAGTCCCAGGCTGGGCTTTCCTGTAGGTGTGGGAACGTGGGGAAGCTACATTTCATGTACTTGGCAGCCAGCTGTTGCTGCTTTAAAGTTAAGACTTTATTCAAAAAGAAACCACTATGGAAAAGGTATATAAAACAACTTGCTTTAAATAGAAAATCAGCTCATCCGCTGCTCTCAGGCACTCTGTACCAACTGTACAGGCACTCTGTACCAACTTCCCCAAGGTTTCCAGGCTTCAGTTAAAGCCCAGGGGAAGAATCCCATGGGGCTTTATCAGGTAAGAATTCTGCAGCCTTCCCAGGGGACCATGCTTCCTGAAAGGCACATGAACTCCGAAGCTAGGGAGGTTATGGAGAACTGGAGAAGCCTTTTCTAGAAAGAAAACATGCACCACCTGCAGCCCTCTCACAATATAAGGTTTGCTCAAGACTGTACACACAGAATGCAAAGTTCAAAACTGCCCTGAGAAGGCAGTTTGGCAAATCTGCCAATTTCTCATTCCCCCACTTTTAAGTTCAGTTCTCTGCAGTTCCATTAACCATTTTCAATTTTTTTGCTTACCGTATTTTTTGCTCTATAAGACTCACTTTTTCCCTCCTAAAAAGTAAGGGGAAATGTGTGTGCGTCTTATGGAGTGAATGCAGGCTGCGCAGCTATCCCAGAAGCCAGAACAGCAAGAGGGATTGCTGCTTTCGCTGCACAGCGATCTCTCTTGCTGTTCTGGCTTCTGAGATTCAGAATATTTTTTTTTCTTGTTTTCCTCCTCCAAAAACTGGGTGCGTCTTATGGTCTGGTGCGTCTTATAGGGCGAAAACTACGGTAGGTCCTCATGGAAATCCACCCTTTGCTATTAACAGATGGGTGCAACTTTGCTCGATATACCCATTTCCGCAGAGCAAAGCAAATGCATGTTTGCAATTTCATTTAATATCTGCATTTCTACACCCATTACTCAGCTGGGGAGCTGCACTGCAGAATTCAGAAAAGTGTTGATTTTCGAAAAAGGCCTTTTGGTTTCAATTCACCTATTGTTTTGAAAAGTGAGAATTAGGTTGGTTTGCCTTTCAATGCAAAGTGAATTGAATTCCTCCCCCCCCCCCATCTCTAGAAAACCCCAACACCTCTTATGCAGGAGTGGAATTGGGGTGACTTTTGGGGGCACAGGGCTTAACTGCCTTTTTCTCTTACCTGAAACCCTTCCTGGGCAATTAAAACAAACTGGTTCACTGAAATGGCCAAAAATTGCTTTCAAGCAACTCTGTTGGAGCCAGATACTCCTGGCAATGACCTTGGATTACTTTCACTGGATGTTCTGCCAATACCACCTCCAGATGATCTCTCCAGAGAGGAAAAGGAATAGCTCTGAGTCACTGTTTGCCCTCTCACTCTCTCCAATGTATCACAGGCCATCTGCAATCCACAACCGTGATAACTCAAACAAAATCCAATATTCCCAAAGGCTTAACTTGGGAAAGAAAGGGGGAAAAAGATTGGGGGAAACCAGGCAAGGGTCTTCAGCAGCCTTTTCCAACTTTGGGTCCCCATATTTTTTTGGACTACAACTTTCATCAACCCTAGCTAGCAGCACCGGTGGTTAGGGATGGTGGGTCCCCAGTTGTCCTTGGACTAAAACTCCTATCATATCCAAACTAGCAGGTTAGGGATTGATGGGAGTTGTAGTCCAACAATATCTGGGGACCCAAGGTTGTGAAAGGCTGGTCTACAGGTATAGACAAGAGAGAACACAAATATTTTTGACTGCGTTCGCTGCCATTACACTGAAAACAACTAATCAGAACCGAAACCAACATCCTATACTCGCAAACTGAAGTGTTGATTTACTCTCCCACGGTCCTAAGCGCTTTTTGAATAAATACAAATTTAAAAACAAGTCTCAGTGGGATCGAGGGTACTTAGGGAACCGCCGATTGGCGGATCCCGGAATTCAAACGGAGAAATCGATTATCCAGCTGCGGCTGCCAATTCTAGACTGAGTCTCTGAGCAGCGTCTCGACCTTTAGGAGAGCCCAGCTTAGACCGGGTCGTCTCTCCGGCTTCCCCTCCAAAGGCTTTGATCCAACAGCCGGGGTGGGCGGAAAATGGGAATCGGTTTCCCTTCTGGGAAAATAATCACAGCTGGGGGCGGGGAAAGGGGGGGAGAAGTCGCTGTTAAGAAAAAAGGGGCAAAAAGAGGCAAAAAGGACTCAGCTGTGAGCAAGCAACTTTGGGAATAGCGTCCCAAATAGGGAGAGATGTTGGGGGTGCAATGAAAGAGAGAGATGTTGGGAGGGGGGAGTGTCAAGCTGCGTCTCTAAGCATTCCTCCCGTCCCAGAAGTGGAATCCGAATCAATGGAAGTCGCTGCCCAATAATTTCGGGTCGAAGTGTCCTTCCCCACGAACCGAGGTCTCACCAAGCTTCCCTGGACGCAAACCCCATAGTAGTCCTGGGCACTTACTCCCGAGTAAGCCGCTTCAGAACCGAAAGCCGTACCAGCGCCGGCGAGACCGGGATCGCCCTGCCATTCCCACGGCTTTCCAAGCCCGACACCCCCTTTGAAACACACCCGCCCACCCCAAAGAACTCTCCCGGTTGCGCCCCTCACCTTCTCACGCCGCCTCTCCTCCGCCCCACCGGCGCGCTTCTCCATAATCCGCGGTGCCAGGCGTGCTGGGCCGGGCCGGCCCCACCTCCGCTGGGCTCGGCTCCTGCGCAGCCCCAACAGGAAGCCGGAGCCTGGCGGGGAGGCAGCGGGAGCAGCCCGGCGCCCTCCGAGAGGGATGGGCGCGCGGGGACCGAGGAGACGGTCTGTGCGCTTTGGCGCCGGGCCTCGTGCGCCCTGGAGCTGGGGAGCTTTTTGGAGAGGTGGCGACGGGCGGATGGGTCCGAGCGAGAGGCTCCGAGGCCTGGCAGGCGGCGAGCGCAGTTCAGAAGAGCAGCAGCAGCAGCCTATGGAAAAGGTTCGGCTTGTGGCTCCAGCGGCGGGAGGAGGAGCTGGAGAGGGACAAGCAACAAGCGCCTTCTGTGCGGCTGCCTGCGAGCTGCCAAGTGTCGCGCTGCCCCTGGCCGCCCCTTGATCCCAGTGGTGGGGCCTTCAGGGGCAGGACTTGGAGGGCAGGACTAGCCCAGGGGTCCGCTCAGCAGAAGGGGCAGTAGGACCCCCCAAACTCAACTGGGCACATTTTGAAGTACAACTAAAGTCTTCCCCACCCCCCCACCCCGCTGTCAGACCAAGCAGTGCAAAGTCTAAAATTACCACTTAAGCTGCGCCACTGTGGGATAACGCCACAGGTCTAACTAATCCCGTATTTCATATCGGATCATCTTTTTCCGCCGGAGCGCCCACGTGTCTGGATACCTAGGCACGGGCGGCAAGAAAAGCTGCGTTCTTATCATGAGTTGTATTGGGAGTAAGATTCCTTGCATTTGTTTTCTGAGTAAACAAAAACAAAAAGCTTGTGATCATAGTGCACGTGCGTGTGAAAAGCACAAAATGCCTTACAGTGAACTGGCAACATCATACAGTACCTTCCAGGTTCAGGTGGTGCCCTGCGGTTAAATAGGCAAATTAGATAGGTCTCTGCCCTCAAGGAGTCTACAGACCAAAATAAGGGACAAAGGAGGAATCAATGTGCTGAAATGCTTTTACATGTACAGTGGTACCTCGGGTTAAGTACTTAATTCGTTCCGGAGGTCCGTTCTTAACCTGAAACTGTTCTTAACCTGAAGCACCACTTTAGCTAGTGGGGCCTCCTGCTGCTGCCGGAGCACGATTTCTGTTCTCATCCTGAAGCAAAGTTCTTAACCCAAGGTACTATTTCTGGGTTAGCAGAGTCTGTAACCTGAAGCGTATGTAACCCGAGGTACCACTGTACTTAAAAAGTTTCACTGCAACTTTCCAGAGCAGTTCTGTTCAATGGGTCTTGCTCCCAGTTACAGTAATAATAATAATAATAATAATAATAATTTATTATTTATACCCCGCCCATCTGGCTGGGTTTCCCCAGCCACTCTGGGCGGCTTCCAACTGAATATTAAAAACAGTACAGCATCAGACATTAAAAACTTCCCTAAAGAGGGCTGCCTTCAGTTGTCTTTTAAAAGTAAAATAGTTGTTTATTGCCTTGACATCTGCTGGGAGGGCGTTCCACAGGGCAGGCGCCACTACCGAGAAGGCCCTCTGTCTGGTTCTCTGTAACCTTACTTCTCGCAATGAGGGAACTGCCAGAAGGCCCTCAGCGCTGGATCTCAGTGTCCGGGCTGAATGATGGGGGTATACAGTAACCGTGCATAGGACTGCAGGTTTAAGCTCTGCTGAATTAAATGGGTGTTACAAGCAAGCATGGAGATTGCTCCCCCAACTTTATCCCCTCACACTTTTGTCCCATGTTATCTAACTATTTTGTGGGATTTTGGTGGTCCAAATAAAGGTACTGCCTGACTGTGGATTTTCTCCCTTCTGGACTGGCATGCCTTCTTTTGCATTTCTACATTTTTTTCATTTGGGGGGCGGGGAGTAGATAATCACAACAGGGACACAGGTGGTGCTGTGGGTTAAACCACAGAGCCTAGGACTTGCTGATCAGAAGGTCGGTGGTTCAAATCCCCGCGTCGGAGTGAGCTCCCATTGTTCGGTCCCTGCTCCTGCCAACCTAGCAGTTTGAAAGCACGTCAAAGTGCTAGTAGATAAATAGGTACCACTACAGCGGGAAGGTAAACAGTGTTTCTGTGCGCTGCTCTGGTTTGCCAGAAGCGGCTTAGTCATGCTGGCCACATGACCCGGAAGCTGTACGCCAGCTCCCTTGGCCAATAAAGCGAGATGAGAGCCGCAACCCCAGAGTCGGTCACGACTGGACCTAATGGTCAGGGGTCCCTTTACCTTTACCTTTAGATAATCACAACACAGATCCACAGTTGGAACTTGGAGAAACTTCTTGCTCCATGCTGAAATCTCTTGGCCTGGTTACTCAGAAGTAAGCTCCATTAAATTCAATGGGACTTAATCCTGGGTATGTGGGTGTGACCACCAGTGGAGGGTTGGTGTTGCAAAGTAGCTGAACAGCAGAATATGGGAGGTCTTTAGTTCAAAGGAGTTAACCAGGAACTCCATAGGCAAATTCCTGAGCAAGTGATTCTTCTCCCAGGCTTCGCACTGCAAATATGGGGGATGATCATAAAAGTGGCCTGCCTTGCAGGGTTGTTGTAAATATTGCTGGGATAAGGTACATCAAGCATGGAAAGGGTTGTAGCTTATTAGCTGAGCACAAGCTTTGCATGTCACAGATTTGCAGGTTCAGTTCCCAAAGCAGTCTAACGAAAAGCACCTGGACAGTCACTGCCAGCCAGTGTCAAGTAACATGGATCCATGGTCTGACTTGATGAAAGACAGCTTCCCGTGGGGCTTTCTTGCAGGAGAGTAAGGGATACAGCTCAGTGGTAGGGCACATGCCCTGTATGCAGAAGGTAAGGTAAAGGTAAAGGGAACCCCCACCCTTAGGTCCAGTCGTGACCGACTCTAGGTTTGCGGTGCTCATCTCGCTTTACTGGCCAAGGAAGCCGGCGTTTGTCTGCTTCTGCAGACAGCGCCACCCGCATGCAGAAGGAACCAGGTTCAATTTCTGGCATATCCAGACAGGGCTGGGAAAGTCTTCCCTGTCTGAGAAACCCTAGATAATCGTTGCTGATGTTAGATGGATCAATGTCTAAGGCCTCCTTCAGGCTGCCGCTATTTTGTGGGAATGATTCAATCACATATCAAAACTGTAGGTTTGGGGCAATTAAAATATATTACAGCTCTGCGTCGTCCAAGCACAACATGACCGCTTTTTTAATACTTTCTGTGGTTTGGAAAAGCAATGGGGAGAGCACTGAAAGTGGGATGAATGAATGACTAATGCGAAGATGAGCAAATACTACCCCCTCCGCAGACCAGGATGGCTGCTCATTGTCATCCAAGAGCCCCATAAAGAAATCAGAAGAAATGCTCAATAAAGATTGGGTGTAATCTAAGCTCCACATAAACCTTGAGCAAACAAATCAGGATGTATTCTCAATAAATAGCTCATCCGGAGAGGCCCCTAAGCAGCTTCATATATTCCTGTTAGGAATACTTGAAATGTGCTATTTACGTTATGTTGGAATCCCTAATAATTTTTTTTTAAAAAAAAGATAGAAATGTGCTATTTAAATGTGCTCTGTGTTTTTCTTAGAGCTGAAATGTTCAGTCAGTCAGTCAGTTAGCTTAATCAATTAAAGTAAGAGTAAGCTCTGTTGAACACAGTAGGGTTTACTTCCCAGTAAATATGCACAGGAGAGCACTGTTGGTCATGGGGGGGGCGTGCACTGGTTAATGAGGCAGTGGATTTTTTTAAAATAAGAAATATAATTTTAATACATGACCTAATCAAAACTGCACGTGGTGGGACCCATCTTATAGCCTGCAATGGCACATGTTTGCATTAGCTAAGAACAATAGAAATATTTTTGAGAAATAAGATTTTAACCAGGTGAAATTTTATAGATTCAATCCATTAAACCTCTTATGATGAATTGATTAAAATGTATTTACTCGGTTGCAGCCCTTTCTTCTTATTTTTGAACTTTCATAGGTGGAAGAAAATTAAACAGGACCTGAAACTTTAAAATCAAATCCCCACGCAGCTGATCACTGGGTGACCATGAGCCAGCTACTATCTATCACTCAGCTTACCTAATCTGCCTCACAGGGTCGGTTTTTAAAGATAAAAATGGAGAAGGGTGTGGGGAGAACCATATATGTTGCCTTGAGCTCTTTGGAAGATAGGTGGGATAGAATTGTAATAAGTACAATAAAACCCTCAGACTGTGACTGAATTAGCCAAGGGTAAATAGATTTGCCCTCTGATAGAAGTGTCCCTTCTCAGTGTATCAGAAGTCTGGTTTGCAACACACATTGCTGCGATAATGGTATTAACGGGCTTCTGGTGCTGAAGCAAGAACGGGCAAATAAAAGGGTTTCTTCTTATCACTTACGTCCTGCTCCTCCTGATCTGCAACAAATAAGCTCTCCCTTTATTCTCCCCTTTGCATCGTCCAACCTCTCCCATCACAACTGCCGCACTTCCTGCCAAGATGATGTACTGTCGATGTTAGAAGAAAAGAGCCAAAATAATATATTTACTGTTTATTACATTGATATTCCACCTTTTCCTCCAGTAAGCTCAATGTGGCATTGCATGGCTCTCCTCTCCTGATTTTATCATCTCAACAACCCTCTGAAGTAGGTTATGCTGGGAGAGAATCACTGATCTAAAGTCATCCACTCATGTGGACTCATGGCTGAGTGGGGATTTGAACCCTGGTCTCCTTGTATCAGAGTCCAACACTCTAACCATTACACCACACTGGCTCTCGAAGAAAGACAGACATGCTGGGCTGCTGCTGCTGCAGAACAAAGCGATATGTGGGGCTACCTTTGAAGGTGACCCAGAAACTACAACTAATCCAGAATGCAGCAGCTAGACTGGTGACGGCCGCCGAGACCACATAACACCGGTCTTGAAAGACCAACATTGGCTCCCAGTACGTTTCTGAGCACAATTCAAAATGTTGGTGCTGACCTTTAAAGCCCTAAATAGCCTCGGTCCAGTATACTTGAAGGAGCTTCTCCACCCCCATTGTTCTGCCCGGACGCTGAGGTCCAGTGCCGAGGGCCTTCTGGTGGTTCCCTCATTGCAAGAAGCAAAGCTACAGGGAACCAGGCAGAGGGCCTTCTCAGTGGTGGCGCCCGCCCTGTGGAACGCTCTCCCATCAGATGTCAAAGAGATAAACAACTACCTGACATTTAGAAGACATCTAAAGGCAGTCCTATAATGTGACTATTTTATTTTATTTTCAAACCTGAACCGTGGTTAATCAAAAAATGGAAAGAAAAGCCCAGGGTGAAGGAGGGGAGCTTGCCTAGGCTCATTCCCAAATTGAGCCACCGTGACATCCAAAGAAAGCAGTGAGATCAAAGCATTAAAATGGGTTAAAGACCAGTGTTAAAGGTGGGTCCTCCTGGGCCA